GAGAGGCTGGCAGGTCCTGGGCTGGGGCGAAGCCCCGAGGACTCGTCCCTGAAAGGATGGACTGGCCACCCGAGCCCCGAATATGACTCTTTTGGGTTGCCTGTATGTCCGGGTTGTTCAAAACGGAGCGAATGCCTTGGAACAAGGAAAACCACCTCGTCGGCAGAAGGATTAAGAATTAAGAATTGGATTTTGAACACCAGAAATACAAACTGAAAGCAGAATCGAAGCCAAGTCTACTTTCACAATGCGGGGCATCAACTGCAGGTCACCCCCTTTTGGTTTGGCGACAAAGTGTCCTCTGCGAAGGACCGAGGGCCCTGGTTCTGGTGCAAGTAAAGCTGTTTTGCTGGGATGCCGCAAAGAAGCTTTCGTTCTCCCTGTGGCTCACCATGGATTGTTTCTCCAACATTATGCTCTTGAATAGCTCTCAGCGTAAAAACAATCCCAAGTCTCAGGGCTTCATATATTTTGTTCTGGACGCTCGTCCCATCTTTGACAATATCTGGATCTCTGGATTTCTCCGATGCAAGCGAGACCGTCGCCGAGCTTCATCCATCATCTGCTCCAATTCCATCTCCAAGCTTTCTGGCACTCCTTGCGAAGCCTGGCACATCAAGTGGCTGAAAATCAAAATCATGCGTTTGTTGGTTCTGTGGTATAGCCGTATACCCTCCTCACTTGCTTGTTGGAGCTTAGACAGAAAACAAGGAGCTTCAATGGACTCTTCTTTTTGGGCCAAATGACCAACACGTTTTGAAGTGCTGTGTGAGCCCCAAACAAAACGACCTATCTGCCTTTGCGTTGTCCCAAGCGCCACTTTTCTATCATGCTGCACCCCAGTTAGTGCATGAGTGCAGCGGGCTTGGGTCACGGTTTGCTTCGGAAACAAAAGGGTTGATTCGGAAACCAAGAGTGATTCGGAAACCAAGGGGAGTGGTTTGGAAACCAAGAATGATTCGGAAACCAAGAAACATGCTTCGGAAACCAAGAAACATGCTTCGGAAACCAAGAAACGTGCGTCCGAAGCAGAAAGGACTGGTTCGGAAACCAAGAATAAATCGGAATCCCAAAAGGTTGAATCGGAAACCAAAACAATGTGATTTGGAAACCAAAAGCATTCCTTCGCAAAGCTCAACAGGTAACGACGACTCGAAAGACGGCACGCGAACACGCAGGCACCCAGGAAGCAGCCTCTGCAGGATCACAGCAACCCAACAAGACCACAGAAAGCTATCGTAAGATTCGAAGCAGACTAATCAGTGGAAAACGGCAGGAATCAACACAGTCTCAACAACAAACAAAAGAATCTGCTCATTGTTTAAACCCAAGTTAAAAACACAATCCGTGAAGTGCTAAATCATGCCTGTCATCCGTACATCACCAGCTTGACAGTGCGGTACTTGCAGTGCAGGTTTAAGCATAGACACTAACAGCTGTTTCTGCCGAGGCTGCTAGGCATGTTATGAGAGCTGCCAGCAAAGAAACAATTGGAACCCCAAGTTCCCGCAAATCAGGGGCCGCTTTTTCGTGGATGGAGAGGTAAACGGAAACTTGAGGGTAGCCAACCATGCAGGGATTCTTGCGAGAATCTCAAAGGAAACCAGCTAAATGGGCAGAAGCAGCACGCTTGAGGGTAGCTGCAACACCAGAAATTTGGCGTAGGGCCTCTACTTCCTTAACTCTTCCCAACTCTTGCCGCCCAGTCTCCTGCGTCTTTGGCAGCTTTCCTCCCGGAAAGCACAGGGGAACCATCTTCAGCAAACTCCCCGCCCTCCCAGCGAGTGCGTGCAAAGCTTGTCAGATCTGGAGGAACCAAGCCGGCCAAGCTAAACCATGGCCAGCCGCGTGCTACGATTAAGCATGGGTCCAGCCAGTCCTGCGTTGGTCGCCAGCAAAGACACCGATGTCCAGGCTGCAACTTTCTACAGCCCAAAAGAATCATATTGCCTACTTCAGAGGGAACTTGACAAGGCGGTTGGTGCCCTTTGATGAGTTGGGAAACCGCATTGTAAGACAAACCAACCAACAAGTTGGTGTTTATCGCCCAAAAAGACGAGTCCACAGCCCGTTCCCCGCAAAGGCCTGGAGAGGCTGGCAGGTCCTGGGCTGGGGCGAAGCCCCGAGGACTCGTCCCTGAAAGGATGGACTGGCCACCCGAGCCCCGAATATGACTCTTTTGGGTTGCCTGTATGTCCGGGTTGTTCAAAACGGAGCGAATGCCTTGGAACAAGGAAAACCACCTCGTCGGCAGAAGGATTAAGAATTAAGAATTGGATTTTGAACACCAGAAATACAAACTGAAAGCAGAATCGAAGCCAAGTCTACTTTCACAATGCGGGGCATCAACTGCAGGTCACCCCCTTTTGGTTTGGCGACAAAGTGTCCTCTGCGAAGGACCGAGGGCCCTGGTTCTGGTGCAAGTAAAGCTGTTTTGCTGGGATGCCGCAAAGAAGCTTTCGTTCTCCCTGTGGCTCACCATGGATTGTTTCTCCAACATTATGCTCTTGAATAGCTCTCAGCGTAAAAACAATCCCAAGTCTCAGGGCTTCATATATTTTGTTCTGGACGCTCGTCCCATCTTTGACAATATCTGGATCTCTGGATTTCTCCGATGCAAGCGAGACCGTCGCCGAGCTTCATCCATCATCTGCTCCAATTCCAGCTCCAAGCTTTCTGGCACTCCTTGCGAAGCCTGGCACAGCAAGTGGCTGAAAATCAAAATCAAGCGTTTGTTGGTTCTGTGGCATAGCCGTATACCCTCCTCATTTGCTTGTTAGAACTTGGACAGAAAACAATGCGCTCAATGGACCCTTCTTTTTGGCCCAAATGACCAACACGTTTTGAAGTGCTGTGTGAGCCCCACTATCTCCCAATCGGACCTGGTAAATTTGGGTTGTCCCAAGCGCCACTTGTCTATCCTACTACGCCGCTGCTAGTGCGTGAGTGCAGCAGGTTTGGGTCACGGCTTGCTTCAGAAAAACTACAAGGGCTGATTGCGAAACCGAAAGTGATTCGGAAACCAAGGGGGTGGATTCGGAAACCAAGAATGATTCGGAAACCAAGAAACATGCTTCGGAAACCAAGAAACGTGCGTCCGAAGCAGAAAGGACTGGTTCGGAAACCAAGAATAAATCGGAATCCCAAAAGGTTGATTCGGAAACCAAAACAATGTGATTTGGAAACCAAAAGCATTCCTGCGCAAAGCTCAACAGGTAACGACGACTCGAAAGACGGCACGCGAACACGCAGACAGATAAAGCGCCCCCAGTAAGGAGCCTCTGCAGGATCACAGAAACCCAACAAGACCACATAAAGTCAACGTAAGATTCCAAAGCAGACTAATCCAGTGGAAAACGACAGGAATCAACACAGTCTCAGCAACAAACGGCTCATTTGCTTAAACCCAAGCTAAAAACACAATCCGTGAAGTGTTGAATCACGCCTGTCATCCGTACATCACCAGCTTGACAGTGAGGCAGTTGCGGTGCAGCTTTAACTATAGAAATTAACAGCTGTTTCTGTCGAGGGTGTTAGGCATATTATGAGAGCTGCCAGCAAAGAAACAACTGGAACCCCAAGTTCCCGCAAATCAGGGCCTCTTTTTCGTGGATGGAGAGGTAAACGCGGGTAAGTCAAGCTCGGCCGCACCCTCAAGTCTTATTTGGATGGAGATGCCAGGAATCTTTCAGATTTTCAGTTTCCCTGAAGGGTTGATTTCTGGCACTGTCCTGTCACGAATTGCGAGAACCAAAGTTGTACATTGTAAACCAAATACAGGGCCTGGACATCACAAGCGAGTACACAGCGAGACCGTTGGCAACGGAAACTTGAGGGTAGCCAACCATACCGGGATTCTGGCGGGAAGCTCGATGAAAACCACCTAAATGGTCGGCTACCCCAACAAACCCAACTTGAGGGTAGAAACAGCACACTTGAGGGTAGCTGCAACACCAGAGACATCTGCTGTAGGCCTCTACTTCCTTAACTCTTCCCAACTCTTGCTGCCCAGTCTCCTGCGTCTTTGGCTGCTTTCCTCCCGGAAAGCACAGGGGAAGCCATCTTCAGCAAACTCCCCGCCCTCCCAGTGAGCGTGTACAAAGCTTGTACATACTCCCATATTGTGTGCAGGATTCAGGTGAGGCAAGCGTCTGAGCAATACGCCAAACAGACGGAATCCTCATCTAGCATGACTCGGTCTCAAATTAAGAACTCATCCAAGTGGCTAGCTTCATGTTGGTCCCCCTGAAACACCAACCAACAGGCAGACTGCAACTTTCTACAGCCCAAAAGAATCATATTGCCTACTTCAGAGGGGACTTGACAAGGCGGTTGGTGCCCTTTGATGAGTTGGGAAACCGCATTGTAAGACAAACCAACCAACAAGTTGGTGTTCATCGCCCAAAAAGACGAATCCACAGCCCGTTCCCCCCAAAGGCCTGGAGAGGCTGGCAGGTCCTGGGCTGGGGCGAAGCCCCGAGGACTCGTCCCTGAAAGGATGGACTGGCCACCCGAGCCCCGAATATGACTCTTTTGGGTTGCCTGTATGTCCGGGTTGTTCAAAACGGAGCGAATGCCTTGGAACAAGGAAAACCACCTCGTCGGCAGAAGGATTAAGAATTAAGAATTGGATTTTGAACACCAGAAATACAAACTGAAAGCAGAATCGAGGCCAAGTCTACTTTCACAATGCGGGGCATCAACTGCAGGTCACCCCCTTTTGGTTTTGCGACAAAGTGTCCTCTGCGAAGGACCAAGGGCCCTGGTTCTGGTGCAAGCAAAGCTGTTTTGCTGGGATGCCGCAAAGAAGCTTTCGTTCTCCCTGTGGCTCACCATGGATTGTTTCTCCAACATTATGCTCTTAAATAGCTCTCAGCGTAAAAACAATCCCAAATCTCAGGGCTTCATATATTTTGTTCTGGACGCTCGTCCCATCTTTGACAATATCTGGATCTCTGGATTTCTCCGATGCAAGCGAGACCGTCGCCGAGCTTCATCCATCATCTGCGCCAATTCCAGCTCCAAGCTTTCTGGCACTCCTTGCGAAGCCTGGCACAGCTGCTAGTGCGTGAGTGCAGCAGGTTTGGGTCACGGCTTGCTTCGGAAAACTAAAAGGGCTGATTTGGAAACCGAAAGTGATTCGGAAACCCAGGAGGTTGATTCGGAAACCAAGCGGGTGGATTCGGAAACCAAGAATGATTCGGAAACCAAGAAACATGCTTCGGAAGCCAAGAAACATGCTTCGGAAACCATCAAACGTGCTTCCGAAAAAGAAATCTTATTCTGAAACCAAAAAGAAAAGCGAGATGTGGTGTTGGAAACAAAAGGTACTTGTGAGTTTCCCGGCTCCCCCCTCCCCCCCCCCCTCCGTAAACGCAGCATGTTGGAGGTCCAATGCGATTTCCCCCTATGCAGCGCTGCTGGAAAATGTCGCAAAGCGAGAGCCAACACAAACAATCAGACAGACCAGCAGAAAGAAAGAAAGAAAGAACGAACGAACGAAAGAAAGAAAGAAATAAAGAAATAAATGAAGAAATACAGACATGAAGAAATAAATAAATAAATCAAAAGAAAGAAAGAACGAAAGAAAAATAGAAAGAAAGAAATACAGAAAGAAAACGACAAATAAACAAAGAAAGGAAGCAAACAACAACAGAATTACAAAGAAGATGAAGAAACAAACAACCAGAAATCTTGCCCCAACACGACCCCTACAAGGCTCCTACTGATGCTACATAAAATTCCATCACTTTGACCAGGTTCCAAAGGGGAGAGGTACCTTCGGTTCGTTCTGGGATGGTTCGAGTCTCTCAACCAAGCATCAGCTCACATGTTGTGCAGTTTTCTCTCTTTCTCTCTACGCCTTACGCCTTGGTGATCAAATGTTGACGTGCAAGCAAAGCAAGGCGAGCCGGCTCTCCGGGCAAGAAAGAAAGGACCACAGGGAGGGAGTGCGCAGGCCGAAACAAGGGACGAAGAAAGAGAAGACCACCGAAAGGAGTATCAGCGGGATCTTTTCCCCAGAACTTCCCAGAACCAAGTGGCTGAAAATCAAAATCAAGCGTTCGTTGGTTCTGTGGCATAGCCGTATACCCTCCTCATTTGAATGCTAGAACTTAGACAGAAAACAATGCGCTCAATGGACCCTTCTTTTTGGCCCGAATGACCAACACGTTTTGAAGTGCTATGTGAGCCCCACTATCTCCCAATGAAACATGGTAAATTTGGGTTGTCCCAAGCGCCACTTGTCTATCCTACTGCGCCGCTGCCCAAAACCTTGTGCCAGCCTGCCCTAGGGCTGAACCCAAGATTGTCTAAAACCCCACAGCCAGCGATCAAGTCAACAAAGGGAATGCCGCCATAATGACAAAAGGTCCTTAGAGGCTAAAATATTGTCTTTAAGTGTCTAGAGCCACAACATGTTATGGTGCAGCCAAACAGCTTGAAAGTGACCCGCCCACCTATTCCAACAAATCACTAGGTCCCTCTTCCTGGCATGAACATGCTATTCTATCCCGGCTGGCCTGCGCGCGTGGCCGTTTTCCAGAGCCTGGTTGGGCGCATGAGGCGGAGTCTACGCATTGCAGCCGGGCAAAAAGTGAAAGCATGGGACAAACTGACATTGTCCATCACCCTCATATTCAAACACAAGCTCGGGGAAAGAACAAGGCACAAACATGTTGTTGATGATGATGATGATGATGATGATGATGACGACTCCTCCTCCGACTCCACCTCCGCCTCCGCCTCCTCCGTCTCCCCTCCCTCCTCCTCCTCCTCCTCCTCCTCTTCCTCCTCCTCCTCCTCCTCCTCCTGCTCCTTCTCACCACGATGATCTCTGCAAATGCCGACCCTTGGAAAGGCCCCCGAAAGAGCCTCTCTTCGGCATCCAAGTCGCAATTCTCCCAATGAGCTGTCTGCGAGAAAACCGCACCACGAAGAAGATGCTTTGATGACTTGATATTACAGGCATCATCCGCAGCGCATGGACGTATGACTTATGGCAAGGATCTCTACCTTTCATCAAAAGCTCTCAGCGCCCCGCCCTCCCGCACAGTTGCTTCATCCGGCATAGTGCTTGCAGGTGTGGGACCGGCCTGCCAAGCATGGAAGCAGTCAGGAGTTGCTGCTGGCTGGGCATTTGTTAATTGGCGTGCTCGTCGTACCTGGCGGATGGTTCTTGATCATCACCTCTTCTTAGGCCTTCATACGACTAGGACTAGCAGTTGCTGAATTGGCAGAAAGGCGCCATGCTCGGAAGCAACCGAATTTCTCTGATCGAAGTGCCCCAACAAAAACAGCATAGCCCTTCAGAATTTCGAAATGCCATTTACACCATCAGGGGTCTGGCTGTACGATGATCCATGCTTGGCATGCTTCGCTGGTCCTTGACACGCAGTGTCCAACTCGACTGACCAGCCTGCGTGCGCGACTGAACTGTCGAACCTCATTGGGCGTGGGTCGACCAGCAACAACCACCGCTGCCGCCACCACCAAAAACAACCGCCACATCATTATCATCATCGACAACCACAACGACCACCTTGCCACTCATCATACAAAGAAAGAGCCTCTCTTGAACATCGAAGTCGCAATTCTCCCAATGAGCTGTCTGCGAGAAACCCGCACCACGAAGAAGATGCTTTGATGACTTGATTGATATTACAGGCATCATCCGCAGCGCATGGACGTATGACTTATGGCAAGGATCTCTACCTTTCATCAAAAGCTCTCAGCGCCCCGCCCTCCCGCACAGTTGCTTCATCCGGCACAGTGCTTGCAGGTGTGGGACCGGCCTGCCAAGCATGGAAGCAGTCAGGAGTTGCTGCTGGCTGGGCATTTGTTAATTGGCGTGCTCGTCGTACCTGGCGGATGGTTCTTGATCATCACCTCTTCTTAGGCCTTCATACGACTAGGACTAGCAGTTGCTGAATTGGCAGGAAGGCGCCATGCTCGGAAGCAACCGAATTTCTCTGATCGCAGTGCCCCAACGAAACAGCTTAGCCCCTCAGAATTTCGGAATGCCATTTAATTACACCATCAGGGGTCTGGCTGTACGATGATCCATGCTTGGCATGCTTCGCTGGTCCTTGACACGCAGTGTCCAACTCGACTGACCAGCCTGCGTGCGCGACTGAACTGTCGAACCTCATTGGGCGTGGGTCGACCAGCAACAACCACCACTGCCGCCACCACCAAAAACAACCGCCACATCATTATCATCATCAACAACCACAACGACCACCTTGCCACTCATCATACAAAGAAAGAGCCTCTCTTGAACATCGAAGTCGCAATTCTCCCAATGAGCTGTCTGCGAGAAAACCGCACCACGAAGAAGATGCTTTGATGACTTGATATTACAGGCATCATCCGCAGCGCATGGACGTATGACTTGTGGCAAGGATCTCTACCTTTCATCAAAAGCTCTCAGCCCCACGCCCTCCCGCACAGTTGCTTCATCCGGCACAGTGCTTGCAGGTGTGGGACCGGCCTGCCAAGCATGGAAGCAGTCAGGAGTTGCTGCTGGCTGGGCATTTGCTAATTGGCGTGCTCGTCGTACCTGGCTGATGGTTCTTGATCATCACCTCTTCTTAGGCCTTCATACGACTAGGACTAGCAGTTGCTGAATTGGCAGGAAGGCGCCATGCTCGGAAGCAACCGAATTTCTCTGATCGAAGTGCCCCAACGAAACAGCTTAGCCCTTCAGAATTTCGGAATGCCATTTACACTACCTGGAGTCTGGTTTTTCTCTGGACAATCAACCAGGTGCTGCAAAAAGTGGCGCGCAAATTTGGTTGGTTGTTTCCTATCCAGTGGTGGATCAATCTGTTGTTTTTGCATTTTCAGGCAAGGAATCCTTCCGTTTTCTGCTAGTCCCGGCCTGGTCTGCTTTGCCAGCCTCGCTGTCCGGGGTTTACAATCAGTCAACTCGCAAAATTGAAAAGCTGCATGGAAACTTGGCCTTTAAGTTGGGGACTTCTTCTGGTGGCTTGTCTTCCTTTGGCTTTCGGAAGGGGTCCCCCCTGTCCAACAAGTCAAACACCGCAGACCGCTGCTTCGGCGTAAGGTCCGAGTGCCGCTACAAACATCTCATTGCACGGACCCTGTCGAATCCCGCGTTGAATGTGAAAAAAACACAGGTTCAAGAGTCCCCCATTTTCGGCTTTTACATGCCGCGGTGGTCTGAGCGAAGCATAAGGACCAAGGAGATCCAGGGCCGTGGCGCTGTCGGTGCCCGGGAAGCTATCGTACGCAGCATCCAGCCTCAGCTGTCGACTCCGGGTTGAAACAGCCGAAGAGCAAGGCAACCACACATTTGGAAAATGCGTAGGGCAAGTGCGATTGATCCTTCGTTGCCTCTGGCCCTAAACATCATCAACAGGAGTCAAGAGCAAATGTCTGCAAACTGAACAGAAACGTCTGCAGCAGCTGTAGACGTTCCTTGAGCTGCTAGCATCTGATCCATTGGGATTGTCAAAACACATGCAACAAGCTGCTGAGAAGCAGCCAATTGGAATGAACGCTCCAAATGCCAAGTAAATGCCCTGGCTTATGCATGTCTTCGGAGGGTTGCGTTGACAATCACAGCAAGCGACCTCATCAAAGGCAGCACCCGTTTCAGAACGTCTCACACACACACACATGCACAGAATTGCTTAATTCGACCAAATAGAATTCTGACGCTTGTCGTCGCCCCTCTGCAAAGAATGCCTCAAATGAAACTGGCAAAGTGAGAAAGCCAACAGAAGCATGGCCTTTGGATCACACGCAAGCAAGCGTGTCACGACATGGTCACGTTCAACGAAATGGGGCCCTTTTTGGCTGGAATGACAACCACAAGAAAGGGGTGCCCTATTCAAGAAAGTACCCACATGGCCATTCGGTATCGAGGTCCAGCAAAGGCCAAGACAATCTTTCCAAATCCTCTTCCAGCATTTCTTCCTCCTGCCATGCGCATGGGGAAGCCAGTCTGCTAAAATGGAGTTTCTTGGTTGGATGATCCGAAGAAAATGCTTTGTTGATAAGGAGCCCCGGCTGACCCTCGGATATTGTTTCATCACCCCTCCCACAGGCATGCCTCGTGGATCTGGGCAACATCAATATGCAGTCTGATGATCTAGACGTGAGAAAACCGTCATCACACTCATGGAAAATGAGCCAGCCAGTGTTGTCTGAGCCCTAATTATTAAGTCACTGCCAAGATTCATGATAACCCCATCCCCCAATGATGTGAGCCTGCGTTCCCACACAAGCTTGCGGCCTCCAAGCAAGAGTCTACAAAGAAGCTTGCCGTTCTGATCCTTCTTCCAGACTTGGCCAGTTGCAAGGAACGGCTACGCTGTCCTCGAACGAGGCTCCACCATGCATCTATGTGTTTCACCGAAACAAAAAGTCACCCTTCCTTCTTGGCAAGATTGGAACTGCTTGGTGGAACGGCGCAATCCACACTTCCTAGCAGCCTCATCGAACCGGCAAAAGCAGCTCAGTGGACGTCCAAAATGCCACAAAAAATGAGAAATCGTGCGCTGCAATGCTTGTTGAATATTGTCTGCAAAGAAGGCATTCCACCAACCAAGCAACCAAGCAGGCAGGCCGGCAACCAAGCAACAAAGCACCCAACAAGCCAGCAGGCCAGCAACCAAGCAAGCCAGCAAGCCAGCAATGGCCAGCCCAGAAAAACAATGCAATCCTGGGGGAACAAAAAACGCGGCCGAACGACCCGCGACCGAACGACCCGCCTGCTCTGCTGCTGCACGCTTGGGAGTACCGGGTGAAGCAGGGGCTCCTCAGGCTATCAAATCAACCAACATCGGCAGGTCTTGCAGGCCCAATTTGGGGGGTCTCTTGTGCGCAAACAAACCTGCATGTATGTAGGCAATTGTATGTGCCACGATGTGTCAATCCAATGGAACCAACAAATCGCGTCTTTTATAAACACAGTTTGCCGCCCCCATGTCAGTTTTGAGTTCTGGGCCGTGTCACGACATCATTGCTCCATTTCATGTTTCAAGCATCATTGCTCCTGACCCGTTTGGTCTTTGCCAATAACGCTCTCACCCCACCCCCCCCCTCCACCATCGCATTCCCGTAGACTTGTGTTCTGGACATGCGTCCAGTGAGCTCAGCACATTGCGCGGTTTGGCAGGTCCAAAAAGTCAAGCGGTACTTATCTGCAACGGTTGATATTTGTTCAGATACCATTCGCTGATGGTGATTCGGTGTGGGTGTCCCAGGCCATCCATATTCTGCGAAAACATGATGGCAAATATTTACTGACCGAATGGTGAGCACATGCGTTGGCAAAATTCCAAATTTGTCTTTGGTCTTGAGAAAGCACGTGGCCTTCAAGCCCGCACTCCCAGGCGCATGTTAGTTCAAGAGTCATGCAGCAGCAACGAAGCAGCTCGCAAGCGTGATACAGCGCGTTTGAAGGCCCTTTTGGATGCACTTTGCTTGTAGGTGCAGCCGCGTTTGCTTGTGTTTGTGATGCACGTGACTTAGCTTGAGGCCCAAACCATGTGTTTACCTGTGCGCACAAGTTGCTGTTGATGCTCAATATACAACGACAGTTGTTGGCGGTGCTTGTCTTGTGACTCAGTCAGGCTGGTGGCGCTGGCGCTAGGCTGGGTGCTGGTCAGGATGTTGATCAGGGTGCTGGGTGGTGCTTGGCGCGGTCAGGATGCTGCGGACCTTTTTTGGCAACTCAGCCAGGTGCCAGTCAAGCGTATGCCGCATAATGGTTCATGGTTGCAGTATCATGCTTCTTGACTGGGAGGTGATTCGCTGCATAAGAATCAGTTCAGGTGACTCCATGCCATCTAGAGTCTACGCTCATTGAAGACTTCTTGAGCGAGCCCCAACCATCCCGGCCGGCTCTGCCCGGCTCCTGCTTCTTCAGGTGCTTCGGGCTCGCGAGAGTCGAACACCTGATCAGTTTCATGCGAGTCTTCGGGGTCTGCCAACAGTCACCAAAGGGCGTGGCGATTGGGAGGAAACGCCGTCAAAACATCTCGCCACTCCCACCCCCCAGTAGGATTTCATAGCTTCCAGTCTGGGGGCAGCGTTTCCCCAACTATTTGGGAAAAACGCAAAAGTCTCACCAATGGTGCAAGCACTCCCCTGAAGCAAGTTAATAGATCATGTTCACGACTGCGACTGGCGTGGAATTGTAAGACCCATTTTGCCTGCAGCCCACCCCCCCTCACCCCCACCTCACCCCACCTCACCCCCCCCCCGGCCGCCCGCGGGCCACTTCGCCGCGCCTTTTGCTTCTTGGACGGTGGCTCGGCGCGAAGGTTCAGCTCCCCCAAACGCCGCCGCACCTGGCGGAGCTCAAAGCGTGCGAAACGTGCGAAACGCCTTGTGAGCAGAACTTCCTTCAGGTGGTACCTGACTACCTGAACATCCATGACTGGACTCATCCGTTATCCTGGTGGGACCATGACCCTGAGGATGGTCCTGAGGGCTGCAATCTCCGGATTGGACCCTAAATAAGCCACGGTCAAGTCGAAAAAAGGGTACCCAGAAAACACCGGGAAGATTTGCGAGTTCGCTCGTTTCTGCGAAAAATGTAGTGTCCTCCTATGTGCCGCAAGTTGACCATAGACTACTGGAAAGTTTGACTGAACCTCAAATAGGCCTCAAAAAATAATTCTGGGATGCTACACACGAGATTATCATCTGGAGCTCGCTTGATAGGTCTGAATATCCGGGTTGGTGACCATGCCTACGTCAAACAGCCAGGTCTTCAGAAGACCCCAGCACATACAGTAGCTGGGCGGAGCACAGGCCTCACCAAGTAAGGGCTCTGGCTGAGCTTCTATCTGAATTCGCTAGTTGAGGGCTTGGCTGCTTGAAGCCCACACAAAGCCATGATGCCCTTCACTACTTGGCGTTGCTCAACTATTCCGTTGTTACCAGCCATTAAACTAAACATACTATGTTTGATTCCAAGCCCCAGCACAACAGGACTGCCAGTCCTCGTTCACTCTGGCAAACTCACTCTATACGCATGCATGACAAACAAGTGGCAGTTGAACAACTTTGAACAGTTCCGACCGAGCTGATTGCACAAAACTCCCTTGGGCGGTTGTGGAAGGCGTCACGGAGTCTTCCAAGCAAGTGTTGCCGCGGAAGAGGATTCAAATGCCAGGTGTCATTTTCAAGTGGAGCAATTGTTTAACATGTCTTGTTCTTAGGCTGAGTTGGCTGACGAAATTTGGGTGAAACCTCCCTCTTTCTGCACATGCATGCATGGTTGACGCAAGTTTGGCGCATGGCATGTGGACGATTAGGCGCTTTCACTTTCAAAGGTGCTTCTGTAATCATCGGATCACGTCCCCCTCATGTCTCCCGAGGTATCCGTAGGTGTTTCCCCTTTTGGTCCTTCCACATAAGCCACGCTCAATATTTACTGTTGCCCCACAGAACCCCCTGATTTTAAGTGCGAGATTTGGTGAGCCAGCCTATGCCACCCTATGCCCCTGCCACTGGATCATAGACTACCATAGAGTTTGACCATGTGGCCACGGGTCAAAGTCCCCCAGTGCACATCCCAATCCCCACCAAAATAGACTAAAATGGGTGGTGCACCTACCCCAAAATGGGAGCCCATTGGTTTTGACCCACAGCCACATGACATGAAGCCGACCCTTCCCCCCTCCTGTCCTGCACCGTGGTGCGGCGGCTGCTCTCGGGCAGCTCGGCTGCCAGAAGCTCTGCGCACAGCGGGTGCTCTGCGTACCTGGATCCTTTCTTGCTGGACACCACACCCCGTCTCAGAAGGGAAGACCCCGACTCAACCGGAAAACCATTTTGCCGGTCTCATGCCCTAGGATGCAACAGTGATCCCACTTTCGGCTGAAGAAGCAGGCCGCGCTGTCAACTGCGAGCTCGGCACGCGCCTTGGATAGCACTCTCGCAGGACGTTGTCTTCCTCCTCCGTCCACGGCTGCTGTCCCTTGAGCATCTCCCGCCTTGTGCTGTGGATTCACAGATTTTGCAGTGCTAAGGCAAGAACGAGGCCGACGGCTTATCGGGTCTCTGGCTGTTTCTGCAGCACTTGGTCCATAGTCTCTCCGGCCCCGATCCTGCAAACATCGAAAATTCAGGACATGTAGAATGGTGCTTTCCAAAATGTGAGCCTATCGGGTTGGAGCTGGCTTCCTCAGATTCCCTTCAAGGCACAGACGGGAGCCTAGTAGGCAACACTGCCACATGCCACGCCAAGCCCTGCAACACTTGGCCATGCCGCAGGCAGGCCCTGAATGTCCTTTCCATCTTCTGCCGGTAGCCTTCATCTTCGTAGTTGCTTAGAATTGCCGCAAACTCGTTGTTGGAGGACCTCAATCCCCAAACGGGCATGGGACAGTTGGGTAGTCTCAACCGGCTTTTGGCGGCGGATTTGGGATCCTCCATGTCGCAGTGAGGGCTGGGCTCGATCGAGTCCGCAGACTTCTCTTGCACTTTGCGGAATAGCCTCAGCACCATGACTGAGTCTGCATAGTCTCCTGGAGAGCTGAGGTGCGAACAACTCTGCAAAGACGCAGTGGTTCACTTCAGCGCATTGGAAGAACTCCTGCAGAATGAATTGGAACAAACCTTGGTGCATCCGGCTCAGCCATGTGTCTGAAGATCTGACAAAACCACAGCTTGCACTGGACGGATGTCACGCGTACCTCTGAGCTCGGCACCGGTGATGTCTTTGTACTTCTTGTTGTTTTTTGCGTTGGTCAACAGAGGGTCGTGCAAGATGCGAAAGATGCCTCCAACGAGACGCTCTGACTTCTCCGTGAAAGAATAATCGAAACTCTGAGAGGGGAGCTCATGAAGTACGTCAGCTCGAAGAAAAGCACAATGTTGGTGGGTTCAGCCTGGCCGGAATCCAGAACAGATTCCGGTTCAAAGGCCCGTGCTCTTTTCTGTTTGAAGGAACAATGTGCAAGCAACTGAACCTCATCGTTCTTGCCCTCCCTTGAGGGAAATGACCCTTGTCCTACTTGCTTAGCAACTTTGAACCACAACCAGTATCTCCCTTCAAATCCCGCTGCCTTGCTTCAAGAACAAAGGGTGGGTGGTGTTTCCAAATCAGGACACTCCATTGCCACTATTGGATTGTCAAATGAGCTGGAAAAAGTCATGCCATAGTTGAGTGAGCTCCCCAAATTTGAGACCTACCGGTTAGTAGAGCCCTACCACCGCAGAGCGATCTTCGGTGCTCACTTGCCTGGTTTCTTCTGGGGTGGCTCACTTGCTCGCCCTCCATTGACCCGATCCTGGATGATGCTCCGCAGAAGCTCCACCAGCATGGATTGCATGGTGGGACTTAGCCGCCGATACCTGGGGATGCGGAGTACCAGGAGTACCACCAGACAAGCAAACTTAGTTTAAATCACCATGCTGTTGTCTCACTACCTACTTGGCAACAAAAAACATACCAGCCAAGTTGTAGAGCAACAAGCAACAAGCCGCCCATGCCACGGGAGAATAGAAGTGAACCCTGCTGGTGTTCGAAAGGGTGGAACAGTGTTGACGAGCCCCGCTCCGCCCGGTTTCCCGGTGGCAAATCATTGGCTCGAGGCAGAAAGGGATCGAGTTCCGTTCATTTCCCATCCTCAGCAAGAGTGACTTGATTCTTTCCTTAGTGCCTGACTTTTCCAACATGTGGAACAAATTCTCCACCACGCGGGAGTCTGCAAGACCTGCAATTCTCATAGGTGGGTGGTCCCGCGCTTTTTTCGCACCATACCGCTCAAAGCAAACATGGTGCCTGCGAGTGAGCCCCGGGCTTTGGACTATTTTCACGTATCCAAACATGGAACCTGATAGTGACCGCTCAAAATCAATTTTCCTCTAGGCCTCCTTGTTTCGTCGTAAAGAGCACAAATCATGCCTGCGATTTCCTTCTCCGTCGAGGTGGTGGTCCTTGTGAGGTACTTGCCACGGATCTTGTCCACCTGAAGGGATGTGTCCTCACCCCGTGACTCTTGTCAGAACCATGGGCAATTGTGCCCGCGAAGAGCGACATTTGCATGAGGAGCAATGCCAAATGAGTCATGCTTTCGAATAGCAATCAATCATGGCGAAAGTTTAACTACCAAACACCCGCTGACCTAGACTACCATACCATGTTTGATCAATATGATTGCCAACTACCCTCTACCATACCATGTTCTATCAAGATGATTGCCAACTACCCTGCCATCCGCGTTTGTCAGTCGGCCGAGGGCTTGATTATAATTTGATGTGAGATAGATTGATGGGCTCATTTTAAGGCAGCAGCCTGGAACTCGTCCTTCGGGTACCTGATAGTGCCAGTTGTGATGGGAAGACGCCCTGCCACTTGCTCCCTTTCAAAGGCCCCGAATCCACCCGGTCACTTCTCGCGCATCTTGTTCATGAGCCCAGTGATGTACTGCCACACCTCCGAGGGCCGATTGACGGCATGTCCAGGGTGGCAATGGCAACCTCTAGACCCCAGCTACTGAGTGGCTACCGCACCCATTTGCAGCAAGTTCGTTGACCCCCGTCCTCGCTTTCCGTTCCCATAATTAGTGTCTGTTGTTTGTTTATGCCGTGTAAGTGTTCTAATTGCAAGGTCCTACTTCCTTCCTGACTTTGGCACAGGGGCCTTCCAAAGAAACCATAAACCAAATGAGTGTATATGCATTTTAAAAATGCATATTAAATATGTATGTATATATCTATGGAGCCTCTAGCTGGGATACGATGTGTTCATTCGTTCATTTCGGGCAGGACCTTGGTGTGACTGACGCCTCCACGCAGTAGGTGAGGATGCGGGGGTCATGGCTCGAGCTCTTGAAGTTCTTCATGATCCAGGAGATGTTGCCCAGGGTGTTCTCCTTTCGCTGCCAGCTCTGGGATCTATAGTGCCCAAATGCGAGGTGTAAATCCTGAGAGTTCTATAGATACCAGAAGAGTGTTCTAAAAGGGAGGAACAAGAGGTGAAATGCACGGGTGAGGCGTCTCAGCGTGTTGCATCTTTCAATAGCTTCCAATGTGCTACATGGATGAAAGGCTGATGATCCAGCGCAAATACCGCCAACAAGGCTCAAACATCTGCGATGCACGACAGACAGCATCCTTGAATGTCACAGTGGCCTTATGCCGCTGAAAAACAAACAACCCCACCGCTAAACAATGTCGTAGGGGGCCAGCCCCTGCAAGCCTCACCGAGCACGGCTGCATCAAGTGCTATGCTGACGAAAGCTCCTGCATGGAGTATAGAAGATGGTTCTCTACAGGGATACGAGCATATCCAGCAAACAATAAGACTTGGCTCATTTCCTACCATTGGATGGCTTAGGGAAACTCAATTCCATGAAACACAGCCAGGTGCCCCAATTGAGCAAGTCACGTGGCTACCATGCGATTGATTTTCACCACGCGGTCCCCCGAAAAAAAAAAAAAAAAAAAAAAAAAAAAAAAAAAAAAAAAAAAAAAAAAAACATCATAACCCTGGGTAGTAAGTGATAAGGTAGTTGCCTGCGGGGCAGATCTTACTTGGAACCCTAACCAGGGTTTTCGCCAGTTGTTGTCTGGGGGAAACAATGTAAGGGACTGGAGTCTTAATTACACTATGGTCCTATGATCATGACTTAATTCGGCGTAACACTGCCACCACCCCATTCTAATTATTTGGAAGTCCTCGCATCGGACCCCTTGTGGTTGATGTGTAAAGGGAAACAAAGGGAACCAACTGTTGTGGGGACCCTTATTTTGAGAAACCCTGGATCACTCGCTGCGCCTTCACCATGTGCCGGACGAGGATCTCTCCACAGTCGCTGGTGTCAGAGATGCTGGCCCTCTAGCGACTCAGGGCCGGCAATGTACTTCCCCGGTGGTTCCTTTAAAAGCAAAACGAACGGTTTATTTATAGATTTGATTTGAGCATAGCAATGAACGGGATACCCAAAAAGCGGATTCCCCTCTTCAAACAACCCACCAAGAAGGTGAACAACACACATGTCTTGCCCCATCAGGCGGCAAAAAGTGTCGCTCGGTTGTGTTGGCATTGTGGCAAGATAAAGAATCATGAAGGCTGGTGTCCGTTTAGGTTCCAGTGGATTGAAATGTGCGAACAACACAAAGAGGGGATCGCTCAATTTCGAACACATGCCTCTTCAACACCAGTCAAAACAAGTCCAAACCGAGCCGGCAAACTGAGCGCAAGACTCGGTGGCCTCCTTGATCGTCTGGATCTGCTGGCTCAACACTCGGAGAACCACCACCAGCTGGGAGTGGTTGAACTTCTCCTCCTCACAGACCAAGCCGATTCACTTGCGCAGCTGACATATTGAAGCCAATCTCAAAAACGGGAATTAGTTCTTCTGCACAGCTTAGAATACAGCTGCTCGAGATTCAACTTCAAAGGGAAAGCTTTTGCAGCATGCCACACTGCGTGCCTTTCCGAACTCGCGGAGACGGGCTGTTGTGAATTGGATCATGTCGATATCCTGCCCAAGCTCGGCTTCGACTTGGCTAATCGCAACCGTTCAAGGCACCAGCTGCGGTCAAGTGCCAGAAAGGCGCGCAGCATCGCATCGCTGGGCGCATGTTTTGCCGGACTGATCAGCGTAAGGTCGCTGCGATGGCCCCCTGAAGCATGGCAATGTCCAAATCCGGCAGCCTGACAATAGCCGCCAAGCAAGCAACTTGGTCGGCAATCCGAAGCAAAGGATCTCAAACGCAAAGCCCATCCCCGAAGTTGCACCGTGCTCACAAAAAAAAAAAAAAACACTATACGGTGGCAAGTGTACGCGTCTCAAAGCTGCGGTGACTTTGCGGTGGCTCAGCCCTTGGCGGTGCTTTCTTCTTCTTTGCTTCTGCCACCTGGCAGCAAAACATGGGATGACCCGTGGCACTGCCAGTTCAGCGGCGGGATGATGATGTCAGTCACTGTAAAGGTAAAGCACACTGAGGGACGCGATACGTGCAATTGAGGAGCGGAGTGGGGAATTGTTTCAATGCCCAGCTAACACACTGCCATGGTTCTTATTGGCATGAAACGATCGCTTTGGCGATCGAAGCACATACTACATACTGAACCATAGCTAGCATGTTGCATGCCCCCCAACCTGTGCCGCATGCTGGCAGCGGAAAAACTCCAACCACCAGGAGACATAGTTTATCAAATGCGGCCTCAGCTACATTTAGAGGCAGCTCAAACGCCAAATCGCATCAGCTTCCGGGGATCTTGCATATTGAGCTCGGTGCCAATGTCGACATTCTTCGACAGGCCTTGGTGCAAGTCGGGCCGTTCCGATGACACGCCTCTGCCGTTCTTCCGGAATGGACGGGCAAAGCGCCAGACCCCCTTTGCAGGTGCTGCGCATGATGCTTACCAGCGAGCTGAAGTACTCAGCCGCCTTTTGCATGAAGTTGCGGTAACCTCATCGCAAGGTTCAAGGGTGTTCCGGCAGTGCTTCTTACCTTGCATCCGGCCCTTGTCGCAATCCGACTTGGCAGTACCAGCGGCATGCTAAACGAAGCATGATCAGCCTTGAGCTTCGGAGAGAAACGCGCTGACTAGGTTAAAGCCTCTACCACGTAAGGGATAACGAATGATAACCTGACCTCATCTCCAACAGAACAACTCTAGCAACGGGCCTTGGAGGATCTTTTGGTTGTGGTTGGTGCGATCATCAAGTGCTCCGCGCCTTGGACACAAACGCATCCAAGCGCGGGGGACGCTATGTGCATCCGGGGCTCCCATTGAGCTGTTCAAGGAGCACATAAATGCCTCTGAATTGGCGGCGCCAGTGGGTTCTAGATTCTAGTTGCTTCAAGTTGCTTCAAGTGGTTCACTCCGAACCCGCTGTCTTTGACTCGAGTATTCACAACAAATACAAGCAAGGCAAAAGGTTGAGACTAAAAGCACCCGGACAAAATGACTTGTTTTCCCAGAGAACAGGGGATAATGAGCGATCGCATGAGGAGTGTAGTATACTTGGCATGTTTCCCAATGAGTATCCCCAAGCCAACCGTATATTACCAGTGTCAGCTACTTGTGTTGCAGTGTTGCATTCCAGAGTGCCTCAGTTTGCCAATTCACCCGGTCAGAATTTCACCGATCCAGTGTGACTCAGCTATGCGCTGCTCGTTGCAGTTTGCTGTGCTCACCTTTTTTGCAAGCTTGAGCTTAGATTTCCTACGACACGTTATAATGAGCTTTGGAAAAGCACAAGGTGGTGAGCAAGACATTGGAGCAATTGCCGCCTCCTGGACATCATGCGGCATTGTGGCATAAAGCCTTGAATTATATCCGCCTTGCCCAGTCATCTATCTGGTCAGACCCGCAAGCCAAGCCCCGCGCACGTGCGGATTCAGCTGGTTGTGATCCCTCACCGACCTCAGACGCGCAGAGCTCCTCGAATTCCCTTTTCTCCCAGAACAGCGGTATCCTGAAAAAAAAGAGAAGAAACTCACACACACACACAGAGAACCGACAGCAATTTGAGGCAGCGGCCCCTCTCCCAGGTCCACAAAGAAGGGATTCTTGAACATATTCTGCTTCTTGTCGCTGCCCAAAGGGTTGCGGAACTCCTTCCTCCCCAGCACCCTCAGCTCGCACGTCGATGGACTGGTGGTGCGAATGTCATCTTTTAGAGCAACCTGGCTCGCGGGAAATGAGCCCGGCACGAGCTGCTCTTCTGGATAATGTCGCTCTGGTTCACGGTGGACAACAACTGGGTGCATGCAGCCAAACTGAACCCAATCTTGCAGCGGGCCTTCGTTCATGACAAGGATTGGCAAGAGAAACACCTTAAGAAGCCTCCGCGTGCCTCCGCAAGCCCATGGCACTTGTGTTCTTTTACAAATTCACCTGATGACGTCCATCCACCATGTTTGAAGGCGTTCCAATCATGAAAATCCTAGCCATTTGTGGGGGTATCTTGCTTTGATGGCACTGTGTTCGAGCGTTGCTTGAAAGGGAATCTGAAGAAAAACCTCTTACTTGTTGCTTCTGTCTTTTGTTTGGGGGGGGGGGGTTCGCCAGTGGGAAGTCATTCAGGGCCTGTGCGCTGCTGACATCGGGTCCCCGGCGCTGAGGGAACCATCTGAAGTGGCCTTTGCCATGGAGGTGCCAAAGCGGCCGTGCCGGGAGGACCTGCCGCAGGGCCCAATGCCATCTGAACGGATAACAAATTACTCATGACCATTGCTTTGCAACTGGCAACTCCCAATGAAAATGCGCATTGCTGGAAAGTGGTCTACCCAAACCAGTGCCAAATGTATATACATATATGGGTTTGTGCCGAAACAAGGTGCTCGATCCGGGAAGTTTGGATAGGGGGTATGATTCGCGCGGGTATGATTCGGGGTATGGTTCGCAGAGGAGAAACGTTTGTTGCAACAGTAGCTGCGCTGACGATCTGCCGTTGGCGAATTGCGCCCGAGTGGTCGTAAAGCCACGTGCGGAAACAAAAGGTATGGTTCGGGTATGATTCGGGGTATGATTTGGAAGCAAGGTTTTTCTGCCGTAGAAGTAGTAGTAGAACTAGCAGCAGCAGTAGTTAGTTGTAGTAGTGAAACAAGCACTAGTAGCCGTAGTAGTAGTAGTAGTAGTAGTAGTAGTAGTAGTAGTAGTAGTAGTAGTAGTAGTAGTAGTAGTGGTGATAGTAATGGAAGTAGTCGTAATAGTAGTAGTTGTTGTTGTAGTTGTAGTACGAGTAGTAGGAGTAGCAGTAGTAGTAGTAGTAGTAGTAGTAGTAATAGTAGTCGTAATAGTAGTAGTTGTTGTAGTTGTAGTACGAATAGTAGGAGTAGCAGTAGTAGTAGTAGTAGTAGTAGTAGTAGTAGTAGTCATAGTAGTAGTCGTAATAGTAGTAGTAGTAGTAGCAGTACTAGCGGTAGTAGCAGTAGTAGTAGTAGCAGCAGTAGTTCGTAGGTAGTAGTTGTAGTGGAAGGAGCAGTAGGTAGCAATAGTAGTAGTACTAGTAGTAGAAGTAGTAGTAGTAGTAGTAGTAGTAGTGGTAGTAAGTAGTGGCAGTGGTAGTGGTGGTGGTAGTAGTAGTAGTAGTAGTTGTTGTTGTAGTGGTAGTAGTAGTAGTAGCAGTAGTAGTAGCAGTAGTAGTAGCAGTAGTAGTAGTAGTATAATAGTAGTAGTAGTAGTAGTAGTAGTAGTAGTAGTAGTAGTAGTAGTAGTAGTAGTGGTACTAAAAGTAGTAGTAGTTCCTGCCGTTGTGAAGGGGTATGATTCGGGGTATGGTTCGGAGGTATGATTCGTGGTATGGTTCGGGGGTATGAGTCGCACAGGTCGAACTTCCATCGTTTACTAAACCTTGCGCACCTTAAAAAGGCCCACACCCAGTATATATATATATATATGATAGTGTGTATATCGCTTCTTATGTTGCTTCATCTATGCTTCCAAGTCGACCACGGACAAATCGACCTTGCGGATTCATGGTGAGTGTTTCCCAGAAAGTGATGCGAACCCCCTCTTGAAAGGACATGTGTTCATCAAATTCAACCAAGCGGACTAGTGAGGCTAAGACATCATAGCTGTGGCTGTAGAAAAGCAGCAGCTAAACTTCATCTACCTCTGGGCGCCCGTGCTGCGGTGCCAGCAACTGGCAGTCAGCAGGCAAAAAGGTTAACCAACACCAGCAAGCGCAGATAGGTTTGTGTCCGAATTGGAGAACCCCTGAAATGGACTGAAATGGGTGGTATCCTTGTATTTTCGGTTCAAAACAACCCCAAAAATGCGTACCCAAAAGCATAGTGGCACACAGAGATGGACGCCAACCCAGTGTGACCCTTGGATGATGCTTCATGCACAAAGCCAGCTGAGGTCAGCCATTTTGGCTGAAATCAGGGCACTAGTTTTGGGTTCAGTATGTGCGAAGACACATCTAAAACACCAATGAGTTGCCGATGCCGGATTCGGCAGCGATTCCAAGGCAAGAGCAACAAAAGGAGCTGAGCATGAAAATGAGACGGCAGAAAGCGTCTTCCACGCAGCTCGCTTCAAGGGTCTTCTGCATTTCTTGACCAGATTGCGAACGCCTGTAAAGCATATTATAACCTTCAGCTGCAGTCTATACCCACATGGGCCAGAAGGCGAATCTCTCGCAACTTGAAGCCAAGTCCATGGCTTCTGGGAGTTCGCACTTCCAACCTCACCCGACACCTCGAATGCGGCGCCTTGCTGTCGGCCTTGTCCCGAGTCATGAGCTCCGCAAGATCACCCCTCACGCTCGTGGCCAAGGCCGACTCCGGGAAAATCAGGGGAAGAAAAGCAAAACACGAAGCAAACTGCTGGGAGGACTTGGTCGGAATATCGGAATGTTCCAGAAATTGGAACTTGTACAAAGGAAGCAAATGCGACACATTGCGAAAAAGGGAGGCACTAAGTGCCAGACTTGCTCTGCGCTTTCTGGGACTGCCACAAATCCTGCTTGCTCGTGCCATGAAACACCGCACTTTGCTGACTCAAGCTCCAAGGCAAATGATGAGATAGGATGAGCTCCTTTTGCTTACAAGCGACTCGGAACGTTGGAAAGCGAATTCACAGCAAAAGTGGCACTAAGCGGAAAATGGTCCGAAGGATACCGCCCGCTTGGCAGCGTGTCCGTCAGAACTCTGCAGCTGAGGGGATCGAGTACTGTGGATTCCACAGCATGTGGCGAACTATCAAGCCAAAGAATCCAGTCAATGTGCCGACTGTCAAATGCCGAGTCATCAGAGAGGTCAACAGTGCCGTCTCCCTTCTCCTCGGTGAAAGACACTCCCTGCCACTTGTGAATAGTGCTTACCACGCCTGCGGTATCCAAACCATCCGGGGGCACCCTGCGAAGGGCATCCTGCATCGCCGTCTCCCCGCTGGGCTCAGTGAGGATGGCGTACTGCACGCTGCTCTTCGCGGAATTGAAGTCGCCGCAAAGGATCTGCGGGCAGCCGGGGTCGCTTGCCGCAAAAGAGAGGATGTCATCCTTCAGCAAGGCGGCTGACTCCTCAGACAAAACAAACGCTCTGCTGGAGGATACTCTTTTTGGCTTGTTTGAATCCCCCGGTCAAATCAGACAACCCTGCATTCATGGACCATAGAGGAAGGTACTTACAGACTTGCTTTTAGCCGCCCGATGCTCCTGGCGCGCTTGCACCCCCTGGTGGTCGAAATGCGTGTTCAGCACCCGCAGCTTCAGCTCGGGCTGGGAGAGCATCCTGAAGACCGCCGTCTCGCAGGTGCGGGGCAGCTTGGCGTCCCAGCCCGGACGACCTGGTCGGGCATGCCAACCCTCGTCAGAACATGTAAACTAAACACCCATTGCATAAACACTGTCCTGTTGGTTTCCCTGAAACATCCATTCACTTGTTGTTTTGACAGTCTCCTTTTGGTGCCCTTTGGCTTTGGTGGCCGTGGTCTGAATAAAACACATTCTGAGACCAATGCCTTTAGGTGTCCCGGGAGGCGCCAGCCAAAAACATCCGTGGGATTCGAGCTCCACCTGCTCCGCATCGAATAGAAACCCCGCACACTCATCTTCAACCTCCAGCTTTCGAGATGTGCCTTTCCATGCATACCTTCCTCCCAACTTGTCCGAGAGATGGGACAGCATGGCTCCAGTGGCTTCCTGTGCGCAAACGATCGCTGGGCTGTACTTAGAGATGAAGAGAGCAACCTCGTCTCGCCTCTGGGCCCAAGAATTTGCGGCATCGGCCTCCTTCGCCTTCTCTGTCCGAAGATTGAAGCTCCAAACCTCCACCTGCGGGGTGGTTCCTGATTCTTGATGCCTCTGTTTTGTTGCTTGTACAAGCCCGCCCTTGTTGGGGGGAAGGAACCCCTTGAGACGAGCCCGCCTCGCGAGGCTCGGAGGAAGCACTTCTCACGCTCCGCCTCGAAGCGGCCACGCAGGCACAGGCCATCCCGGAGGAAATGGCCGGAAAACGTCGCAAGGGATTAGCGGCCTGGCGTCGGCCGAAGGCGTGCGAGGCTTGCTTGGGCCCCCGTGCATTCATGGCGCGCGACACCGAGCTAGGCATGTGCGAGACCATTCTAAGGTAGAAAGGTTGCCTCTACGGCGGGAACAAGCCGGTTTTGGTGTGCGATGCATCCAGTCTCAAGTAATAGCACATCAATCTTGAAGAACGCCAATCAAGCACCCACTGTTTAGACCTGAGAAACGCATGTGGCAAGTGTGCGCTGGCTCCGCCTATGAAACGCTGCAGCCGCGAGGATTGGACCTGTTTATTGGAAACGTTGACACCCGTCTCATAAGCATCTCCTCTAGCAAACATGGCATGCACAGGGACCGTTTAGAAGGAAAGGGATCTTCCAAACAAAGTCTGTGCACAGCCATGTTTGTTGGTAAGTGGGAAACCGTCCTCTTGCCGGCCATGAAGGTTGACCCCTGCATTTTCCATCAGCCCATGGACAAAAGTCACTTGGGGAGGTACACTACATCCATTCCGATTCTTCCTTTGTAATGTCTACATAGTTGCCAGGTCACGCAACCGAGCGTCTCATACAAGAATGAGCTTAATGGTTGGACCTTTTGGTAAAACATCGCTTACAAATTATGCTCACCAGGGTGTCCCACACAAGTAATAGCCATCCTTGTAGCCATACACCCTTTTGGCCCGCTCCAACACTTGTCAAGCCTTCCAATGCATCTCAGCTCCTGTGGGTCAAAGTGCGTGCACAAGTGGTAGATGATGTCTGCCACCGCCCAAATCTGGGGCAAGCGTTGTTGCAAATTCGGCAAGAAGCCAAGCCCTGGCCTGGTCCTCGACATCTTCCCTCAAAACCAGGTCCGCTCCCAAAAAGTTGATGAAGTCCAGGACGCCTCGCGAGCAACGCCACTTTCGCATGCTTGAATGTGACCCTGCCATTGCCTTCATCAAAGAAGAGCCGGATGTAGGACAGCCTGAGCCAAACAAGGTGTGTTTGGCGACTCTCTCGCCACTGGGTTCCACAAAAAGCTTCGCTTAACTAACAGGGCCTCATCGTTTGTTCCCAAATCTGGCCCCAGCCTCGCCTCCCCCCTTCGTGTCTGCGCGAGAGCCCAGCCCCAGGGCCCCCGGCTGCATGCGATGCCGCATCGGCGTGTACCCCGCATCCCCCTTCCCGGGGTCTGGCACCTCAGCCCATTGCCCACTAGTACCCCAAAATTTGAGAATTGCCACCTGTTAGGTAGTGGCTTCAATTCCTGGCAAACCTCAGGTCTTGATCTTTAGTGGAACCCTTGGGTGGGGATCGGAGTCCGCCTCCATGTCCTCCCAAATCGGCCACAAACCAGTGAAAATAAGTGAGAATAAGTCCAAATAATTAACAATTGTTACCCTGAACTGTGCGAGTGTAGATAATGACATGTTCATAGAGCCATGGCAATGCCCGCAGCAAGCAAAGCTGACACGACAAAATACAGACCAGTCAGGATTGGCATGCGCATCTCTGTGCTTCCCCAAGGAAAACTGCAGCGACAACCAGGGCAATGACTGAGACTAAATTCCGCAGCAGCATCAGGACTTCCTGCATGCTGGGGGCTTCACAGCAATGGCCGAATGCGGCAGTCTGCCAACAAAAAACGTCACCACACCGAAACTTAGAGAATCTCAGAGAGACAGTTTCGGCATATTGACATGGAACCTGCAATGAAAATGCAAACCTGTGCGTTGTGGATGCCAGCATTGCCGAGAGGCTCTACCACCCTTCTATGACTGTCAGGATAGCCTGAGGTGCTCAATGATCAGAACAGACCGTTCATACGCAGTTCCAAAGCTAGAACGTGATGCCTGAACCATGCCGACAGCGACCGATGCCGCAGCACCGCTGCGAGCACGACAGGCCGCCTTGAAGAACTCCCGATTAGCTCCAACCTGCGCAAGGAGCAGACGGGGCGAGCATGTTGCAACAAAGACACCGGGGCAAACGGCCATTCTTCTTGGAGTGCACTGCCACTAGCCAATTTCAGAACAACAACCCACTCCTCTTCCATCGCATCCAGGAGGAGTCGAACCAGAATCGCGAAGACATCCGACTTGGAGAAGGCCTCTTTGTAGTCCTGGCCGAACACACTGTTCGGAGGAACCGTGGAACGATCTGCTTCAGCTTAAGTTGACGCCCTTGCAGGTGAGCACATCAAGTTCAGCCTAGGCTCCCAAGCCAAAATGCCTGCCAGCCAGCTATGACAAATAGATTCGGAACATGAGCAAGATCGAAGACAAAGCGGAACCATTGAACCATTTCAAGCAACAACCCCACCCCACCCACCACCCAACAAAAAAAGAATAGCAACAAATCAAAACGGGAGAATCTCGACCGACTTCCCTCAAAAGCAAAAGACGCACATATCCTGCAAATGCCGCAAGTGCTCCAACTCCTCGGCGCCGTAGAGGCCTGCGAAAAAAAGGCTCTTGCTGGCGGATAAAGCTAAAAACCTCTGAAATGAGATGAGTTGGAACTTGGAATGAGTTCGAAATGAGTTGGAATATGTTGGAATGGGTGGGAATGGAGTGGAATCATGTCTAGCTCCAAGTGCAGGAAGTCAGCCTGTGTGACGCATTCCCGAAACTGCGAACAAGAAGAAAAACAAAATCGGGGGCCCTCAAAGGGCCAGGTTTGTGAGTGCCTCGCGGATGCAACAAAGAAGCTTCCTGCGCTGCCCACTTGAGTCACTTGACTGGGCCGGCAAGCCTAAGCTTGAAGCCTGCAAAAGCTAGCGCTTGACATACCCAAAAATATTGCTGGCCAAGTGTGAAGCGTGCGCAGCCTGAGCGGACGAACAGTTTAAAAGCAAAACCCGCCCAAATGGGTACAGATTCCAAGATTTGATTGGGGCCCCTGTGGACGTCGTCAGGCGGATGTGTGTCCACCAAGCCAAACGGCCCGGCCAGTAGTCACAGGTTGGCGAGGCGCCTACTCGAGTCGTCAGAAGAAGCAACAGCTTCACAACGCCGGTGGCGACCTCTGGCTCCTCTCGCAAGTGTTCTGAGGGTCCCAAAATAAGGTGGTTGGGTGTTTTTGGCTTTGCTCAAACAAGCATTGGGTCGGGTTGTTTACCAGCCCTGCCTTGGGAGGACTAGCATTTTTTTTAGAGTATCTTGGACACTTCAGTGCATCGGTAGCAGAGTACAACTCTGATGTCCCAGTTCGGTGATCCCGCCCTGATGCATTCAGCAGATTGTGCACTTCTGCTCAAAGCACATAAATGATCATGGAAAAAGCCATGTCCAATCGCCTATCAAGCTTCGTTGAGCTTGGAAGATATTCCCATCTCACGGGACCTTGTGATAGCTGATGAACAGCGGAATGATGCGCTGCGAGACCACCTGCGCATTCCAAAGGAAACCAGTTCCCGGCCAAAGGTCTTGATCTGCAAAGGCAGAAACAAACAAGCACGAGCCTTCCATTCGCCAAGCTTGTGCCTGATGATGTAGCCAGTCTCAGGGCTATCCTGGCACGCATCAGGCTGGCATTCAAGCGTTACCTGCCGATGAAGGCTTACTGAATCCAACAAATTATGCTCCAAGCAAACCAGCTCAAACATTTAAAGCCTCTACCATCTAACCAAAGTTGAGTCAGCCCAGCCACAGCGGGGGATCCACCCAGGCAAGCACATGCCACCTGCTGCAATGCCCCGTGCAGGTCCCGCAAGGAGTTCAGGCACCTGAGTCATGCAAGGCACGAACCGGATGCTGGAAGCTTCCATGCTGATATGAGATGCAGGTGATGTGAAGGCACAGGACAGATATGCTACTACACGTGTCCTTGCTGAAGCTACCAAGATAAAGCACGCATAAGTCGAGAGATGTTGTGCCATGTGACTATGAGCCTTTCTGAGTCGTAAGATGGGTACGTTGCTCTGTCCTCACAAACACAATTAATTGAGTGCCTTTCGATGCTGAAGCTGATAATATCCTACAGGTGACTGTTCTCTGATAGAACAAAACAAGCGATTGCCATAACTCTAAAGGCTTCCACGTTTCTCTGAAAAGTATTGCGCCAAAGGCTTCTAAGTTTCGTCCAGCCTCCACGGGGCCACTCGAGCGCAGTGGTTGGAGGCAAAACAGATTCGGACGGATAGTTTCCCACTCTGCTCAGCGTTTGTATTCACAGTAACTTGGGCCATTTCTGCGACAAGAACAATCCCTTGCTTTGCAAAGTCGTACATGGCGAATGAGATCCGCACTCATCTTTCTGACGGTACAAGTATTTGAGCTTCCCTTGCTCAACCTTGCACAGGGCACCAGTGCAAGGACTCGACAAATGCCAACCTTCTCCGAATTTGGAAAGGGTTCCGTCCGAGTCAAGGGATCATGGCATCACACTCATTGTCGCTGGATGCGTCACATTGATCGCAAACATGGAGGACATATCTAGTACCCTTCTTTGAATGGTACAGTGGGCAGCTTCGCCTTGTGGTAGTCGCCCAGCCCTGTGCAAGAGTCGTAGAGGTCCTGGACCACCTTTTGCAGGCAAGTGGCATGTAGTGAGCTGCTGGGCAAGTTTACTTATCATGACAACTCACACGCCGGTGGATATGTGATACCAGTGATATCCATTTAAAACCCGCCTGCTGCACCGAATACCCGAAGAATGCAAGGGATTGTAAAGGCCGACCCGCATGAGCTTTGGGTTGGGACCATTCTCCACGAATCCTTGTTTGGGCTTTTTGAGTGGGACCTCACGTCGAGATGCGCCGGTCAGAACAAAGCACTCCCATCGAGCTCCGCACTGCTTCATCCATGCCTGCAACTTTGCAAATCACGCTTCATGGAGGACGAATCCAGAGACTTGTGCAAGCCCATCTGCGTGCAGCTTGTGCATTGGGTGCCTATGCCTGCGGGACAAACTACCTCCTGAAATCCATTCCTCGACCTTGAGCCCGCTGGCTGCAAATCATCCAAATTCTGCCACAGTGCTTCGCTGGCTTTGGATCGCTTTGCAGGGGCATTACAGTAAAGGGGTTGGCAAAATGGGACTGCTGAGTTTTCAAACAGGGGGCCACTTTGAGGGGCTGACAAGCTTGACAGCACCCAGCCAGGAGCTGCACATTTGTACGTCATTATTATGTTTGTCCCCGAGTCTTGTTGCTTCATGTTGCTTCCTTTCCACTGCCTGGAATTGCCTGGATTGTACAAAGCAAACCAGTTGGCTGAAACCGAGAGTCAAAGAATTGCGCGAATCTAGCAAAGCCGCAGACTCCAGAGACCGCTTTTCCACTGTGCTCGGAGTAAGATACGCCCATCAGTGCTACTAGGTGGCCAACCTCAGATTGCCCCATGGCAAAGGCCAAGGCACTGGATGATCAAGATCAATCAGGTAGGCTTTAGCCAAAGCTGTGCCAGCGAGCAGTTTGGAGCCTGAGGCCAAAAGTCCAACTCCACATGGAACGGCGTGCCTTGCGAGAATGTGATGGCTAAGGCTGCCGAGCTTCTGCCCCAGCCCTGGCACAGCGCCTGCGAGGCCACAAAACCGGGCTGCGGGAACACCCTTCTCAGATGAAACTGAAAATGAATCCAAGAAAACTGCAATCAGGATTCAAAAGAAATCACAGCCCCCAATATCCAAAGTTACGCTCTATGCGCTCTGCTGAAAGCGGCTGAGAGCGTCCTGATGCGGCCACTGTGGAGATGCCCAACAAGAGATGCACGATGTAAGCCTTCTGGACGTGACCTCAGTGAGGGTTGCCGGGGAGGAGAACGTCCCAGGTGGACCCTGGTGCCCTTTACTCATTGTTGAGGGCGACACGTTTGGTCCAAAAAAGGACCGCCCTTTTGGAACAGCCCGTCTCAAGCGGAGCTCTATTGCGCCGCGCAAAATGCAGCTGAGTTGCCCGTGACCCGTTTCGGGCAGCGGCGATACCAGTACAAATCCATCCTCAAAGCGCACTTCAAGCGGTGAATTCTCGCGAAGGCACAAACAAGCCTGATAACTGAAACGAGCGCTCGCCTGCCACGCTGAAGCGCCAGCTGCTTCTGCATCCACCTGGTTTCAAAACAAGACAGCTCAGCTAGCTCCGAGTCTTGACAAATGCGAAGCTTCTGACCTCGCCGTTGCTGAGGAACTCCCGAAACAGGGCCATGGGAAGTCTCAGGGAGCGGTCGCAAATCCCAGCCAACAGCGCGGCTGCCTGCACCACCAAAAGATCTGTTGCAAAGCTGGCGCAATTCGGCTCCAGCCTCTGCTGTAGGCTGCCAGGCGTTGCCCGCGTGTGCCTAGAGATGCCACTGGGTTTTGCTTTAACCGAGGAATGCGCACACAGCGGAAGGCAAGGACCATTGAGATATATCATGGCCCACGAACAAAACAAGCGTGCACATTGCTTTTACCTTCATACAGGCGCCCGTGCCAAGAAAGGCAGGTAAGGTGCACTGAGTAAACTGAAGGCTGTTCCTCCTGTCATTCCCCAGAATGAGATTCGCCTTTGGAAACACTCGGCACATCTCCCTGGCTGGATTTCGAAGCTGAAGCTTCTGCCAGCAAAGGGGAGACTCTTGGCCAGGTCGCCCATCCGCTCTTTGGCCCAGCAAAAAACACCACAGGAGGCACGACTGCATGCAGTCCCCCCTCTCACTGCCTGGTCAAGCTGCTTGCAATTAAATTGAGGCCACGGTGATAAGCTCTAGTGGATTCCCACTGGCTGTGTCTTTGACACCCTTCTGGCCCACCTCCACCTCCGCCTCCACAGTCCTCTGCTTCTTCATAGGTGTGGCCTCTAGCTGTGTCATGCTGCGCTTGGGCCGCCTGAAGGGTGTGTCCGTGTCCTCAACGACGTCCGACGGCACGGCCGACGGCGTAGCTGATGGCGTGGTGGCTGATGGCTCTGTGAGGGAAAAGCCCAAGCCCATTGATTCTGCCACCGCCTCATCGGCGGCAAAATCCCCCACTGACTCTTGAGCAACCTCTGCGACTTCACCCATCTCTGGTCCTTCAGGCATCTCTGGCTCTGCAAGAGAGAACTCCAAGCCCATAACCTCTGCCGCCTCCTCATCAGCGGCAAAGTCAGACTGGGGTGCAGATGGTTCAAACATATCTGCGACTTCTGGCCCTTCGGAGATCTCTGGCTCTGCAAGCGAAAAGTTCAGTCCCATGACTCCTGCCGCCTCCTCATCGGCTGCGAAGTCGGAGCGAGCTGATGGTTCAAAGATCTCGGTTTCCGTCTCTGGCTCTGAGATCTCTGGCTCCGCAAGCGAGAAATCGAAGCCCATGCCTTCTGCTGCCCCTTCATCAGCTGCAAAATCCGAGACTGGCTTGGTGGGGAGCATGTAGCTGCTGATGAACATCTGCCCTGGTAGCAGCTTTGGCATCTCGCCGTCCGAATCACTGCACCTGGCAGATTCCAATGTCAATCGCCCAAGATGGAGCATCAAAACAAGGCTTTAGACTGTCAACAATGCACAACCCTTTCAAACATGAAGAGGCTATTTGGCCAGCAAGTTGGATATCGTTTTACCTGTCGGCATTGCTTGGGTGGGGTCGAGGGTAAAAGATTCGGAATCTGCAAGTCTCAGGACTCCTCTTGCACGTCACACGAACCAAGCAGCTCAGAAGCAGCTCCAAAGCACAAAGGCGTGGCTGCAAAGCTGGGTTTCCATCTTGATACATTGGGCGACTCGTATGAAACATTTTCCCTGACCTACTCCGCTCACGCTGCAACCATCGATGATGACACACCCTGTTCTTGGCAAGAAGTACACAGCAGGAACAACCCTTCATGACCTTTTGCTGGATGAAAGTCCAGCCCCGCCACCGCCAAACAGGCATTGCTTGCAAAGCCAAAACATGTTGCAAAGATTGACTCATGCCTGCCATGCAGGGTTAGCCCAGCATTCCTGAAACAAATGTGATTAAACTGCCAAATATAGGGCCTGTATTGCTAAATATAGTCCCAACATTGTCTGCAAATTGTGCAGGAAGTTGGATACTATTGCATGAACAAATCGTGAAAGTTAGAGATTCATAATCTGCAAGTGTCGCTTTGTCCAAGGACAGCAAGTTTGCGATGCGATCCCATGCTCGATACGGGCTCCCCATCTTTTGCAATCTCCGCCTTTCCGCAAAGTCCACATCCTCCGTCTCTCGCGTGGACTCCTCGCTGTCTGAGTACTCCTTCTCGTACGCCATCATGGACGGGCTAAAGCTCCTCTTTGCGATGCCCATGGTGAATACAGCGTCTCCACAATTCGAGCCGGGGCTGCCTGGTAATGGAAACATATACACTGCACAAAGCTTGCAAGCAGCCAAGAACATATTTGACGATCTTTCCTCCACGGCCCTCTTGAAACAAATTACCGCCAGCTGCTGAGACTGCAGCGCCCACCTCGCTGGATGCTTTGAAGAAAAGAGGACCTGAGTGAAGCCCAATGCTGCAGCTGGGTTCAGCTTCAAACCCACTTGGCAGAAAGGCAGGGAAGCCAAGATCAACATAAGCTATAAGCTAAAAGGACCATGTCCTCATCTCTTTGATACTAGCCATGTCATTCTTACACCTGTGAACCCTTGCAAAGCGCTGGCATGCCTTCAAAGGGGTGGGCTGCGCAGACAACCTCATCAGAAACCTGATTCGGTATAGCGTTGTCTTTTCCTGGCAGCCTCCTTGGCGGACCAGGGTTCCGCTTTCAAAGCTGAATCTCCCAGCCTAAGCGCTGGGTTCGGTGCTAGAATGGTTTCGAGGGGTCTTGATTGGCTTCCTTAGTTCAAATGAGGACCGAATACATCCCCCTCTTCCAGACCTCATCAGATTCACTGCCGCCCGCATAAACCCGCCACCGCCCGCCACAAATTGATGGAATCCATTCTCCCAAACCGCGGACCACGAACTCCCACGGAAGCTTGGCATGAGGGTACCTCCCTGAGGGTACTCCCTGTTCAATATTCCCAAAGTGATCCGGGGCAAGGGCGGCCGGCTGCCCAATATCCCTTCTCTGACCTCATGCGGTGCGCAGTGCCGCAGTGCCCGAGGCACACGGATCTTGAACCATCTCTCAAAGTCACGTTTGGTCCAATCCGAGCCCTTGGGCCATGTTCCACCTGCGTCCCTTCGGGGCAAAACGGGACACAGGTGAAACCCCCTGCAAAAATGGTGGGACCCCCTCTCCCCCCATATATATATACATATATATATAATATGGACAGCTTCTCTCTGGCTCCCCTTTAAAACGAAAGCTACGAACTCAAGCTACGCACTCAAAAAAGCCGCAGCCACATCCGCAGTCAGTGAAGTTCAAACGCCTGAGGCACCAGCATGCTCTCAGGGAGCCATGCCAGTGCCTCCAGTTCGAACCTTCTTTGAGGAACTGTTTCGTTTCCATGCAAATTTGCAGGAGAGTAAATCAACATCTGATCCATTGCATGCAAGATAGTGCACCCGTTCTCTGGCCTCGCACATGTAATTGTCCATGAATCACACCACCCGAGAGTTGCACCCAAAAAAAACCCTAACATGCACTTGTAGACCAATCCTCGTCCTCGAATCAGGGATGTTCTCCTTCCTGGCAGAGATGTACATATATATATATATATATATATATATATAATATGCAATAAATGCATGTCAATCTGTCTGTCAGTCTATCTTGCCAGATGTATACCTTTGAAGGGTCATCCAGATTCACCCGAAGTCAGGGAAAGAGGCGCTGCACCCGAACCGCTTGGCCTCGCCTTCAGGGACGGTGATGCCAGGCAAATGGCGCCGCCAGAGCCCTGCACAGGGGTGCAGGTTTTGTGGTCTCACGATATGCCTCAGACTGGTCTAACGTTGCTGTTGAAGATCTCTTGCGCGTACGCTTCAGGCTCAAGGGGCGGGAATTGGCTCGAGTCAAAGCTGCAAACCAAAGTCGGGTCTGGCATGAAATTAATATTGTGCACGGAGCCTGTGCGAGACATGAGGCAAGCAGGTCCACCCCAAAGAAGCCCTCAGCTGCATGCACACAAGCTGTAACAGCAATGAGGTGTTTCTCAAACCACACCCTCCCGGTGTCTGGTTTCCTTATCATTTACAAAACAAGGTCCAAATCACATTTTCGGAAATCCCCTAAAGCTGCTATCAAGCCGAGGCACCGCGATGCGGTGCCAGTCATCTGGCACCGCACACCTGGGCACGGTCTAAGCCGGGACAAATGGCAAGCGATCGAACTGGGGCCTCAGGTCCCTAAAGCCCTAAGCGCCGGGCAGCAGTGGTCGAAGGGAAGCTGGCTTGGCTTGCTCCACGGCCGTTTCGGGTGACAACTTCAGGAGCTCGTTGGGCCTCCAGCCGGGCACACTGTTCGGCCGAAATCAGCGGAATGTTCGGCTGCTTCCAAGGAAAAAGGCCATGGCAGAACCTGCCCAACCTCTCGGCCTGTATCTCGCATCCGAAGCTATGTCTCATGGAAGGGTCGATTCCTCTGACCAAGCCCGTGGCGCGACATGATACTGGGAACCATCGTCATAGAGAACACGTAAAAGCCCTCGGAACTGCTTGGTCCCTGGTCCACGAACGACACCTGCCAGGCTCGGAGCAAGCGATGCCTGCTTCACAGCCAAAGGCGGCCTTGTTGGCCGACAGCCGTCGCCAGAACGCGATCCCCTTTGGAGAAGGCTGCCGTGCCCTCCTGCATGTGGCAAGTCTGGGACTTTGCGCATCATGGATTTTGGAGGCCTCCTTGCGCCGGACCAGGGCAAGGAAGAAGCAACCGCCATCGTCATTGCTCGGCAGCAGCCTGCACTGCAGCTCAAGGTCCCAAGGTCAAAGCATCTAGCGATCTCACAGATCCCTCTCCAAACCAATTTCCCAAGCGCCTGCCGCAGCGCAGCAGCTGCTGTTCGAGGCCTGCGACTGAAGAGACTCATGGCGCCCGAAGCCAGGTCTAGGGCACACACACATATATATATATATATACATATATACATACATATGTGTATTAAAAAAACACATAGTTGCGTTGTTTTTCTTCTTTTCTATCTATTTGAGTATCTATCTGTCTATCGATCTATCTATTCGGGTTGACGGGTGTTACCAGTCATCTTCATCTACTCATATACTTCATTAGGTTCCCCAGCCTTCCCAGCCCAATCGTACAGCCAGTCCCTTCCGCTCGAGTTCAAGTTACTGGCAGTCACTTTGCGCTGCAGCCCGCACAACAGCTCACCCCAGCCATTTGCTCAAGCCCGCGCTGCTCTTATAAGTTCTTTTGAGCATGGCCGAGGCGGGCAGCGCGCAACGTTTGCAATTTCCCATGTTGTTAACCTTATGTTGTGTGGGTGTGTGTTCACGTACATTGTGGCATGGATGTATTTATGCACATACAGGTACATACATTCATGGTGCGCAATGTTTCGTTGAATGCTCCTTGTGAAATGGGAGAATAGGAAAAACGACGGAAAGCATACATCAAACAATGACGGTGACCGTCAGGACGATCTGCCCAGACGTGGGACAGCATGTCTACTTTCCGCGATAGAATCTCTCGCCAATTGCTATTGTCGAAACATCCCTTGTGTCGCCAGCCAACACAAAAGCGTCTGCTGGATACATTGGCAACGCCTCAAGTCACAAGCCCTCTTCCTGCTTTGAACTGTCCCACCGTGGAGCTGCAACCATTCAGGACTGCGCGGCCTGCCACCATCGCGGTGGCTGCGTAAGCCGCCGGCGGAAACATGGACCGCCGCAATTGCCCAGAGGCCTGTCGAATCAAAGTAACGCATCCAGTAACGCATCCACTCAGTGCCTTGACCTCTGCAAGCGTGTCTCTTTGGCCGAATGAACGAAACTAAGATAGTTTCATCAACAAAAGGATCAGTCAAAACTGCATATTCCGTGCATCCACCCTAGGGTCCACTGTCACTCGAGGCCCTTTCCCACCTTCTCGTCCTCCGGGACCTCGTGCCAGGTGGCCCAAGTCGCGGCCCTGGGCGGGTGGAAGGTAGCAAGGCGTGGATCCAGATGGGCGCTGAGATGAAAACAAGCACAAACACGCTTCGTGTGCCATGAACGGAAAGCAAGACTGTTTCAAGGGGATCCCTAACAAAGCGTACCCGGAATAAACACCATGGTTCGCTGCAAACGGGCCCAAAAGACGAAACCTGGGAGCCTTTCCAGCTTAGAACCAAACCACTGCCTGCCTGGTCAGCGCAGGCACCCTCCAGGTTGGTAGCCCAGGCCTGGATCTATCCCCATTGGGAGAGTTGGAAGCCCAGGTGAAGCCGGTAGGAAGGTGCAGCAGTGCACTCGGAGCAGCTCAGTAAATGGCAACTTGGAGAGAAAGGACAACTTGGAAGCGATCACAAGCTGCGAATCGGACACAACAAACGCTTGTGGAGAAGACACGAACGCTTGCACAGTGGCTTGCGATGCAGCAAGTTGCCCAATACTTGATGGTGGGCGGTACTTTCAAAAGAAACTTTGCCCAGCTCACATTCGCATTCAACATCAAAGATCACAAACAAGTGGTGCTGAATTCTGTGATTCTTCCCTGCTCAGATTGGTTTGCTAGCACCCAGAGCAACTCCATTCACTTCTTCATGACGGCTTCATGCAAGGAATAAGGATTTTGTCCAGCAGTCCTTTAAGGAAGTCTGAAATTGTGGCAGGGGAATTTGGATGGAGCCCACAAGGGATGTGTCAAAACTAGGCCCTTCCAACGGCTTGTTTCCTTCGGCTTCCTGAGCTTATCTAAAAGATCCCGAGGCGGAATCGCAAAGCCCAGAATCCCATCTCTATACTTCACCAACCTGAAGTGAAGGAACCTTCGCTCGGTTCTACCCCAGTCTCCCCAAAAGTGCAGGAAATGCTCCTCGAAACTGCCGCAAAACATCCTGAGGAGCTAGCTCCAGTTGAAGTCCAGGCACCTGATCCATGCGCTTGGATGGGTTCAGCTCCACTTTGGATGTCTCTTTTTGGAAAGCTTCGGAAGGGAGTCTAAGTCTCACTCTGAAGATTGGAAGCCCTTTCTGAAGCTTTTGATATGTAGGGGCACCCAAGCAGCAACCAGAGCTCACAGCCACAATGAAGCTTAGAAGAACAAAAAGCAAATTCATACAACACGTTGCAGCACCTGAACAAGCCCCTTTGACGAAAGCAGCAAAGCTGAAGGAATCCAAACAACCAAGTACACGGCACTCAGTGACAACGCGTTGCATTCCGTCGTGGGGCATTGTCATTCAATCGAAACTTTGTGGACAATCATCAAGCTTTCTTTTGGTGGCCAATTGTTGTCGCCATCTATCCCGAGCAATGCTGTGAAAAATGGGGCTCCCCACCGAATAAAGAGCTTCCAACTGGTGGGCCTGAACAAATTGTCACCGTGGAATACATCTGTAAAGTGTATATATATATGTGTATATTATACTATATACATAGATATATATATATATATATATATATGGTGTCCAGTGTCCATGGTCCCCGGATCCCCCTTTCCGGGAGGGGGGAGGGGTTCAAAGGTTGTGGTAAAAACCATGTCTCCGGGCCCCCCCCTTCCCCCCCCCCCTATGGAATCGTGGTGGGTGATTTCTGTTGCAAGCATTCGGGTACATTTCCGGGGAACCCAGCGGGTTATTGACTTCTGTCCCCGACCCTCCCCTGTCGAATTATGGTGGGTGACTAGGAACAAAGGTCCGGCCGGCAGAAGAGTTTTTCGGTAGGAGTTTTAAGAGGAAGAAGCAGAGCTGAGAAGGCAGAGTTGCGCGGGAGCGCGGAAGTATTTGAGAGCAAATCCCATTGGCTCGTCAACGGTTTCGGGTTTCCAGCTTCAAGAGCATGAGCACTGCGCCACGGCGAGAGGACCACACGAAACTCCGTAGAGGGTCGATTAGGCAACTTGAGAACTGCAAAAAAAAAACCGAGTTCTTGAAGGCTCGCGGCCCGAAACCACGACAGGGCCATGAAAAACAGCTCGCCGAATAGCGGCTCCAAAATGACGGCCCTGCCAGCAAACGAGGATCTGGAAAAAGTCTGGGGTTTATTTGCCGATATTGCAACGATTTTTTGAACGGACTCCTCCCCCTCACCCCAGCTCCCCCTCTTACCATGGGGGGGTGGGGGGGGGAACGTAGTCACTGGTCACGGGACCATACATAGACATATATATCTATACACAAATCATACACGTGCACGCATGCTTGATTGTTCTGTACTTGCACATATATATATATATATACGAATGGACAATTACATCACATTACGTTACGTTACATTACATTACATTACACTACACTATCTTACATTGCGTACATACATACATTACATACATACATACATACATACATACATGCATGCATGCATAACATGACATTACAATACATTACATAACACAACACAACACAACATAACATAACATAACATACATGCATACATGCACACATGCATGTATGCATACATGCATGCATGCATGCATACATACATACATACCATTGCTTCCATACATACATACATACATACATACATACATACATACATACATTACATACATACATACATACATTACATACATACATTACATACATTACATACATTACATACATTACATACATTACATACATTACATACATTACATACATACATACATACATACATACATACATACATACATACATACATACATACATACATACATACATACATACATACATACATACATACATACATTACATATACATACATACATACATACATACATACATACATACATACATACATACATACATACATACATACATACATACATACATACATACATACATACATACATACATACATACATACATACATACATACATACATACATACATACATACATACATACATACATACATACATACATACATACATACATACATACATACATACATACATACATACATACATACATACATACATACATACATACATACATACATACATACATACATACATACATACATACATACATACATACATACATACATACATACATACATACATACATACATACATACATACATACATACATACATACATACATACATACATACATACATACATACATACATACATACATACATACATACATACATACATACATACATACATACATACATACATACATACATACATACATACATACATACATACATACATACATACATACATACATACATACATACATACATACATACATACATACATACATACATACATACATACATACATACATACATACATACATACATACATACATACATACATACATACATACATACATACATACATACATACATACATACATACATACATACATACATACATACATACATACATACATACATACATACATACATACATACATACATACATACATACATACATACATACATACATACATACATACATACATACATACATACATACATACATACATACATACATACATACATACATACATACATACATACATACATACATACATACATACATACATACATACATTACATACATACATACATACATACATACATACATACATACATACATACATACATACATTACATACATACATACATACATACATACATACATACATACATACATACATTACATACATACATACATACATTGTACAGTACAGTACATACATACATACATTACATACATACATACATACATACATACATACATACATACATACATACATACATACATACATACATACATACATACATACATACATACATACATACATTACATACATACATACATACATATACATACATTACATACATACATACATACATACATACATACATACATACATACATACATACATACATTACATTACATTACATTACATTACATTACATTACATTACATTACATTACATTACATTACATACATACATACATACATTACATACATTACATACATTACATACGTTGCATACATAACATAACATCACATCACATAACATAACATAACATAACATAACATAACGTAACGTAACATAACATAACATAACATAACATAACATATCATAACATAACATAACATACATTACAATACATTACATTACATTACATTCATACATACATACATACATACATGCACTACATACATTACATGCATACATACAATTACATTACATTACATTACATTACATTACATTACATCACATCACATTACATTACATTACATTACATGACATTACATACATACATTACATTACACTACACTACATTACATTACATTACATTACATTACATTGCACTACATTACGTACCATACATACATTACATTACATTACATTACATTACATTGCATTGCATTGCATTGCATTACATTCATACATACATACATACATACATACATTACATACATACATACATACATACACACATACATACTTACATACATACATACATACAGATACATTGGGAACAAGCACACACCTAATCCGAAGGGAAGTCTTGAATCAATCCTCACGTTTTTCCCAGGTGCTAAATTTCACGACCGCCCCTCACTGCAGATCGTGCTTGTATTCTTTTCCCTGGCCTCAGCCATCTGGCAGCCATCTACACGCGACTCAAAGGTTTCTGACAAGCCCATCCCGGCTGGCCAGAGCATGCAACTTCAGTAGATGGTGGAAGACTTTTGGGCAACGCACGCACACTCCTAATGCCCAGATCTGTAGAGAAGCGGCTGCTCTCAGGCAACATGATTGTGAGCAATTGTTCGTGGCCGGTTGGCAGGTTGATCCAAAGTCCACGAGCAAGAGGACGCCGCGCTTGCTGGGTTTTCAGAAAAACACGCTCACCCAGGCGGCATCTAATAGCTAAGTCAATATCCAGCCTCCAAAGGCCTGCGAGTCACGTAAGAACATGTAAGACTGTAAGAACGCTCAATCTCAGATGCCTTTCTGACTCGCCCGGGCCCCGCCTGGATGGGCACTGTCTCAAAGCCAGGCTGCTGGCAGAGAGCGGCAGAGACCACCGCCTCATGGGGAATGCAATGCTCAAAAACAGCATCTCCTGAACCGAAGCCTAGAACCTAGGGCCTAGAGCGTGTGCATACGTCCGTAACCATAGGTATATATATATATATATATTCGTCTATGACTTGGTTTGTATACTCTGTTTTATATCAGTTTGAACCAGTGGTTTGGAGATCGTTCCAGTCTAGCGAGTTACAATGTTTTGGAGCAGTTGGAGGTGAACCAAGCTTCTTTCGCTTCGGAGCGCTGCAAGAGGCACGTGGCACATGAGGAAAAATAAATTCAAAAAAACGCCCCCAAGAGTCTTCAGTTGGGTCTTTCTTTGGGAAATCCCCCTTTGGTTGGCATTAAAGCAACCAAGAAAAGGCCGACTGACACACGCCCTGTTTCGACTCCTGGTCTCCTCAGTTCCCAGCGTCCCATCCCTGCCTCACACTCCACCGGATTCAGGGCGCAGGTGGAGTATGCCAAAAGCCCTGGCGCAGCTCTGAGCCAAGGCAAGCACAGTGCTCCTCTCTACGGATCAGCGATTTTTGAAAGGACCACCCGCCAAGCAATCCGCTTGGGGAAAAAAACCGCTAAGATTCGCCAGAAACACAGTGCCTCGCATTTCCTCGGGCTCTGATCTGCCTTCCCCCACCCCCGTGGGTCTAGCTTTCAGCGACGTTTGCGTCCCCTCTTTCGGTTGACTCCTGAAGGTTTGGGCAGTTGGTCTCGAGCAAAGGACGTAAGGGAGGCAACAGGAAGCCGAGAAGTTTGGGGTCCAAGTCCGGCTCCCTGTGTCCGCCTTTTGGTGCCAGGAGCTTCAAGCCCTGCAGAAGGATCTCCAGCTGGATCCCATGATGGCCCACACCTGGACCAAGGCAGAAATTGCCGGCACAGGGTTGTCAAACTATTTAATAAAGGGACGGCTCCCCCAAAGAAAACAAGGGGTATAGTTTTCAGTGTTCCTTTCTCCTATAGAAGTGGACGATCGGTGATGGAAGACGATTCTCAAGGCCCGAAGGGTCGATGTGAACTATTGAAAACATGTTAATTTGCTAGTTGATGGTGTGCTAAAACCTAGGGACCTCAAGAAATGGTGGTCTTCAAGTTGGTCGTCTTCACACTTACACATTCTTGAGGTCCAACCTGATGACCATGGCTTGATGACCATCGTCTGCCCGTGAACAAATACCAGGGAGCAACGAGGTAGGGGGGGACTGCGCCTTGAGATACGGTCGAGTCCTCGCAAGGAAGGGGATTTCCAAGGGGTTGGCCATTAGCCCTGGGCGATTGATCCGTTCCTCGGAAAGCAACCTACAGACTTAGATGGCACACTTCAAGCGTCCTACGCTCTGAATATTTTTGCCAAGGTGGATTCCATAGATATTAATATGTGTTAATGAATTGTGTATGTTCGATGCGACACCTGGCATGACTTGTAACTTGAGGTTGAAGGGTCTTGATTTGCAGAACATATTCTCCCTTTGTGCCTGCTCTAGGCGTCCAGCGTCGAAGAAGCGATCGGGCCTGAGTTTGATTCCTCTGTCCAACAAGCTTGCCATGCTGATCTGGTTTTGCCCTTCATACCCACTGTTCCCAACTTGTGCATCCCTTTGTCAGTCTGATTGACAAGTAGACAAGTTCACCTTCACCCTGGCTGTGGGTGGTGTAATGAGCTAGAACAGGGTTCCTAAGAGAAAACATCCAACACAATCACATAACAATGTTGCCAATCAGCGCTGCTTGAAACGTCCCTGCTCTGCTTCATACGCATCAACCAATCAAGGGCTCGGGCCTTTCGCATAGTGCCATCCCCAGAGCACGGAACCTTGCAGGACAGCGAGCTCACGCTATGCGTCTATTCGAATTCTGCCAGAAACGCCAAGCCAAGTGGCATCGCAAAGGACTCGGTCAAACAGGACCGGACAGCCATCAGCATGTTGCCGAAGTTGGGGGAAACGCCTGGAAACAGCTGGTCAAAATTCTGGAGCCTCCCTTTCCATGAAATTAAACGGAAAGCCTCGTTGCGGTATTTGTTGGCACATTCCCATGCAGTGCTACATGGCGGATTGTTCTTCACACGCCCTCGAAGTCGCAGCCAGCCGAAATGTCTAGCAGTTGTGTCCCAATCTCCAGCAGTCTCCCTTGCTCAGGGACCTGACCTGAAGTGAACCAAGGCTAACCACCAGCAATACCTGTGCAATTTCTCTTCAAAATTCGAGCAGGTCACCGGAAAGACCTATCGGAAATTGGGTCCCTCACAGGGCCGCTCGCAACGAGACGTTGGCAAGGAGGTTGCCAGAACAAAAGCAGAGATGGCCCTAGGGCTCCTGAGTATTCTCAAGCTTGGGGAAGCATCCCCGCCTCAGGGTGTCTCTCAAAATTGGGGCAGCCCCTCAAACAGATTTCCTTTGATTTGGTCCCCTCAAACCATACCCTGTGAAGGGAGTTTCTCACAATGGTGGACTGCCATGGTGGGCTTGTAAAGGGTAGCCAAAAGGAAAACCATCATTTTAATTTGGCAACCCCTATTTTGAGACCTGAAACAGAGGTTCCGATCCCACAAACGCACGCCATTCGGCTCGCTCGAACCCGTCCTGGCGTCGGCACGAGTCACGAGCAGGGGCGACGCAGGCACGCGCCGAACTCGGTCAATCAGCTTCCTGGCAGCTCAACTGAACGGGGCTGTAGAAGTGATGTGAAGTGGACATCGTTTAGGTGGGGAGTTACGTCCAATGTGTCCAAGGGGGGACCGGGGCCCAAAACAGAATTTGGGTTCCTTTGGGTTCCCCTCAAACCAACGTCAGGCGTACCTTCAAACAATGCACACCCAAATGGATCTTGACATGTGGATATGTCTTCAAATGGGAACGCTGCAAAATGGGCGAGTTTCTTGTGGTTTCCCACGAAAAAGCCAGAAAGGTTTCAAAACAGATGAAGGAGAAATCGAGACAACCTCTCCGCCTACGCAGTCTGCGAGCTCGCCCATGGGCCGCCCCAGCCCGGCCGGCCTGAGTCTGCCACCTTTGGAGTCGTTCGCCACGAGAAGCCCAGATGGTACCTGTGCCCAGGGTGCCAAGACCATCCAAGCCGCAAGCCGTACACTCCACCACTCCCAGCCTGGCTGCCTGCGCTCGCCTGCACCGCACAAGCAGGAACCAGAGCCTGTGCTGGACCGGAGCTGCCTGCATGATGTCTAAGATCTGCAGAGTCTTCGACCCGGGAGCTGCACACAGCCTTGGCGCCAAGCAAACTCAGGCGATGCCTACCCTTTTTCCATGGAAGCTGACAGGAGGGCCCCTGTTGAAAAGGCCTCCGGTCCACTTCCATGATGCTTGGAAAGAGGGCAAGTGCGACAGCCGTACAATCCAGCCGCTACAAAGGGGTCTTGAGTGCTGGACTCTACGATCTTGTGCTCTGGCTGGATACCCAAAGCAAGCGCGGGAAGCATTGAAGCTGACTCCTTCCAGCAATCTGTGGTCCGTACATGATTCCCTTGCACTCAGACAGGGAACATGCATGAGGCAAGTTCCCCCTGCGCCCTCCCCTTCCCTACGGATGTTGGGCAAAGGCAACGATGCGCCGCAGTATGCGATCATCTCACCTGCCGGATGATCTTGCCGGCGCGCTGCCCATCGGACAACACCTCGACTGAGCTGGCTCCCTCAAACCAGCACATAACACCTCAGCCACTACTATTGCCCAGGAACACGGGTCAGCCACAAATGGTTGTGTCTTTTTCAAAGGGGAACTCCACTCCCCCATCCCGTAATCAAACTGCATCAAGCTCCATTTTTGGAAAAACAGTCTGCGCAGGGAAAGGGTGGGGGACCCCTTCCGTGTGCCCGGCCTTGGCCAGCTCCGGATGGTAGTGCCCCAGCTCGTCCACCGCGTGCGCGTGTAGGCGGAAAGCCCCGCACCACGGCACCAGCCTACAGAAGTAAAACACGGCGGGACCAAACCCAGCAAAATCGAAGCTGTTTTCTTTAGGCGCCCTTTTGAGCACCCTGAAAAGCGTGATCTTCGAAAATACGAAGATCGCACCCTTCCCCCTTTTTGTTTCTTCTCTCTCTCTCTCTCTCTCCCTCTCTGGCACTTCTGTTTTGTGCGACGTCCAAGTTCTTTTAACAAAGGGATATTCAGTTCCTTTGTTTTGTGACCGCCAGTCGTTGGCCTTGGGCTGGGAAAGTGGAAACCTCCCTCTGAAATGAGGCCAAATGGGTTCTGGTCATAGGCCATACTGGGCAACTTATGGATGAAAATCTGATACATACTTGTAAACTTGTATACAGAATATAAATGTCAAGAATTCATTGGAGAAGTCCTAAGGATCTCCACGGCTGATCTCTGACGGAACCGAAAAAACCTGTAGGTCATTTTGAGCCAGGAGCTGCCAAGAAATGGCTCATTGAGCCCTGGCAAGGGGGCCATTTCCTTTTCAGAAACGCTCGAACTGAAAGCTCAAAACGGTATCTTCAAGACAGTGGCAGTCTAAAACTACTTGGTCTCGGGCCAGTCTGGGGAGATGGCTCATTTTGTCATTGGTATGTCATAGTCCCCTTCGTTACCAGGGACTCTTGTGAAGCTCGCCTAAGATCCTGACAATGACCTGTAAAACACAGGTTACAGTTCTAGGTGCTTTCACCATGTCACAAATCTGGTCATTATGTTCAAACGAAGCTATGTTGCAAGCATATCAAGGCTAGCGTATTGACTGTTCAAGGCTTCGGCCGCAACACAACACAGGAAGCAACTTCGGAAACAAGAAAACTTCATGCAATTCCAAAGACAGGTCCGATCCCGAAAGCAGAGGCCCCAGTTTTGACATGTTAGGGGGTCCCCCCTGTCAATTTACCCCCTACAAAAAAATACCCGCTTCTTTCAGGCTACTTTCGGGAAAACCTGGTTTTCCATAGTAAATACCTCCTTTTTTAGTAGAGGGTCGACATGATACCCTCTAGAAAAGAGGGTATTTGGAGTAGGGGGTACATTGAACACCTATCAAGAATTCGGGCCACGCCAGGTGTCCGGCTCCGGCTGCCAGGGTGCCAGCAGCTTCAACGCCTCCGCCTGTTCGCTTGCGGCGGCTTTCCAGCGTCCCGCTGTCTCTCTCTAAAAACAAGGGAAGAAAAAAAAGGCGATGGCTTGCTTTTTTTGGATGGCTTGAAAATGACACCAAACGGAAACCGACTAATCGGAGTCCCTGATTTCGCTTGCCATTCAGGTTTCCCTGTTTGATGGTTTAACCATCACCTTTTGGGCGAGCTCAAATATAAATATGTTTTTGAATGAATACGTTGAAACAACGGGTTTACTTCGGGTTGCACACCCTACCACTAACAAATGATGTTCGCGCTTAGTCTGGATATACGCACAGCCAGCCGAAGCGGTCTTCTGAAAGGGGTGAGTCACTGCTTCTACATCTTGAAACAATGTTTTGCAGGGTTGAAGACCCTGCTGAAAGCGTAGTATGGGTTGTCGTCCAAGTTGGAGAACCCTCCTGACGCCTTCATGTACATTCATATATGGACCAAACCGAAAACAAAAAGGAAACCAGAACAGTTTGTGGCGCTTTGGCTTGCGGCCTTATAGCTTCATGCGCCTTTTGCTGGCTCCCTCGTTCCCAAGAAATCAGCATAGAGGGAATGGGTTGCTGCACCTCTGACTGACTCATTTGAGAACGTGCTCCAAACTCAATACTCATCCCAACTCTTCAAAAATGTCCGTCACCCACAGTCGTTTCCTCCCTAGCTGGCCCTAGCTCAGAGACTGTTGGTTCGACCTTCGGTTCTGCTCCTCCAGACGCAGGCAGGGCGGCAGCGGAAGGCGCATGCGCTGCCAGCACAGGTCCCAGTCCTACGGTCCATTCGGTAAGCGCTATGGGTCTCATCTCAAAATTATAGCGCGGTGGTTTCCTGGTGTCCCTATCCCAAAAAGGAGAATTACTCGCAAAACAACAACCTTGAAAAGGAACACGTTCAGAGGGTCATAGTCAGATAGCAAGCCCAACCAGGTACAGTCGGCACACCATCGGGCCACAATTGGGCCAAACCATGTACCTGATTGTTCTTCTATGCATGTGCGTACGAAACCATCATTGGCTGGACTGTTTGACGGTCATAAATTCCATAGAGACTGTCTGCGCATGTGTTGGTTCCCTTTTAAACCACAAGGCCAAATCCAATCGAAGTGCTGGTGGCCTTTTGACATGCGGAAATCTCACTCTGGCTGGTACTGTGTATTGATCCTCTTTGCACAGCCCTTTCTTTTAAGGGGAGACTAGCGTTTCCAAGGCTGAAATGGTGTTTCGGGGCGAGGGAAAACACTGGCGCACCCTCGCAGGAAGCCGATATAGACGGAAGTTTCAAAAAGCAAACGGACTACAGCTATTTGTGTTTTCTCTTGCTCTTCCTTGTCTTGTTCACTTGTCTCCTCTCTCAGAGATGTTCTCTGTTTCTTCATTGATTGTTGCTTCTTTCTCTTCTTTGTCTCTCTGTTCTCTTTGTCATCTGTCTTGCTTCCTTCCTGCCTTCCTTTCTTCCTTCCTTCCTTCTTAATGTCTGTCTTTCTTTCTTTCTTTCTTTCTTTCGCTCTTTCGTTCTTACATTCCTTCATTCTTTCGTGATTTCTTTCATTATTCCCTACTTCCTTCCTTACTTCTTTCTTGCTTATCTCTGTTTCTTTTGCTTCCTTGCGATTATGTTCTTCTCTTTCCCTTCCTTCCTTCCTTCCTTCCTTCCTTCCTTCCTTCCTTCCTTCCTTCCTTCCTTCCTTCCTTCCTTCCTTCCTTCCTTCCTTCCTTCCTTCCTTCCTTCCTTCCTTCCTTCCTTCCTTCCTTCCTTCCTTCCTTCCTTCCTTCCTTCCTTCCTTCCTTCCTTCCTTCCTTCCTTCCTTCCTTCCTTCCTTCCTTCCTTCCTTCCTTCCTTCCTTCCTTCCTTCCTTCCTTTTTCCTTCCTTCCTTCTTCATTTATGTCTTTATTTCTCTCGCTCTTTCGTTCTTACGTTCTTTCATTCTTTCGTTCTTTCGCGATTTCTTGTATTATGTCCTTGCTTTGTTCCTTACTTCCTTTCTCTCTTTCCTTCGTTCTTTCTTTCTTGCTTTCTTTCTGTCTTGCTTTCTTCATTATCTCCCTTCCCTTCGTTTTCTTGCGGTTTTGCTCTTCTCTTTTCCTTCCTTCCTTCCTTCCTTCCTTCGCTCCCTGCCCTTCCCTTCCCTTCCCTTCCCTTCCCTTCCCTTCCCTTCCTTTCCCTTCCCTTCCCTTTTCTGCGCTTCCCGTTTCTATTTTTCATTCCCTTTCCGCTCCTTCCTTTCCTTTCCTTCCCTTTCCTTTCCTTGTTTCAGTCATTCGCTCCATCATTCATTCATTGATTCACTCATTCATGCATTCATTTATTCATTCATGCATCCATCCATCCATGCATGCATGCATGCATACAGGCAGGCATGCAGGCATTAATTCATTCATTAATTCATTAATTAATTAATTAATTCATTCATTCATTCATTCATTCATTCATTCATTCATTCATTCATTCATTGATTCATTCATTCATTGATTCATTCATTCATTGATTCATTCATTCATTCATTCATTCATTCATCTCATCTCATCTCATCTCATCTCATTTCAGTTCAGTTCAGTTCAGTTCATGTCCTTCCTTCCTTCCTTCCTTCCTTCCTTCAGTCATTCCATTCCATTCCATTCCATTCCATTCCATGCCATTCCATTCCATCCATCCATTCATTCATTTATGCATTCGTTCATTCATTCATTTTATTTCATTCATGCCTCCCTCCCTCCCTCCCTCCCTCCCTCCCTCCCTCCCTCCCTCCCTCCCTTCCTTCCTTCCTTCCTTCCTTCCTTCCTTCCTTCCTTCCTTCCTCGTTCTTTCATTCATTCATTCAGACAGTCAGTCATTGATTCATTCATTCAGCCACACATTCTTCATTCCTTCCTTTCTTTGCTTCCTTCTGTCTTGCGGAATCTGTACCTAACTGTTCAAAACTGCTGCGCCTGCCACCAAATTGTGCCAGATCTGGCGAACGCGCGGCGCCTGCCACGAAATTGGCACCTGACTCTGCGGAAGTGCTGCCTGGCAAAAAAATCTGCACCTGACCTTGCGAAAGCGGCGCGCGTGCCACGCAAACTAATGTTGCGAGAAGCACCATGGGCCCGGCTGCGGGCATTCCGAGCCTGTTCGAGAGCTCTCGCCTTCTGTCAGAGAGCTACCTAGCTCTCAACTGGTTGCCGTGCCACGTAAGGTCTCTTTTGCTCCCAGCAAACTTTGGCTTCTAGATTCGAGACAAACTCTCCCACGAAAGAGTTGGTCTCTTGTTCTGAACTAACTTCCTGCGTGCCCGTTTCGAACGCCGAACTTGCACGTATGTAGAAAAGCCGTTGTTTACGCTTGATGCAAACTCCCCTGGAGATCCTGGAGCAAGCTTGTTTCGAGGTTCTTGCCGATAACAAACTAGGCACCCAAGAAAACATTAAGCTTTGCGTGTGCAAACAAATGTATGTTCACTCGATCCCAAAAAAAACAGCTCGCAAAGTCGCAAAGTCTTGGGTAGTAAGCATGGCTAAATCAATCTTTCTTCACGCAATGCAAGGCGTGTTTCTTCCGGACAAACTGAAGTGCGCCCCTGCATCGACTGATGCACATCACGTAGACAAACAGCAGAAATATTCTGAAGCAACCGAATTGTAAGCGGCATAGTCCTTGCAAAGCTTCTGCTCGCGGTAGAAGGCCTGCAGCGAGGCTTACGAAGGCACAAACATCAAGCTCCGCTTCAGCTGCTGCAGATCCATCCAGCCGCGTGCGCAAGCTATGCACCAATGAGACCTGCCTCAAAGTGCTCCAAACCACCCGGGAGATCCGCCCTGAGAAAGGCAATCGAAATACCAAGTGGCTCTGCACGAGCCTTCGAACCCTGGGCGCCGAGCAAATCCGGCAGATCTCCGCTGGCCTCGCGCACTGGGCAGCTGCCCCCCTCCCCCAAACCAAGACCCCCCGGCCTCCGAGCGCGACGACCTCAGGATGGCCATCTCAAGTCCACACCCATTGAATGGCACGTCCAGAATATGCCGGAATCATAAAACGCCTCCACCCCTCCGACTGACTCCAGAATTTGCATCAGGAGCTGAACGCAGGCTGCGAGAATCAAGGCAAACTGATGGCAACTCCCTGATGGCAACTCCCTGATGGCAACCCAAATCCACCAGTCCTTGCAAAGCTTAAACATCCGAAACCCAAATACTGGCAAATCTGACAAGACCTACATTTTAAGCAGCAAAACAGCTGATTGCACCCCTCCAGAATCAGGTCGAAGCTCCTGGCTGGAAAGGGCTCTCCATGAAACCCACTAGTTGCGCGCCCCGCCCCACCGCCCCACCGCCCGGGTCTGGCGGGGCTTTGGACAAAACAAATGGTAAGCGGAGCAGCAAGCAAGGTCGAATGGCACCATTTCAGAGATATCCGGTGTTCAGCAATCCTGGTAACTGACCAAATTGTGTGCGCAAGCCTGAATGAAAGCAAGCCGTCGGACATGAGCTCAGCAGTCGCTGTTGAAAGGGCGTGACGCAATTCTCAAACGCAGTCACACGCTCCAAGCTCGCGGTCCCCTCTTTTTCCCGGCAGGGCTCTGAGCTGGGCTTCGCTTTTGGCTTTGCCAAAGTAAGTCAGCCTTGAGGTGGAAATGAGCATATCCTTGCCGGGAGAGAGCAGGGACTCTTTGAGCTGCTCTCGCAGGCTTCGGACGTGGTCTTCCAATGCTTCCTCGGCACGATGCTCAGGTGATAATGTGCCAACTTGCCCACGCTGTTCATATGCTGCGGATGGTGCGGTTTCAAATGGTACTCGGCAGTTTCTGCTGCTCACTCTAAGTGAAAACACAAGTCCAGCTGATTGCACTTCCAACTGCCCAGCCTGAGGAGACCTGTCGATCGGCAGGAAACCAAGACATGCTGGGCGAGCTGCAACAAGGAGGTGTTCTTACACCGGGCACCACGTGTTGCAAGTGGAGGTGGAACACATGCGGAACTTACCTCTTTCAGAGATTCAGCAGGGTGTCGTCTAGCACTTAGCAAGCCCTGTAGTGACTCCAAATTCTGCAGCTTGTTGCCTCTCTGTGAGCGGCTCTGCAATATCAAAAAGGCTCTTTGCAGGCGATGGCAATGTGAGTGACTTGGAGAAACCAGCAGTGGGAGATAGAGCCCGTGAGTCGTGCCTGAAAGGAGCGCCCTCCAACTGATCAGCAATGCCTATTTTCACAGAAATAGGGCAACTCAGATTCGTCCAACCGTCATTCAATCAAACTCCTCAACTCCTCTTTCGTCTTTTGAATCTTTCGACCCGAAGTCTCGAAGTGCCCCCGCCCGCAACTTCGTGGCCGCCGCGGGGCGTTGCGGAGCCGCTCTGCCTGGAGCTCCGCGTGCAGCGCGGCGAGCTCCACCCGCGGCACGCCAGCCGCGTCCGCTTCGGCCGCGTCCGCGGCCGCTTCGGCCGGCTCGGCCTCGGTTGCCAAGGCAGAGCGTTCCTTCGGAACTGTCCAGTTGTCTATGCGTGACAAGCCGACAAGCCCAGACCTGACCCGTCAGCTCACCACCCCAATCCCATCCTCAATCTCCGTGACCTTCTGCTCCTTGAGCTCGGCAATCTCCGCTTTCATCTGCTCCACTAGCTCCTGGGAGGGAAGGACGCCCGGGCCTCCATCAAACATGGAAACAGACCTTGGGCCTTGGGCTGGCCATTCAACAGTTTCCTTGGAAGAGAATGTCCTGACAGGGTCTTCGAGGCGATGTGGCAGAATGTAGGATGTGGCAGGACAACAACCCAGCACAATTCAACGGTGTGGATACTGCAATCGATCTGTGGACGCTGAACCAGTAAACAAATGGTCGCTCCAGGTGCAAAACACAGTTTGGCCGTGATCAGGAAGCACAGGATATCCAGCCACCAAATCAAAGAGCCGGGCGCCCTCCAATTTGCTATTCCTTTGGCTTGCATTGGCCACGCAACAAGGGCGAAACCACATTCTCAAGTCCATCCTAGTAGCACAAACAGCGCCAAATGACAAGACACGCAAAGGCAAGTGGCGATAGAAGGGCCTTGGAAGCTTCCTTCCCGATATATTCCGATTGGTTCCTGATCAACCTGACCGCGGCGCTTGCCCCCCGCAAACAAAGTTCCTCATGTCAATGTGTCCTCTTCGAGCACATTTAGACTGATTTTAGGGTGGGTTCAAGGATTGTTTCGGGTGGGCTTGGGCGGGGCTTAGGTTTCTTTTGTGTGGGTGTGCGATTGGTTTGGGTTGGCATTGCGCTGGGCTGGGGTGGGCGCAGGTTTGGGTTTAGGTGGGTTTGTGGTGGGGTTAGGGTTGGTTTGGTGCCGGTCAAGGGCGGGTCTGGTTTAGGCTTAGGCCCGGCTGGTTTAGGAACGCTTTAGTGCTGGTTTGGTGTGGGTTTAGGGTTGGTTGTGCTTAGTGCTGGCTTACCGTGGCTTTGGCTTGGTTTAGGGTGGTTAGGGCTGGCTTAGGATTCGTCAGGGGTGGGTGTAGGGTTGGTTTACAGTTGGTTTAGGGATGGTTTAGTGGTGGCTTGGGCTGGTTTTGGGTGGGTTTTGCCTGGGTTTGAGGTTGATATAGGGCTTGCTTAAGGTTTGTCTAGGGTTGTCTTTGGTGTTCTCGGGATTGCTTGGTGGTTTACGGTGGGATTAGGGCGGTGCCGCAGGCAGAATCAAGGATGAAAGTATTGGTCTACAAACGCCTCCAGCGCCATGGTCCTCCACATCACAAGTAGTCCTTGCAAGGACCTGTTGATCAGCCAAACCCCCCACTGAATTCCGGCAAATGTGTTCTTCACCCCCCCCCCAAAAAAAAAAAAAACAAGCGCGAAAGCCGCCCAAACGACGCTGCTGGAGGTCTCCTGGAGCTCCCGAAGCTGCTTCTGTTCGGGGGTCTCGTTGCTCAGCGTCTGCCGAGGGATGGACCCGCACTTCGCCGCGAAGCTGGCAGTTGGCACAGGGCGGGGGCGAGGGGTGGGCACGGCAGGGGGAGGCCGTTTCAACCTCGTCTCCACTGATTGGTTGTAACATCGGATTGATAGCCTGGCACAGATGAAAGGAGGGGTTCAACCAGTTGTCTCATCACCGTAGCTGCGAGTTGCATGACCCTTTCGCAGAGTTTGGACAGCCCCCGGAAACAACTGAAAAGCCCCATCAGGCAGCCTCGTAGTGCTAGGATTCAGAGACGGCGACAGTGGCACCAAAAGGGGAAACATGAGGAGCTCTGCGTAAATCAGCCTTCAAACGCTGCATTTGTGCTCAAGTGTTCCCATGTGTAAGGACTTTGCTTGGGATCCTTGCAATGGCCTGATGACAATTCTATCAAGCCAAATAAACCAGGCTAAAAAGGCTGTGCGTCGAGCTGGATGCCAACCTGACTGAACATGAATAGGCATTATCTTTAGGGTGAAGGACGGAGGGATTCTTCCGGTGCCGTCAGTGCAAAAACGCTTCTGCACGGCAAAGTGCTGAAAGAACAATGCACTAAGGCTGCACCAAGTGTTGAAGTCCAGCCCTTCTGGCTGCACGTGTATCCAATTCCAAGCAGTTCATCTCTCTTTGGGCTGGTAGCTCTTGTTTGAGCGAGTTTTACAAAAAGTTAGCTGATGGTCCATGATCAACTGCCTTTGAACGGAGCTCTCTGACTCTTTATCCTACCACACTTAAGCTAGTGACTGCGACGAGACTCCGCCCCCAACCAGACCCATGCAGACTCTCTGTGTGGGCTTCCCATATTCCGGGATCGCCGTTTCCAAAATCGTTCCGGTTCCATGCGACTTTCGACTTGCAACGCCTCAAGGTGTTGGCGGTCTCGTCGTAGTGGCGCTTCGCCGGAGAGAAGGCCGCCAGCAAGATGGTAAAGCCGCTGCCACAAAGCGCTTCCATGAGCACCTGCACGAGAACTCGAGGAAAGAAACCAAAACGAAAACCGGAAGGAGTCCCGAATTTTGAGAAACACACATTTGCCCACGGCGGACTACCGATACTCACGTACCGCGGTTGGCCCATGGCTAAATCTATGCAGCAATGCTGCAGCACAGCACGCAGCAAAGGGCGAACCACATTCAATCAGCTTGACCTGTATCGTGCTCATCTCAATACTTCACGACTTCTCCTGTCTGCCATTTTGCTTGCCGCAGGAAATGGTGGCAAGGTCCATTCCCACATCCCCTTCTAAACTCCACAAGCACTTTGTCGGTAGTAGACACGCAATGAGAACTGTTCATGGGCGACCTCCCTTCTTCGGGCGCAGTCGTCATCCCGATGAAAGTGCTGGGCCATATCAGGGCCTAGCCGTTGAGAGTGTCACTTCGACTGATGGAGTTCGGCTGTTTGAGACTTGGGCAAGAACTCTCATTTCACAAGACCCTTCCTTTCAGCCCCGTTGCTGAATACATGTGTGTGTGTGTGTGCGTGTGGGTGTGGGGGTGGGTGAGGTGCGTTTTTGATTTTTCACGTTTTGAAAACAAAAGCAAACCCACCTTTGGGGCCCGCTAGTTTGACACATTCCCACATACACCGACCATCCAGCCTTCGTCAGCTTGGAGTTGCGGAAGGCGCTTGGGGGGCTGCCCGAGGACGAGGACAAAGCGGACACGCAGTTGGAGAGCATCAGCAGCGACTTGTTGATGTGTGCCGTCTCCTTCTGATCCTGCCAAACAAACAACCAAAGAAACAAAGAAATAAACAAACAAAACAAACAAGCAAGCAACGAAAACAAAACGAACACAGCACGACGCATAAAACAAGGCAGCCAATATTAAACAAAGCTCCAAATCTTGTCTTATCTACTTAATTAGTCAAACATCAAGCTTCCAAATAGATCCGCAGAAAAGCTGCATGTCTTGCCTGAAACGCTGACCGTTGAACACAGCCACCAAACGACCAAACGTGAGGGTGGCTCCCCACGACCCCCACGCCCAACTCCGATCCCAGCCTGCCCCGCGACGCGCTTCAGCCGCTCGGAGCCCGCCAGGTCGGCGAAAATCAACTTGCCCGGCTTGCCAGGCAGCGGAATCTCAACCTCCGTCAGAACCGCTTGTGGTTTCCACGTCCAAACCCGTACCCCCAGAAAACAAGGGGTCTAAAGCAACTAATTGCCACTAAATATGTATCCGAAGTTTATGCACTATACAAACAATACCCTGTTTTGCCGGGGGTATTGGTTTGAGGCAGTTTTAACCCTCTTAGGAGGGGGCTGCAGAACGAACAAAAGCAATCCCGGCAACTCCCAAAGCAACAAGCACAAAAAGGAAATGAATCGAAGTCAACGCGGCGTTCTAGTTTTATGAGCATGTCAAAAGTCAACTCCTCTTGGCAATGAACTCCAAAAGAAAAGCCAGTGCAATGAATGTGTTCTTTCCATGCTCAGACATTCACTGAAATTCCTCTCCCCCTTCAAACGGTTGGTGCCTGGGAAGTCTTCCCGCCCTCAGCTGCCTCCCATCATGCACCAGCCAAGATGCTGAGAAGATGGCATGAGCCCTGGATGACTCTCTGCTGGCTGAGTGCCCATGGGTGTGCCTGGCAGGCTTAGCCATCAAACGCGCGCCGAAGTCAAAAAGGGAGCCTGGCAAACTTAGGGGAAATGTCATCCAAAATGAAACTGCCCAACCCTATTTGGGTAATGTGTTTAATATGGAAGACGTGTAGCTTCAATATCAGGATCTGTTTGTTTGACTTTGAGCAGGCAAGACACGTTGCTTTTGCGAGGTACCCGCACTCACCCCGTCAGCTGGTAAAAGAGAAGTTGATCGAATAGGTAACTTGAGATGATAGCTGCAGAAGTCACACTGAAAAGGTTGCTTTACAAAGGCCATGTGAAAAGATGTGTGCAGCACATCTTGCGGATCCCACGTGTAGTTCAATAAAACACTGCTTGAGATCCAGAGTAGTCTTTTTGCGCCTTCTGTTAAGACAGAAATGCCCAACAATATCACAACAGCGAGTCGACCCATCGAATCTGCTGAGGCGACAAGCGGTACGTGTCCCAGAGGAGTGCCGGCCCACTCAGAGCAACCCCCGAAGCAAAGCTCCATCTCAGGCCAAAGCCTCAAATTCTCAAAGCTACAGTAGCCCAGGGTGCAAGCACAGATTGCGAAAGCCAAAATCTTTGCAAACCCACCAGAGCCCCGCATCTACTTTGTCGTCTATATTGCCCCTCAATAGAATGTGGGTGCCATCCCCAATGGTTTGGGAAGGAGTCATTCCCTCAGCTGAACAACTGGCAGCTGAGCGGGCCAACCCGTCCCCCCAGTCCCACAATCCCCCATGGGTCAAAATCCCGTACCCCCGGTGAACATCCCAATCCCCACTAAAATAGACTAAAATGGGAGGTGCACCTTCCCCAAAAGGGGATCCTATTGGTTTTGACCCGCAGCCATTTCCCAACCCTGAGCTCCCTGCCCAAGCTCCCTGCCGCTCGCCTGCTGGCGAGGCCCCTTTGGAGCGCCTGCATCACCTCGATGGCGGAGCTGCAGCTCACCTGCGTGAGGCCCGGCACGTGGAAGCCAACCTCCCCCGACCGCTGGTACACCTCCAGCCTCGGAGCAGCAAAAAAGCGACTTATGAACTCAGGGATTGGTTGCCGTAGAACATATACACATGAAATTAAAAGCAGTGAGGGGGGTCTTGACTTCGAACGCCTGAAAGAGGTTTCACACGTAGATGTCGTTTTGGAAAAATGGGTGGAGTCCACTCGCAAATGAGTGGAACCAAAGTGGAACCAGTGGAATGATCCAGAAAGGACACCGAAGTGGAGACAGAGGGAAGCCAACAGAAAACCAACCCGTTGAAATCACCCGCACCACATCAAGGACTCTCTGAAGTTGGGCTTTGGAGTCGAAAGTGGGCTGGCAGCTTCTGGGGACTTGCCAGTAGGCATCGCACAGAAACTTGCCAGGTATAAACAATTGCAAGGGTCACGCGCTGGATGCCCGGATGCCCAAACTGTTGCAAGGAAACCAACCAGAGTTGTTCTTGTTCCCGACTTGCAGTTTGTTGGGCATCCACCTTAGTGTTGCTCGTTCATGGGCCTTGGTGAGTTGTCTGATGGCTCCCATCAAATATACTATGGCCTTCTTGATAGTGGCGCGTGCTACATGCAACCCGAAGCTCTTAGGCAGCAGCGTTTACGGAGGCTGGCGTGGGCCTCGGCCAAGAGACTTGGTGTTGGAGGGGTTGAAGAGGTCGTAGATGGCCTCGTTGTAAATCTCCATGAAAGTCGCGCGCGGGCGAAGTGAGCCCAAGCCCATGTGCTCCAAAGTTCTGAAGAGGAACTGCAGGGCCCTTGGCAGCAATCCCTGCTTGCCAGCCTTCAAGGTTGGGCCAAGCCAATCAAAGCTCAAAAAGGCTCATTTGTCTCCTTCACCAAAGTCTTACAAAAGGGGCACAGTTCAAATCACAATGTCGATTTGGGTGTATTGTTCAAAGTGTCTCTGTTTGTTTAGTTTACCTTTAAAGCAACCCAACGTTTCCGCCGTTTGCCCCCAGTTTGGCTGTCTCCCCGTGTCCCCGTCTCGCCTTGGCTCTTCTGGCCTCATCCACCAGCACGTAGCAGGCCTTCGGCAGCCGCGCCTGGGCGGCGGGGGAGACCTCGTCGTCCACCAGCTGCGTCAAACTCTCCGAGGGCCCGAAGAGGGAGTAGGTCTTCCCCGCCCCCGTCTGGCCATACCTGGGATGTCTGGGATGGTAAATGGGGGAACCTTTTGGTTGAAACACCCAAAACGGTACGCTGCCAATTTGAGGCCCGAAGCCGACGGGCACAAGTTGGAGGGAACAAAGCTAATACCTTGGGTTGCTCCAAAGAAACATTGGAATTCGACCCCATGAACACAAGTCGGTGGAGAAAAGAGGTTCGTGGGAGAGAGAGGCAAACCAGAGGAAACCACAAGGCTTGCAGCGCCACCACGCGCAGCAACGCTGCGACTGCACCGTGGCACAGCTCTGCCAAATTCAGAGCACACACTTGCGCCCTTGTTGAAACTTGCAGAACTCGCACGTTGGTCTGCCACAGAGTGCCTGAGCATTCGAAAACGCATTTGTTGCAAAAGTTCTGCCAAGGAAAGGTGTCAAAAGCGCGCAGAGCGCTTCACCGGTCCAGATTGGGAGGCGCACGACGTTGCGCACAACATGTATATATATTATATACTGGAAAAACAAACACCTTTGCAAAGAACAGTCTATGTTGCGTCTTTGGAGAGTGGCACTTCTTTTAATACTGCTTGGTGGTTGAGTCACTTTACAAGGTGATTCCCTTGCCCAATCAAACAAAGTCACCCCAACATCCTTGCCACAACCATGCCGTTGGGGGCGGAGCGGACGCGTTTGCACATGGAGCCCGGAAAAACCGTGCTCATATATATATATATATATATTATGTATATCTTGTACACATATTACGTATGTATTTATAGCAAATATATCCCGCCGCTTTGGCACTAGGATTTTGTCCATCCCCGAAGACGTGCCCCAGCCACCCCAACCCCATCCAACCCCCATCCACCTACCCAACGGGTATATGTCAAAGAGGGCACCAAAGTGTCCCTTTGGGTTTGCCTTTAAGACCACCCCAGATACTGTACCCTCAAAGAGACGCACACAAAACACACAAACAAAGAAACAAAGAAGCAAAGAAGCAAACAAACAAACAAACAAACAAACAAACAAACAAACAAACCAAACCAAACCAAACCAAACCAAACCAAGCCAAACCAAACCAAACCAAACCAAACCAAGCAAGCAAGCAGGCAGGCAGGCAGGCAGGCAAACAAACAAACAAGCAAGCACAAACAGGCACACACAATATACACATATATGATATGTATATTTATATATGATGTTACATTCCCGAGCCACGCGAAGATACTGCAGGTGAAGCCCTCGCAGGCGCGGTGCACCAGCGCTCGCACCCCCGAGCCTTGGTCCAAACTTTGCTTGACTCGCGCAATGGTCAGTAACACCACCACATTGGATCTTAATTTTGTTGTTGTGCTTGTTTGTGTTGGGAACAGTCATTTGTCGAAAAGTTGGGAGTCAAAAGGTGGGCAAAAGAGCAACCAAGGAGCAGTGGAAGAGCCGCGTCTGCGAGCAGCGCAGCGCGCAGTCGAACTGCAAAGTGTGCCGTGCCGGGACGTAGCCGTGGTGCAGCGTCTCGTAGGACACCGTGACGTCGTCCAGCACCTCCGCCGCCACGTCGTCCCCTTCCTCGGACAGAGAGAGAGAGAGGGAAACATAATATGGCACGGGCAAAGCTCCTTCCATACCAAGCCCGAAACGGGTGTTCATGGCATAGTGGTGTGGTGCATGATGTTGGAGGGTAAACCACCTTCCCATTTTGAAGTTTACCCATTGGCAAACAAACCCTTCTGACTGGGCATGTTGTCACCAGTCCGGAGGGGAAACTAAGGCCCCAGAGACAGGCTTAAGCCCCCGCATCAAGAATCTCCTGCCAAATCCATGTCGTATGTCGTGCTGACCCGTTGGAAAGTCAAGAAGTGAGCAGTGGAAAGAACCCATCGGCCAAAGAAAGGGCAACATCTCGAACCAGGGATGCCTGCGAATGCTTGGGTATCTATGGTCATTATGGTGATTTCCTTTCGAATTGATGAAACACTCACCCATCGGTTGAAATGCTGGAAACCCTACAAGTTGCCCCTTTACGACATCACGTCTGCCAAAGAAAGGCCAAAATGTTCAGCTCAGCATCCTCGTGTGGCAGCATAGGCCTCACTCTGGCCACCACCCGCATGGGCCGCACGCACAGCTCCTCCTCCTCCAAAGGCACATCCTCAAAGTTGTCCTCCAGTGGCCCAAAATGGGCTTGGGCAAACAGAAATAGACCATGCACCCCCTTTAAAGGAGAAACCGGGAAGCGAACAGGGAGATGTCAAGATGCTCAACATGTGAGCACCTGGCATTGAAAAGGTCTTACCCAAAACCCATAGTAAGGAATTGTTTGCGGCAAGTGGACTGCCCCCCAAACCCCTTCCAACCACATTCGTGATGAAGGGAAACCTGGCAAAACCTGAATGAGGATGCTGGAACACATGTGTCAGCATGTCATGGACTACAAGGGAATCGGCAAACCCAGGTCAAGGGCGTTGAAACAACTGGCCCACCAATTGCGGGGCCACCGCCAAGAACAAACGACCCTGAAAAAGACCCAAGACACACGGGCTTCTTTGAGGGTACCCTTTCCAGCTTGTTTGTTGTTGGAGAACCAAAGGCACCAGTTTGGGGGGTTTCAACGCCCTGCTCTTGTCAAAAACCACCCACATCTTGCCTCTGGGTCGGGCACTTCCACGGCGGCTCGAGGGTCCAGCTGCAGCATTGGCACGCCGAACAGGGAGAAGACCTGGCCATTGAATGATCAACGGACCGGGTTTTGGTTGGTTAACAAAGGGAAACGGAAGGAAGCTTTGGTTGGCCAAAACAGCGGAAGCCGAAGGAAACAGCCTATTTTAGGGCCTCCCTTTTGAGAAACACCCGTTTGGAGGGGAACCGCCTTGGGAATGGTTGGTCCATTAGTTGAAATACCTGGAGACGATGTTCCGCAAAAGTGGAGAAGCTGTTCAGAAAGTTTCTCAAAGGGACGGCTGATGTCTTGCGGGGAAACCAAACAAGGACCTTCCTACATGGCGGACATAAATCCCCATTTAGCAACTTAGCAACTGTCCACCAATTAGATTCACACCCTGGCACACACCTCAGACATGGCTGTTTCGTAGGAAACCTTTTTGTATGGAGTCCCTTCCCCGCTCGAAAAAAAGACAATCCCAAATGGTCCTTATGCATATAGATCATTGTAAATCTCGTTAAGACTCATGTCAAGTCCTCTTAATGGACAGACCGACTTCCGTTGGCGCTCGTCCCGGCCTCGCTGAACTTCAGGTCTGGCCTTTGCGCCTCCCAACTGGCCATGAGTGCGCAGGCCTTCTGTGCGAAGAGCTTGCACCTCCTGTTTGGGTCAAAATGACTGCTGCTTTGTATTTTTTTCAGTTGACAGGGTTGCAAAAGGGCGTGCAAAGATTGGATTTCCTCGCTGAACATGTGCCCCATGTCCCTCCTACTCTTCTACTTCCTAGAACTTGGGTGAGCAACCGCTGGCTTCTGTGGGCATTGAGTCAGATCCGGTCAAAAGAAGTGTGCCCAATGACTTATAAACTGCCCACCCGGCTCCTGTTGGCCTGCTGCTGGACATCGCAGCTGCTGACGATGGATCCATACTTGTGCGGGATGTATCTGGCAGGTAATCAAGTGTCTATGAACCGCATGTGCGCGGAGCAATGTTTGAGGGGCCCACACAAGCAAAGGACTTCTGAAGTCTGCACCTGCACATGAAAATCATCTTACAGCCGCCCCCACCGAGGGCGAGCGGGGGGAAAAGGCATCACTTGCGCACGGACATCGATTCATGGGGTGAGGTTAGCGGACACCAAATTTGAAGACTCTGGCAGAAAATGAGACAAGGCCAAGCGTGCACACGAACCCCTTGATATTCAATTTCCACGTCCCCACATAACATAATGGAGCAAAACAGCGTGCGCAGCCGTATCTCCAATCATGCAAGAATTTTGAAAACACCAAAACATGCTTTGTCTGACAAATAGCCAAAGTATGCCAGTAGCTGAAGTGGCCAAGAAGCTATGTCCTCTCTAATCCTGGCCGCCTAAAACCCAAAACAGTCATCTGAACTGACCAACGAACCAACCCACGACCGACTGACCAACCAACCACGCGGCACAAGCCATGCACATCTCGGAGCCATGGCCTAGTGGCGAAGGGCCAGTCCAAAGAGCTCCACTCTTTCAGCGCTTGGCGGACCACGTTCAGCCTCAAGGCATGTGGCAGAAAATGCATTGTGGTGGGGATGGGTGGGACGTGTGGGGTGATGATAAAAAGAACCAAAGCAAACACGGCCATCTGCACACCCTGGAACATGCATGTTGGAGTGGAATGGGGCCTTGATTTTGTTTTGGCCTGGCTGTTAACATGAGGGACAACCTCCGTGGACCAACCCTGACCAGAGCAACCCACCTCTCACCCTCCTGTCCCTCTCTGACGGGCAGCTCTCGCAGGATCTTCTGCGCGTCTTGGCGCAGAGGCGCCTGCGGAAAGAGCCCAGTGTGGCTTGAGCCTCTGCTCACTTCCATGGACTTTGCCTCAAAAAGCCCTCCCCACCCCACCAGTAAAATCGCACAACTGCAAGCGTACGTCCCATCCTATGGCTCCTCCCCCATTCACCACCCCATAACCCCTTTCCCCGCTGATCCCACGTCCCACACTCTCGCCTGGTTCAGCAGCCTCTGACGCTCCTGTGCCGTGGTGACCAGGCTCTGAAGCCGCCCGTCCCCCCGCTGCAGCCCGGCGCCCTCGAATCCCAGTAGCGCCCCAAAGGACACCTCGAGCGCGAAGCCGACCCCATGGGAATCGGTCTACGTGCCGTTTTGTTAAACCCGGGGTCCCCTTGGGGTGGCTTTTAAGGGAAAAAACAATTGACACCGGGAAGTCCAACTGGTTTGGAGGTCGCATATTTTCAGACACAGACATGAACGCTAATGGACATGGGCTGTTAGGTGGACATAGCGGACATCATCTAACTGGCTAGATGTATGCAAGTATTTGTTTGAGGCGGTTCCAGTTGTGTTATCGATGTTTGTTTAAGTGTCCAAACAGGGGCCATTCTTTGTTGGTGAAGAGAAACCAAAAGGGAAACGCACATGTTTGGGGTACCCTACTTGGGTTGGGCGCAAGGGCTTGGCCAAAGGCCAACCGCGAGTAGACTTTCTGAACCATCCCACCGGGAGCGACATTTGTTGCATTTTCCCATCTCCCTGCCATTTAGGCATCGTTATGGCGTGAACTTGAACTCAAGTGTCAAGATTCAGCTTGGTAATCATTTTTGATCCCGACATGAGAACCAAACCCCGCGTGGCCCGCGTCGTGCCCTGGGTTCTATGAAGCGAGGCTTGCTCTTTAGAACGTGACATAACGTGACTATTCAGGGCAGTTGAGTCCAGAATCAGTACTCCCGTGCAAAAGAAGCTGGAACCCAACAAAAAGAGGGTCTTTTTTCATGTTCAAAAGGTGCCTCTGTCATCATTTTGGGTTCCCCTTACACATCACCCTACCAAGCGCAATGGGCGAACACTGCGATGTGTGCAACCACCAAGACGTAACATAGTATGTCTGAAGTTCCATTTACCCTAAGGCGTTTCCATCCAACCACCAACCTTTCGTCCGGGACCCGTGTCCCCCAAATCGGGGCCATCTTCTTCCCAGCCGCGTCCAGGGACTCGGCGATCTCCGCCAGCAGCAGATCCTTCTGCTTCTGCAGCTCCCCCCGCAGCGCGGCGTCCAGGGACTCCAAACAGACCTGACCCGAGTACGAATCCTGGAGGCCTGGATGGTAACGGAGCCATGGGCAACCTTTTTTCATGGGAAACAAGAAACCCCATGGGAAACAGTGAAAATGGCAAAAATGTTTATGGGGTAACAGAAAAGGAACCCTGGATCTGTTAGGACCCGCAGGCACCGGAGAGGAATTAGAGAGATCCTTATGTCAAGCGCAAAAGAAACATCAGTCCCCCTTCTTCGTTACAGTGTCCTTGCGGTGTTTGGTATGAACATATTTGGCTGACATATTTTATCTGTACTTGGTCCAAAAAGGGCGGGCCATGATGAACAAGGTCATACAGACATTGGATCAAAGGAAATCCTTTGAGACCAAGAGCGGCGGTGAATTGATTGTTTGGGGAATCTGGGCAACTCAAGGGAGGGGGCAAATCTTGCGGGGAAAACAAAGCGACATGAAACAGGAAGCAAGCCCAGCCTGGCAGAGGGTTGCCAACGAGGACTCTGAAATCGCGGGCCCAGCTGGGCTCTGCGTCTTTTGGCGATTCCTCGAAAAGGAGGAGGTCGCCCTACATTTGCCACAGGACTTGATATGGCTCGCCACCTCGTCTTTCAGCAACTTCGTGAGCCCATTGCAGAAGTCCTGGTATGGACCGATTACATACCCGATTGGTACAAGTAGCCCGCGGGCTGTGGGTAAAAATAAATTGCCCGAGTAGGTAAACGTGCCTGAGACACAGGTCATGAAGGTTCATCGAAAGATCAACTGATCGCGCTCCACTTTGGATTTACCGGTTGTCAGCCGAGTATAACCCACATAAGTGGCCTTCTTGTATTCCCTAGGGGGATTGGAGAAACAGGTGGCAGGTAAACTTGGCATCCGATTGGTTCTGTCTGTCAGCCGATGCGGCCGAGTCGTCGAGGTCCTCCCACTCTGGAAAGTCGGAGGCCAGGCGCTGGCACTCGCCCCCGCACATGTCCCGAAGCGTCACCAGCTCGCTCGGGATGCTCACGGGCTTGCGGGAAGAGGTGGATGCGGACCTCAAGTGTTATATGACCATTTCAACAAACGCCACAACACGCCACAACCATTTCAAGCACTTGCCTCTTGCTTCCTTCTCAAATCAAAGGGCGCAATTCTTCCTGGCTTCCTGGCTTTCTGGTTCTTGGGATCCAAGGCCCCACCTGGCCGGTGTTCGCCTGGTCGAGCCCAGTGAATTGCTCAAGGAGTTGGAGGAGGGCGTCCGCTTCATCACCGGCGTGGTGCTGCCGCTCGCCAGCCCCCGAGATCGAGAGCTGCCTCCAAAGGCACAAGAGCGACACAGCTTTTCACGGCGGATTTGGTGGAGCGGCTTTCACAAAAAGAAAGTTCAAATGACTGCGCTTGGTCACGCAACGCGTATTTGCCCAGCAAAAAACTTTCAAAGTTCGACCCTTTGAGCGTCGCCTGAGGTGCTTCGAGCGTCGCCTGAGGTGCTGGTGGTGCTTGTCGGAGAGCCCCACAAAAGCTGAACGTTGCCCTCCGCCTTCATGTCTTTCCCCTCTTTCTGCTCCTTCGCGTCTCTTCTCGGAGTGGTCGATCTGGGGACAGTTGATCTCGGGGTCGCTGATCTCGGGGCAGCCGAGCTTGCCGATCTCGGGCCAGAGCTGGGCGTGGCCGATCTCGGGGCAGATCTCGGAGTGGCCGATCTCGGGGTTGAACTTGTGGCAGTGGAGTTTGTTGGGGTCGCACTTGCTGGTGCCGGAGTGGCGGCTCTGCCACAAGGCCGTCTCTCAGGCGTATTCCTGAGCGGCTGGCTGGGTGTACGCTCCCTGGACTCACTCGACGGCATGGCCGACGGCAGATCTACGAAAGGAGCATGGTGGGCAATGCCTCCAAGTCGTACACGAGCCAAACATTTCCAGCACATGCGTGTTCAGCATGCCAAAATGTTCAAAGCTTCAGGCGAGGCCAGCGTGAATGAAGCCACCCACCACCGTGGTGACAACCGGACCACTCGGAAGAAAGCAAAAGCTCTAGACTCTAGACAGTTTTTGAGACTCCCCAGTTAGCTTGAAACACTGGTTGGAAAATGCGCTTTGAGAAACTGAGGGATCCCCGGACAAGGCCACTCTGCTTTTGACTCCTTGCAGACTTTGTGATTCCTCATGCACGGAAGGCCACTCTGCAGCTCTTCAGCACGGAGCATGCGCTCGTGGACTTCGCAACTCATTAACAGCTCTGGCAGAGCCATGAGGCTTTGACTCCAATTTGAGGGAACCACCTGACTTGCTTGTTTCCCTCTAAGCTTCTAGACACACCCAGGAAGCCTGATCGGGAAGTTCCCAAAGCAATCTGTAGTTTCTCGGGTGGCTCGCAATCGCTTCACAGCCGCAGCTGCCTGCAATGACATCAGATGCAAGCCCTGAAGTGATGTCCGACCGTGCTGGGCCTAGCCAAGTGTCAGATTGGAGTGGCCACCTGGTGCTTGATTGACCTCAGGGCTCGTCCTAGCACAAACCAGGGCCTGTAGATAATACACTTGAACAAGGGCACCCAGCTGTTCCCAGGGCAGCCCTTTGACACATTCCCGCATTGACATGGGAGAGATGCTTAAGGCCCTCACCACGATGGATGACCGCACTGGCTTGCGTGCTGAGGCGGAATCGCCTACCTTGCAAGTCTAACGCCCTTCTTATTTCAGGCCACATGAACCTGCACTTCTCAAATTGCAGGACACGGTCTGATCATTGGCAGAGAAGAACATGTCATGTAAGAGGCATTCATATGCACAGTGCAAGTGCAGTAAATGGTTGCAATGTGTTGCAATGCTTAGCTGTGGGGACTCGTTCTGCAGGGAAGCCAGCTCTTTCCGGGATGAAGTGGATTCAGTATAAATCTCGCCGAACCAGTGGCTTTCTAGAACGGCAAGCGATTGGAACAAGCGTTTGTTGGCATGGGCAATGCAAGGCTCCTCATTCGAGGTGTGATCTGTCGCATGCGCAAAGAATCTGCCGCGAGTGACCTGCGCGTGGAACTTTTGGTCCTTTTCACCTGGGCCAATTCTGTCAGCGCTTTGACATCGGCAGCAGTGTATGGAGCTGGTGTGCGTACAACTGCGGCCCGTGACTGCCCTTTGGCCCTGGGATGATTTTGGTCTGCATTCAAACCGGGGTCTCGCAACAACATTTGCTCAAAGCCCAAATCACATCGCAGGACTCATACACTGGCGAGCCTAGAGATGGAAGTGAAGCTGCAATTGGCCTTGGCCAAAGTCTTGGCAAATCTTCTGGAATCCATGCAAATGATGCTGTAAAGGAAGCGATGCCGCAGCACCTCTTGGTGATTCATCCTGCACACCACTTCAAGCACCTCCTCGCTTTCAGAAGCAAACCTGCCAGACTTTGCATATCTAGAGTCAAACAACCCGGTTGGCAAAGCCTGCTTTGCCGTGGCGAGTTCCAGCATACTGTGCTCACGTTTGTCCGTGCACGGCCCTGCAAAATTGAAAGGTGCCCTTCTTGTGAGATGTGATTCCAAGAAGCGATGCATGCGCGCTTGTTCAGAAAAGGAATGGTTTGGCAGCGTTGCACTTCGTCCGTACCAGGAATTGCCTGTTGACGTGCTGAGGGCGGGAGGGCTGAGTGAAAGGGTCAACTGCATCATGTACACTTGTGCTAATGATCGGACACAGCTCACCACACAGCTTCAGTCGCTGTGAGGCAAATAGGCGCGGTACAGGAATTTGCGGGAGGCATAAGCCATCCAATGTCTCTCTTGCGGCTGAGTCCTTTGCAAACCCTACGGATGACCTCGCGCGATTTTCTGACGCCAAGAAGCGTTGCGCCTGCCAAAAGTGGCTCGAGTTCATTGACGCAAACAAACCACATTGACATGATGCCTGTATACATGCAAAAGGCCATATAGTTGGTGTATCTGTGTGTGTGTGTGCAAATGTACAATATGAAAGTCACGGCAACTGTTTTCCACATGCTTGCATGGTCAAGTGTTCCTCACCCTAAACCCGTTTGGACTCGTTCTCCAACGGCGCATGTGTTGGGAATGTCGACCACCTGTATGTCATGGCCCTACCTCGTTCTGGGTGTGTTCCTACTTCATCTTGCACCCAATTCAGTGTGTTGCCCAAAAGAAATCCACCCGGCCTTACTAAAGGCGGCCTTACCGCGGTCTTCTGTTAACAAGGCACTCGCTCGTTATACCGCAGGCAAATGTGCACATCCCCCTACTCAGCCGAATGAACACATGCCCTAACAAACCGCCGACCGAGTCTGCCGCCCCGAGTCCGCAGGGACGAAGACCACCGGCTTTGAGAACATGCCTTGACAGTCGTGCGGGTGAAGTTACCGCTTTGGGGGCCACGCACTGGTCCCTTGGTACCGGCCGCTTTTCCGACCCTGCATGGAAAGTTAGACATGGCTCCACTTTTTTGGCTCCTATTTTGGCTTAAAACTCTCTCTTCAAAACAGGGCAGTGCCCCTCCAAATGGCTGCTTGCTACAAACCACAGGGTGAGAAGGTGTTAGCACACCCAGCCTGTGAGCTTTTCTATGTGAGCCAAACGGTCGCTCAGGTCCTCAGCGAAGCCAAGATCCACAAACTCGCCCAGTCACCAAGTCACTCGGTCCTTCTCCCGCTGCTTCTGCCCAACGGTCTCGATCTTGAAAGGAAGGCCTCGCTGCGCTTTCTCCACCTCCTCCTTCCGCAGCCTGGCATTGCCCGGCAAACTTAGCCGTCGACGAGTGGATTCTGGCAAACAGCAGTGACCAAATGACCAATCCTGACCACACTCATACATATTTTTCCAAGAAACACCCTTCTCCGACAAAAAAAACCGAAAAAGCATCCATGTCACTCACCCCTTTCCGTGCCTATTCTTGGTGAGAGTGGGTTCATTTGATAGCCCACTTAAAACATGGACCTCCTAACCTCGTTCTTTCGGTAATGACGTCCAAGTATATGTCAACACTAGAAAACAACAATTTGGGAGGAGCTCCAACGGCACAAATTTCACCAGGGTCGACCCCTACCCCTTCACATTGGCGCATATGTGCCTGAGCACCTCTAGGGTGTCCTCCCGCTCCTCCTCCCCTACCTTCCGAAAGCCGGGCCTAAGGATCAGTCACGGAAGCCGGGCAGATTCGGTGGACAATCATGGAGTGCCTGTTTTCACGTTTGCCCTCACCGCATTGCTGAGGCCCACGCGGAGGCTGCGGAGACACTGGCCGCGCTGCTATCCTCTTCTCCTCGGACGGCAGCCGCTTCGTGTTCCGTCCGCTCTTTGTGGAGAGTCCGAATTCAGGATGTGGATGGAATCTGGAAGCAAATGGCACAACTCCAACCCATGTTGGTTTAGTCATCCCGATGGTAACAAATATAACCATTACAACATCAAGCAGGAGCGAGGGGTGTGTTTCCTGTAACCCTCCACATATATATGTGCGCAGTGGAGTTCGACCCTGCGGCATGCAGAACATCCATCCTCGGCCATCTCGGCTTGCCTCCTCTTCAGATACGCCGGCACCTGAGCTTCTCACATGCCGAGCCCCTCCAGAAAACAAACCCTCCCGTTGTTTCTCGGACCTTGACAGCCCTGAAAGACAACACTGGCAGTGAAAACCACTCGGACAACACTCAGACACCCCTTACCTTGCCGACGTCCTTGCGCTCGATCGGAGGTGCGGCATCACCTGGGTATATCATGCCGTTTGGATTTTCCAGAGAAGAATCTGAAAATGTGGAAACTGTTGGGTGTGTCTTAAAGTAAGGACTTTCTGCGCTATCTTTATTTCTTGAAGATCAGCATGTCAATGGAGCGTCCCTCATTTGGAGCAAAGCCAGCCGCGCCTATCCGAATCTTGTCCGGAGCACGATTGGCCGAGAGCGACCGGGCCTCAGCAAGCCCCAAACGGAAGGCCCATAAGGAAGCCTTGCTCGGGAGTGACCAGGCCTTGGCGCGCGCCGTCGGAGTACCTGGAAAGCAACTCGGGCCAACCTCTTAAATTTTGCCGCCTCTTGCTTGGAAAGAGCGTCACTTGAGGTGTAGAGGAATCGGTGCTTGAACCCAACATGGATGGCTTGGCCCAGCTAAACGTCCGAATGAAGAATGAAAAGCCAGGGTTGGATCCCGGCAAAGGATCGAAGAGCCAACAGGTTGGGCAACTATTGATCTGCGTCCCGAAACCCGCCTTGCGCGCGTTTCCCGGGCGTGGACATCTCCTCGCCTGCGAAGCAAATTGCCATCACGTTTGGGGGTGCACGGAGAATCCCTGTTAAATAGTTTCTGAGAGGAAACCAAAAGGAAACGTAGGGCTGCCCAATTTTGGGAAGCGCACATGATTCTGAACAGCCGATCTTTGCCTCCATCCGGAGGTGGCTCGCTGGGCGTGCGTCGGCCTACAGCAGAATGGTTGATTGGCATCATCAAAAGGGTGCCTCAGGCTCACCTGTATACTTGCGCTTAAGGGAACTCATTTTTTTCCGGATACTGTGTTGGCCTGATCTGGCAGGTGGCTTTCCAAGCAGGCGTGCAAAGAGTTGGGGGCCGATCGAGTGAAGGCAAGAACCTGCCATTTGAGACACACTGTCAGCCTCGTTGGGCAGTGACGGATTGTGCCCTTGGTCTCCTCTCCTCGCTGGTCCTGAGGATGCAAGCCGCTGCAAAAAGTGAAGCCCAGCCCTGCAGAGAAACCTTGACACTTCTTCCGCAGCTCATGGTCTTGCAGGTCGGTAAACATAAGGCCAGCATCTAGCCAGAGATTAGCAGTTACTGATCCTTGAGACGTCTGGTGCGAAGAGTGCTGGCAGAGGCGAGGAGGCCGCGGCGAGAGCGAAGAGCATCCTCAACTGCCAGGTTTGATGGCACGGAGTGGAGAGGAAGGCAAGAATGCAGACCCTGGCACGAGTCCAGGCAAGAGTGTCACGGACTCATCCACACGGAAACCACGGAAGCCCTCCGAAGAGAGTAGGACAAAGTGTTGATCTCATCACGGTGTGTCCTTCCAGACTGGGGAGGGAATGAACCCCTTGTGTAATGAACGTACCGCTGACGACTGACGCAGCATGCCACTTTTGATCAATGGGGGCACAGTTGAGACTGGACCATGAGGAAGGGGGCTCCTCGCGGGTCATCTCCTCGTGGTCTTTCGGCATGTTGCCAAGGCAAGGAAAAACTCACTTTCTAGCTGGTCGGTTACCTTGACAACTCTTTCACGGAGCAGAGAGGCGGCAGCCGAGTCACACGCTAGGACTGCTTTTGCAGCCTCATCGGCACAACTATTGCCAGGGGTCATCACAGGCTTGATCATATGTATCTTAAAAAAGTGAAGGTTCCTATCTTGAGGAAGCCATTGGGTGCAAGGCGCGATGCAAGAGGCAAAGCCAAAGTTGTCGCACTTTTCAACACACGACACATCAAGGCAAAATATCAGTATGGTTGTTTGCTAATAAGTGGTAAAGCAATCGTGTACCACAAAGTTACTAAGGTTGTCTGATCGCACCATGATCCCCAATTTTGATTTTCACCGTTCACAGTTTGGGTTTCAATGAAGGACAAATAAACTCCTGCACCACTCTCCCCTTTCACTCATCCCAACTGGTGGAATCCGCGGCTTTGGGTTTCCATCCCGAGTCACGCAATTTGGCTCCTCTGCACTGAGCCAGCGCTGCCCGGGCTCCTCTGCCCCGGAGTTGCCTTGGGCCTGAGATCAGCCACAGTCACATGGACTTGCGTCGCTTGCGTGTATTTCTTGCCCAAATTGCATGGAACCCCCAAAAGGATGTAGAGGGTGTTCCCCCAATCCCCGGAAGGATATTCCGTTGCTAGATATTTGGGGCTCCATGATACAATGTTAGCCAGGAGAGTACAGTACTCAAGTGGGACCTAGTTCCAGATACAGCCGTGTTGCGGAGCTTGGGTCATGTCTCCGGTACTTGTCCTGCTGAGCTTGCGGCTTTGGCGGGCGCCCGTAGCCGTTTCGCTGCGGCGTGATCGCCTTCGCTCAGGTCTGAGTTCATCCAAAGGACCCAAAGGCTTACCCCCGCCATTCTTCGAAATGCAGCGGTCAAAGGAAAGACCTAGCAAAAAAGAAAATATCCATACAACAAGGATCCAGCTCAGTACTGACTGCAATAATTAGGACTTATTGATGACAAATACAAGGTGATTTCTGGACGTGTGTTCCATCTCTCCTGACCAACAGTCATGCAACACCTGCTGGTTTGATGCTCCTTGTGCCCTGTCCTGCCTGTGCGGGCGAGTTGACCCGCGGCGAGTCTGGCGCCGTCTGGGGTGTAGCAACCTTGGCAAATCGCTGTCGCGAACCGTCTCCTACCCGCAATCCCGGGTGTTGCACCCGATCCATGGGATGCACCTGACAAGTGCATCAAAACGAGCTGGACGTCTGGATCCCAATGCTTTGATCCACAAACTCCATGGATTCAGCTGGGTGGTTTTCACAAAGGAAAGAAAAGTGAAAAGGACCTTTGCTCCCTAAGTTTTAGAAGACCTCCCGAGCGAGCCTTGGCGGGCTCCTTCGCCCGATTCAGCATGATCTCCCGCAAGGATGGCATATGTGACCACTCTGAGACCATGGGGAGATGTGCCGAAAAGTTTCTTTCTGCCGTCAGCTGTGGCAAATGCACAAAGTTGTTTTGCAGACCTGTGTGGCCAACACAATGCAGTTTGATTTTTAACAACGTGGGCAGGGTGGAGCTAGAACGAGTATCGCACACCTCTGGCTGGAACATGTTGAATAGATATAGAAGGAGAAGGGCATCCAATCTCATACAAATGTCTGACGTGTCCACGTCGTAAGGGGTGTCTTCTCCGCCTGTGAGCCAAACACATCACAGGTCGCGGCGCGGGTGAAAATACTTTTCCTGCCGTGTGGAGGCCCACAAAAGTATACGGCTTGTTTTCCATCTGGCATGGCAGCAAGTGTACATTTGCCAGGTGCGCCCGCGCGCGTGCAAAACACTGTATGTACATTGCTTCAGCTCTGTAGCCGCGCAAAGTGACACAAAAGCCTGTCAAAATTCACTCGCCCCCCCCTGGAATGTCTGGCGAAAAGTGATACTACGGGAAAAGAAGGGCCCTCCCACCTGGGGCCCTTCATGTCAGCTGTTGCTATGATTTGACAGGCAAGCGAGGCGCTTTAATGCTCCCGTTAGCTCCAGGGGCTGGCCCTCAGAGATGTGGTTTCATTCCTCCTCACCTGGTGCATCCAAAACCCAGGTCTCTTCGTCCCATATCAGATTTTACCGAAGGGACAGCCCAGAACAAACCAAAAACTGCGGCTCCCTCTGAACTCCATTCTCAAAGCTGGCCTGAGGCTGCACACCACCGCTACAAAAAGTGAGGCACGGCAATGGGCGCAGCTCAGAAAGCCCCACGCCCCCAGCCCCCAGCCCCCGGCTCCGGGCCTGGCCCGAGCCACCAGTGTCCCAGGGCGAGCGTGGCGCGCGGGCTTCTCCGGCCTCCGAGGCAGACATTGAAGCTTGAGTAGAGATACATTCGAGAACCAGATCAACAAACTGGAGGTATTTGGGCTCTTTTTAAAGTTGGCTTCAACGGAAACCCAAACGAAACCAATAGTTGTGGGGTCTTGTTTTGACGCAAAGCAATTTGGCAAATTGGACGTGGCGCAACTCCGTTGCCTGGGCTGCCCCAGGCCAAGTCCTCAGTCTGGCGACCCCGCCTGTCGCAAACCACTTCGTCACTTGTGATCAACATCCGCGCTTCAGTGATGTCTCAAAGTGGAAATTGCAAAATGGTTGCGTTCCTTTTGGCCCCATGGAAGATCGAGTGAGTGGCCCAATGTTTCGGACCGGGAAATGCTGACCGAACCTCCGGCTGAGCCTGGGACCCCGAAGTGGTTGGCCAGGGCGCTGCCTGGCTTGGCCATTGACTGTAGCCGGCCTCAGCTTAACTGCTCACGCAATCGTCCTCGGATGCGGCAATGCAACCCTGGGTCACGTCACTGGCTGACCGATAGAGGATGTTCATGTGAAGTGTGCATCCTTCAATTTGCTTAGGTTGATTGTTCCAAGGTTCCCATCAATTTGCATCCACGGACTCATTGGTGCTCAGGAACTGGCGCCACCGCTCGTCCCATCAAAGACGCCAAGGTCCGCAGTTGAGGCTCGTGTCAAATCCCTGGAATTGGACCTGAACTGGAATTCCAGCCATTTCCACCACTCAGAAAGCTTCCGATGATCCTTGCCGCTTTGCTTTGCCACAACGCCTGGCTTTACACGAACATGGAATAGCCTCCAATACTGTCGGATTCCTGCTCCAGAGTCGGCCACTCGGCACGTGGCCGGTTCGACTGAAATGCCGATATCCCGCTGCCCTCACTGCTGCACCTCGGCCGGGAGGTTTCAATCCTCCCTCCCATCCCTCCAGATATAATTCGTCGTGTGGTCTCTTAGTACACTCTCTGCGCTCCAATGTACACTTTCTGGGGTGGCAAATGGTTCTCCGTCTCTCTCTCTCTCTCTCTGCCGAGTTTGGCAAATTGAGTAATGGCTAAGACCACAGCTTGGTGCGCAGGGAGTCCCGTGCTTTCTTTGCAAGTTCCTGGCACGCGGAGCTCACCTCGCGCCCGCTCAGCTCCGCCCGCTCGCCTGGCCCATGCGGAGCATGGCTTCCGAGGTCGCGGGCCTCGTGAGCTCGTGGTGCACCTCGGCACGCCATGGCGATTGACACCACAGCACAGGAAGCCACAGGTTCCAAGATGTTTTCCAAGGCAAACCTACAGGCCAATCTGGGGAGTTGTTCTCTGACCCAGTGGCTCTGATCGGAACAGAACAGCATGTTGTGATGCCATGCGCGTGACAGCTCCCCAGACCAAAACTTTGTCTCGGGATCCCGGACCTGCTGCAGCTCATGGCCAAGCGCGCCAGCAGCCTGCGACCACAGCCGCAGGAAGTCCCCATTTGCAAAAGAAAACTTCACTAGATCGCGGCAAATTCATGGCCACAAACATTGGTTGTCGCTCTGCAACTTGCTTCCCAGTTCGACGTAGCAAGAATCTCTCAATTCCCCTGGGCTTTGTCTGCGCGAGCCCGAGTGAGCCGTTGGCTTGTCCACAAATCCAAAGAAAACGGTCCGGCCTGGAAAAGGGAGACGTAGTACTGAGACATCTGCGCCACCGCCTTTGCGTGCTGCCGGCAGCGTGTTCACGCTCGCTGCCCTTTCTGCAGTTTCTCGGGGGCAACCAACCACTTTGGGGTTCCTCGTTTAGGGATTCCATGCATCCCTAGCATCCATCACCCGAGCCCAAACTCAATGAAAAGCCCAAAAGGTGATGCTTCAAGCCCAGGTGGGAACTAAAAGCAAGCGGGTTCCGGGAGGGAAGCCTTGGTGCAAGTGGTTTCCTTTCAAGGAGCATGGCCTGCCCGCTACCTTCCCTGCGGCTCCTTCTGCAAGTGACCCGGCCGGGTGCCCCCTGCTTGAAGCATCACCACCCAAAGGAAACTCGGTTCAAAATCGCAAAATGATTGAAACAACCAAAGGAAAATCTAGCACTGTCCCCCTCCCCCTGCTGAAAAAGGCCTGGCCAACCTCCTGCCATCTGTGCTCCAGCACCTCGTTCACCTGGCTGCCTCGAGTCCAGCGCTCCGCTGGTGCCCCTGGGGTCCTTCCCTTGCCTTCTGAGCTTCTGGTGTCCTTTAGGATCACAAAACAACACACCCCGGGACCCTACATGCTTGTGTCTGCGCGGGCTGGTTCTCACCCGGGCTTCGGGCCAGTCTCCGTGACGCGGGAAGCAAAAGCCTCGCAGAGGCCGTGAGACTTTCATCTGAACTTGGACCTTTTGCGACTTTCTCCCAAAGCTAAAATCCTTCGTCTGAAAATGCTCTTCCAAACGCCTCCAAGCGTGTCAAGAGTCCTTCCCCTGCCCTCTCGCATGCCCCACCTGTTGGCTGCTCCGCAGCTTCTCCTCGTTGCGGTTCAGCTTCTGTACGAGGGCAGGCCTGCCATTCGGCGAAAAGGCTGAAAATTGACAGGTGACAAACAGAGAAACTGACGGACGGACACGTCTAAAGACTGACAAACAAATAGACAAACGGATGGTCGGACAGTCCTGCGGAAGGACGGACAAACGGACACACTGACGGACTGCCAAACAGCAAAGCAAAGCAAAGCAAAGCCGAGCCGAGCCGAGCAAAGCAAGGCAAGGCAAGCAAGCACAAGCACGCACACACGCACACACACACACATCTGGTACTGGCATTGCGTCAATGCACAATAAACTGCATGCCAGGGGCTGGCAACCTGGCTCTGACCAATACGCCGGGCATGCGAGCTCCCGCCCTTGGCAATTTGCTCGCGAAGCTTCTCGAGCTTCTTGGTGTAGTGATCCTCGCGATCAAGAATCTGAGCCAATATTTTCATCTTCCGGTACAAAGGAACGTCTTGCCGAATATGGATACGTGTGTTTGTGTGTGTGTTTGTGCGTATGTGTGTGTGTGTGTGTCTGATTTTGAGAGGCATCCTTTTCTGGGGGGTGCTTGACGGGGAAACCAAAAGGACGCCACTTATCCCTATCTGGAGACCCCATCCCGGGTCTGGCCTGGCTGGAAAACGCCTCATCGAGGGCGACGAAGGACCTGATGCCAGACAGTGGAGCAGACCCATTTGGGATTGCACGTGCCTTCACCCATTTGAGTCGAATGGTCGAAGGGGGCCCAAACCCGTGGTAAAGGATATCTGCTCGCATGTATGCTTGGGACTGCCACCATAAGCTTTATCTGCCCAGGTTTTGACTGCTCATTTGAGGACACCCAGCTCAGATGCAAAAGGCGTGTCGGCTTTGAAGCAAACCTGTGCCCCTCGTATAGCAATTTCTAACATACCCACTTCCCTTCAGCAACATCTGGTATCCAGCTCATGCCCCTTTCGTGCCAGCTGCAGGCCCTCATTTTGGATGTCGTTCCGCCGTGTCATCCCATCAAGGAGACGGGCTGTTACGGAACGCCTTAAATTGCTTGAGACTTCTGTTGATCGCAATAGCTGAAGAACATGATACTGCAGCACATCCGTGCCGAAGCAAGATCGGACACTTTCTATGCCAGCTGCGAACTGCGACGTGCATTCGAAATATGTCATCTACGCACCCGCTGTTTGTCTGCAAGCTCATGAACTGATTCTTGCATTCCAACGTTCAAGTTGTATATTTATAGATTATACACACTTATTTAGTACATATATCGGTTTATATCCATCCCTGCCATTCCCTGCCTCAGTCTGATTCCAAGGTTCCGGCTGACGGGCCACTTTGCTGCGCTCGGACCTCTCAGCCCCAAGCCGGAAGTTAGACAAAGGTGCCCTCAACCCTGGCCTTGCAAACTCCTCATGGGACAAATGGCTTGGTGTCATTTCAGTTCTGAAGCCAAGCTGCCTTGAACCCTTTGGCCCTTGCGCCACATGTCTTCATCAGTCTTTACCGTCTTTCGACTGGTTCATCCACTTGGAAGCCACACACCCAGGCAAAGGCCCAGGCATGGCTTGCAGCTTGGACTGCAGCATCTCCAGCTCAGCATCGCTCTCCTGTCAAGGCACGAGACAAGACCCAACTGATACTAACGCGCCATCCCCCGTATCACCTTCACAGGGAAGGTCCGATCATTTGTCCGATCATTTGAACATTTGACCGTTGCTCTTTGGAAAAAGTGATTAAGTCATTTGTACAAGCTGTTGTTTGTGGTGCTGGGCAGGCGATGGTACGTACAAGACCTAGCCGGACCTTCTTTTTCAGGGACCACCGGGACCGCTCAAGCCGCCCTGGCAACCTCAAAATCGTCTGGTGCCTGTGGTGCTTGGGGGGGCGGGGGGTGATGACACAACAGCCAAACTCCTTGATCAAAAGGTTGCCTGACGGCAAAGCCTGCGTAGTCATTGAACTGGAAGACTGTTCAGGGAAATGGAGAGATTGATCTGGAAATCTGGAGAGATTGCTTTGGCCGCTGGGCTGACCCCTCATTGGACTTGGTTTTACCACCTTCCCTTAGGCACACCATCCAATGGCCAGTGCACTCTTCTCTAGAATTAGAGATCTCCCTCGAATCATGGTTCTTATTCGGAAAGGAAGCAAAACAAAACCCACCACTTGGACAGGGTCCCAGTCACAGTTAGTGCCCATCAATGCCAGCACATTCCCATCTGGTAGCATGTCACATAGACCCACAACTGGAGCCAAAAACAAAACATGCGGTTCCCGCAAATGGGGTGCCCCTGGTTTTCGCAGAAGAAAGAACTTTAGGTCCCCTCTGTACCTCTCAAATTCACGAACTAAAGACTAATGCATAGTGTTAATATTGACAAAGAGTGCTAATGTTGACACAGCATCACATGGAATTCTTTCCTTACGTCTCCTCCACAATCTGACCGGCCTAAGGCAGCACAAATTGCAATCTGCAACATCTCGAGTGCGAGCCCGCCAAAAACAATTCTCAGAACCCCTCCAAGTGCCAACCACCTTCCGCCCGCCCAAATCCCGAAGCTCCGTGGACTTCTGGGCGAAGGCGTTCAGCTGGGCACACAGCTTCTCAATGGCCGGGCTGCCGGGCGCGTTTTCGCCTGCCCCCCGGCGCTGAGAGGAAGGGACCCCTTGCAGGAACTTACCCTAGACAAGAGCAAAGCCATCAACGCCAGAAGCTCACGACGAAGGCAGAAAACCGCTCGCGCCATAAAAGCGGCTCAGCGGATCGAACAGCGGCTTGGGCGCAGCAGCAAGCCTGGAATGCAGGATTGCTGGGAGCTCAGTTTTCAAAATGTTGAGGCCCCGGCATCTCCACAGCGCAAGAAAGAGTTCTGGCCTGAATGCACCAACTTCAGCCGAAGCAAGTGCAAATTGAAAAATGCTTACATAAGGCCATCTTTAAAGTGAGTGCCTGAATAACGCAGGCCCACCCAAATCAAAGTTTGGAGCCCCTATAAACAAAATCGGCAAAACAATTTGGGGGTCAGATCAGCCTGTCCCAAGTTTAGTACGGGCTAGTATTGCTTAGTATTGGTTTGTTGTATTGGTTTAGATTTGCTAGTGCTGCTTTCGTACTGGCTTGGTGTTTAATTGTTTAATACTGGTTTAGTATTGCTTGTTGCTGCCTTAGGTAGGTAGGTAAGGCAGGTTGAGGTAGAATTAGTTAAGCACTGGTATAGTGTTCCTTTGACTTGGACCAGTTCTGTTTAGAACTGGTTTAGTATTGGTTTAGCATTCTTGTATGCTGGCTCAGCTAGCTCAGTTCTGTCTCGGTGCCTCACCTCTCTGGCGGGGACCTACTTTGGTGGTGGTGGTGGTGGTGGTGGTGGTGGTGGTGGTGGTGGTGGTGGTGGTGGTGTGGGGGGGTGGCGGCGGTGGCGGTGGTGGGGTGGCTGACTAAGGCTTGGAAACATTGCCGCATCCGATTTGTTCAGGGCAAAAGTCGTGTTCAATTTACTATGTGTCCTCTCATCTGGGGGTTGAAAATACCGTCGGAAAAAAATAGTGTCGTTAATACCCTTTGATGAATCGGGCACCGACATTACCAGTGCAAGTTCAGTCGTTTACGGTTCTCTAGCAGTCGGGCTCCCTGCAAATTAAAAGGTGTATATATGGCCGTCTTAAGTACCAGCCCGATGTTCAAGCTACCCCAAATCCATGAGATGATAGCTTTGCTTGGCTGTAGGCTCCGAGCTCTCCAATGGTTGGCAGCTCAACAGAACATGTGAACTTGTCCACTCGATCAAGCCAGCCCAGCAGTTACCCAAGCGTCCAACTGATCAGCGGTGAACACACACCCTCCTCAGGGCTATTCGACAAAGGGAAGCCAAAGGACAAACACGTGTTTGGAGAACTGTTGGAAAGGGCCAACCTCGGATTCACCCACACACCTGTAAACCTCCAAATGTACTTTGGAGGGGACCAGGTTCCGCTTGGCGCATACTGGCGCCATCTTAAACACGGACGCAGGAGAGGCCCTCGGGTCCGGGCACAGGCCAGCAAGCCCGTGGTGAGGCCCTCCAGCTCTCCCAGCTCGGCACGCTGCTCCTAAACCAAACTCTTCCGGTCCCGAGGATCCCGAGGACATCTGAACGGCGCAATTTGGGGCCACGCCATCCAGGGATGTTCCATCTGTGTCGGGTCAGTTGCTTTCCAGGTCTTATCATGTTGACCGTGCTTGGTTGGAGTCAGTTTTGTGGCCCCTTCCTCAATTAGTTAAGGCAGACTAACGACACACATTGATCACGTTGTCCCGGAGAGCCCTCCTAAATTTCTGAAGCTCCGTTCGAATGGCAGCAGTAGCGCGGATGCGCCGTTCGTTGGAGCTGGCACCCTGCTTGGGGTTGTTTTGTAAAGGGGAAAGCCGAAAGACAAAACACCCAAATTTACCCTCCCTCCCGGGTCCCTTCCACTGGTAGGCACCTGAAAGATAAATGCCCCTGTTAAGGAGGAAGACCAAACAATCCAACTGCCATAGATTGTGGACCTGGTTGGGATGTCTTGAGGATACCAAAAAAAACATCCATCGTAGGGACTTCCCCTTTAACCCATTTTAGGAGGCTCCCTTGTCATTTGCCCGTTTGGGTTCGGGACCACACCCTTGTCTTGGTGGTCTTCCTTGTTCCCTTCAAACCAACCGCAGAAAACGGTATCCTCAAAAGAGAGAGAGACACACACACACACACACATCCACACATCCATTTCTCTCTTAATCCAAACACAACAAACCCCCGCGCCTCTAGAGGATCGTGGGCCATTTTCGAGGTGCCCGTCACCGCCATCTTGGCGCGCCTGAAGTGTCTTCAAAATACTGTCCTCCGCGCAACCAAAAGAACAAAACGGGTACCAAATGGGGTTCCGAATGGCGCAAACTGTAAATGGGACGCCAAAAGAAAAGAACCAAAATGGGTGATTCCTGTTGATCCCGATTTAAAGCAGCCGCAAAAAGGGGTAGAAGTACTGTGAACAAAGTCACACCCATGTGGGTGTGTCCCTGAGCCTGGGTCAACCTCCGAAGTGTGAACACCAGTGGATGATTTCAAACTGGTCAGGAGTGGTCACTGCTAGGCCAGGGAACTACCCAAGGTCTGTCCCAAGGGGACGCTCAACATGATTAGCTTCCTTTTGGCTCCCCGTTGAATTCACCAAAAAGGGGTCCGGAAAAATCATCAAGGAAGTAAAGCTAGGAAACTCCGCTAAGAAAAGTTGAGCAAGTTTTAAAAGAGCAATGAGAGTCGTGAGATTGCGCAGGCTACCCCTGTTCAGCACGCGGCACGGCCGCGCACACTGCATCCGACGTGCTTCGCCCGATGACCCTCTGCGTAAAAACGCGCGTGCCCCGAAGCGCTCTCGTTGCGGCGGTCTGCGCAAAGCGATCAAGGAACCCTCTGCGGGGATCGTGGGGATCATTCTCTCGCAGCTTCGGGAAGTTGTGCGCGAAGTCGACCCCTGTAGCTCCTGTTGGAAAGTCGCACGTTGTACACACGAAAGTTCTACGGGCTGTTGTCCGTAGCTGGGCTTAAAAATAGTCAAGGTCAAGTGTGAAGGTGCCAGGCGAGGCATTGGCTTCTGTTTGCTGGCATATGATGTAAGCAGGATTGTTGCTGGAATACCATGTGGTGGTGGTGTTTGCTCCGTCTAAATTTGAATGATGTATCGGCCCCTTTCGCAAAACTTCCGGAAGCTTCCGCGGTGTGACGGGTACCTTCTGCGAGCATGTTTCTATCCTTGATCATTCCTCAAGAACCCAGTCTTGTGTGTGGGTGTGTCTTGAGGGCCAACTTGAGGGTACCCTTTTGACCTCGGCAAAAGGGGGAGACTCAAAGGAACCCCCGTTTTTTTTCGACATGTACCCTTGTGACCATGGCACCAATCGCTCCAAATGCCTCAGGGCAGATGGCACGGAGAAGGTCTGCCATTTCTCCGACATCGTCCTGCACAAAAGGGCTGCGAGCCTTGTGCGGGGGGGGGGGGAGGCGATCCTTTGGTTCATCAGTGATTAGAAAGACATGCCTGATAGACTTGTGCAGTACAATTGCTTGATTCCTCCGTGGATGTTCGGAATGAATGTTCTGATATACTGCAGTTCTCCTCCCACACATGTCACTGCGTCTGCCACGGCTTGAACCATATTTCCGCGAGATTCACAGCGTTTGCTCTTCTTGCATCCCGACTCTCTCAGGTGGGCAGAGAGATTCAGGCATGTACTTTCCAAACGAGTAGCAAACTGCAGGCGGCAAACAGCACGCAGGATGGCGTTGGGTGCGCTTGAGTGGGTGCGATAGAGTGGATATAGCTATCGCGTGGCAGGCGTGGGCACAGGGCTGAGTGCCACAGCCTTCCTACAATCTGTCCGCAGGAATTAAGTGAAGCCTAATGTTTCGCACTAACCTGACGGACATCGTCCCTTCAGTGTGTTCCCACAGCAGTGCCACTTGCACACGACCCTTCCCCACTTCACACATTACTCAGACTTGTTCTCAGAAGAGCCCTTCACACACTACCCAGACTTGTTCTCAGAAGAGTTGGCCAAAGAGGCGAAAGAAAGATGCGGAACAAGCCAACTGCCATGAAACCAGCTAAAAAAATGAATGGGGCCCGCGCCTGGTCGCATTCTTGCGGAAGTCCGTTGCTTTCTCCAGGAAGGCCATGACGCTTGCATGCCACTGCGCAATGCGCACGAGTTTGTGGCGGTCTAAGACGCTAGAGCCGTTGCAACGCTGAAGCTAACATCTGCAAACTTCTTCCAACGTGTCCATGCTCAAACGTGTCCGTTGGATTTGATAAGATCATGCAATGATGCAAAGCATAGTCATGATCAGGTCGCAGACTTCCTACGTGTCAGGCTGCGGGAGATACCAACAACTTATGCACTTGGTGACCTGGCCAAGTTTGCCGTGACCAACCAAGTTTGCCGTGACCTGCAACTCAAGCAGTGCACTTGACACCTCTGCTCAAGAGCTGGCTGCCGTTTTGTACATCACAGTCGATAGTCTCGCAGTCGTGTTTGACTGACAGCCCCTGCCCCAATTGCACGTGCACACCCATTCTGGGCAACACTGCCACAAATGAATTCCGAATTTGTTTTGTTCTACAGGCACAACGTATCTTACATAGCTCGCACATGCCTGGCAGCATGCCAAGTGCTCGCTGGACCAGCGGCCAGGCCATCACGCTCTGCTGACAAGACGCACCGTTGGCCTGACAAGATCTCTAAGGGGCATCTAGGCAATTGATCTCCGAACCGCTTTCATCCACATCACAAACTCTTCAAGCACCACCTGTTCGGTGGAATCGTGTGGAATCCGGAAGCGGAATCTAGAACACCCCCTTGCACCTCAAAGCCGCCACGGGCGGTGAGAACTGGCGCTGGCCTAGTGGCAGGTGCCACGAGTGCAGGATGTCCAGATCAACTTGTGAAGGATTCCTATTTACTCTCGTTCATTTGCCCGTGGGATCCAGATGGGTCTGCTGCGAACACGGTGGTCTTTCAAGCCAAATCAGAGTGCAACGTGGCTCGGCAATACAGCGACCTACAGCGACCGCCTGCACTCGGCAGCTTGGCTGCAGCAAGACAAGGCGCCTGGCAAGCGGGAAATTCGAAGGCTTAATGGTCGGCCGGACTGCGAGGACGACTTATCAGCACGAATCGTCTCTGGCTGTTCTTGGCTGAAACAAACTGATTGCTTAGTTTTGGGACAGCACACGTTTGAATTTTCTATTGTCCCAAATATCATCTCTAAGACCTTGCGGGCCATGATCAGGCCGCAAGCAGCCGTGAGCCAGCTTCATAACCTAGCAGAACCTGTCTTCTTTCGCCCGCCCAAGACTGCAGTTGGCTTCTCCCCTAGAAGCCCTTACACTGGTTCACGATCGACTCCTATCAATAGGTTGGGGACAACCCCGATTCACCCAAACGTTGACCAGCACACCTGATAGCTCTGCCACAGATTCATGGGCCTTGGCTAAAAGGCCATGAAAACAAGCGATCAGCCAAATGATGTGGCTGTGTCAAAAGGGCCAGGGTTCGTCAAGGTACTCGGCCTACGCTCCGTAGTGAAGAAGAAGTCCAAACAACTTTGACACATCCTACATTTAAAAGCTATCAGTTTTTGGAAAATAACGCGCAAAGCAGTCACTTCCATCTATGAAAGCCCTAAGTTAGTTGTTCGCTGAGCTGTGTGTGTGTGTGTCATACCTGGGCGCATGAATAGGTGTGTGTGTGTGTGTTTCAGAATAGAAAATCCTCTTGCCAATCAATTGGATTCCCACTAACCTCCATGCAGAGGCTAAACCCCAAAGTTCCCCAACAAAACCGCTCACACAACTGAAGGTGCATCCAACTTGCATCCGCACTCTAAGCGCGGTGCGGAGCGGGGCTGCGAGGTGGCACTGGAGCCCAAGCCTCGAACAGGAGTCCGGAACTGCGGACTCCTCAAATTGTTTCTCAAGATTGTGTTGAGACACCCCCGCCGTGACCCCCACCCATCAACCAAGATCTTAGCAGTCTTAGCCTTACGAAGGAAGCACACGCCTCAACTGCGCCTGCAGAAACGAACACAACAAGGAAACTGGTTCTGTGCTGTTCGCATGGAACTTGCACATGTTCCACCCAAGTTATCGGGTCGTTGGCGTCATTTTGCCCGAGCGGCGAATACGGGCAGTGGCGATGGACTCCTGGTTCTGACGCAATGCCTGAGCCATCCGGTTGCATTCCTGCACGTGTACCTTCTGAGCTGATTGCATCCAGCAAGAGTGATGGCCGCTTGGTTCATCTCAAAGTATGGACTCAAAACTGAGTAGTTTCATTTGAAGTCATCTCGTTTGAACTGTTTTTGGCTTCCCCTTTGAACAAAACAGACACAACATACATCAGGGTACCCTCAAACACAGGAATCACACCCACTTTGCCGCCAGCTCAAACCTCTGCTGAGCGCCAAACAGGCGTGCGACGCTTGAGGTGATCGGCCGAGCTGACATGGGGCCTGTGGTGCCACTGGTTGACGAACGCGTTTGATTTGAGGGTACCCTTGAAAACTTGAAATGGGTGTCTTTTCTCGAGGGCACTGTTTTCCAGATCGTCTTTCCTGGAAGCCAAGGGAAACAGGCCATTCTGGCACCCCAAATCCCATCTGGAGACAAACCCACGGGATGAATGTCAATTCTGACTCAGGATTAGCAACTCCTGAGCACGGGTCAACATTCAGTGAACCCCTCGCATACGCGCATGTCTCGCAAAAAAGCTTCGAGGCATGCCTCAGCGATAGAACATCCAGCCACATCTTCCGTGCATAAACACCATGCAAAGCTCGCAGCTGAACCCCGTCTCCCGAGATGCCTGGCAATTCATCAATGTAGATTCCTGCTTGGGCCGCACTGGGGTTGGGGGTTCGGCCACACTGAGGTCACAGCTCTGACACGGCGTGTGCGACGCGACCCGTGTCCTCAAGCACTCGCCAGAGATCCCATCCCGGGCCCAAAGGTCAAGCAAGGCCCCCGGCAAGACTCGGGCGGAATGCACCGGGCGACCCGGCCTGAGCCGCATATGGCTCCAACAAATGCGGCCAAACACTTGCAAAACTTGACCAATCAAACAGGTTTGGTCCTGGGCCCCTCGCAAGCATGACAAGCTTCCTGTCCGTCGTGGTGATGGGCTCGCCATCCGAATCGCGGGCGCCTGACTTCTGATTGGTGCTGCTACGAGTGCAATTTGAGCCCCAGACGCATGTTCCACCACCCGCCATCTGAAACCGTCAGAGGCACACAGGAAAACTGGCCCCGATGCCCCTGGCAAAAACTCTACCATCTCGCCGCCCCCAGTCGCCCCCGTCTCTGCCGAGGGGCCACATGCAAAGATCCCCAGGGCTGTGAACCCAACCTGACATCCCCATGCGCACGTCTCCCTCTGATTGCACGTCGCTCTTTGGACAGAATGCCACCCCAAATACAGACCAGTGATGAGACATTTCCGGCTGCTCAGCTTCCAAACAGTCTATCTGGGTAATATTATGCCTTAAAATTTTGGGGGGGGAATCCCTTCAACACAATAGAATGGTGGCGTTGAAAGGGAAGTCAATGGGAAACCACTCATTTTGCAGATTCCCCCATGCGAGCCACAGTTGGAATATGCGATTTCAATAAAGGACCTTGTAAAATCAAATTAGTGAGTCCCCAGGCTTTTGCGGCAAACTTAGTCCGTCCCCAATAGACTGCTGATATGTTGACCAAACCTCATTCAAACAGAAACACGACAAGGCAGCGCTGGGCGGCACACAGAGTCGCAGTGGAACCGCCCAGTGGCCGGCCAACACTGCAGCCTGAATCACTGAAGCTGGGGCTGTTGCGCGCAGACGTGGGAGGAGTGCCCCCGCTTGGAGAATGGCACGGGAAACCAACCATTTTCGGGTCTGGAAATCCTGAGACAAACTCTTCAAAAAAGCAGTTGAAGCCCCAATAGTGCAAGGAACCAGTTGCATACGTTTGGTGGGGAAAATCCACATCAATTCCCAGTACCAATAGGAGTCAGGCTCCTGCACTGAGCTCGCAGCTTCCGCCCATCAGTGTTCCTGGCCTGGCGCTTGCAATCTACGGCAGGCCTGGTGGCTTTATGGCTTGACACATTGTCCGCTATGGAAGCGCCATCCTTGGCTTGGGGACAAGTCACGATCTATCGAATGCTCACAATGGCCGGATATCAAAGCTAAGAGCCCTTAAAGAGTTGGTGATCCTCTTCATGTCCTTGTCCAATCCACGAAAGTGGTAAGTTTGCTTCAAATCGCCCACTTCTGCCTTGCGCACGGACAAGCAGCACTTGGAGTCTGGACACCTCCGCCTGTCCATTGCATGTTGCCATTGGATTCACATAGACCTCTGAACACCCCCTGGGCGTTATCCAGGTGTTCCCTTGAAAGAGCGGAATGCCAACTGGCCAGGGATCCTTGATACTGACTGAGATGAACATATCAAAGGGATATCCACCACAAAATTGATCAAACCGGCACTAACGGTGGCATCACTCCCCATGGAATTCAAGTCATCTTCGCTAGCCAGTACCCAATGTCACCGCAAGTTAACGTGCGCCAATGCCGAATTCGAACAGAACTCACAAACAGCCGGGAATCAATTTCCATCTTGTACTGTCTTTTTTTTGACTTTGACTAAATCATGTTCCTTTTTGAGGAGCAGCGTAGCGGCCTGCAGACGCACGTGACGATATGCTCGGCTTGCAGTGCACTCAAAGAGCCTCGTCGCAGCGGAGTGGGTACCACGCGCACCTGGCAGCGATCCCAGGGCCATAGCTTTTCTCGCAAAAACATCCCCCCACCTTTTTTGGAAACAAGGATCAACATACAAGATAAAGGAGCCCATCCAACAAAGCCTGAACTTGAGCTAAGTATGTCAATGCATTGCTTGCCCCACTTCAAATCTCTAAGAAATAGCTGACTCAACAATAGAACTGGCAATTGAATTCGAACAGTAGAACCAGTCCTCGCCTGTGCTGCGATTTGCGCTGCACCGAGGTCAGCCTGCCAATTTGAATTAACGTAAAAGACCAAATTGGAGGCTGACACTAAGAGCAACTCGCTATGTTCTGCCCTCTACCTTCTGTTTTGCGGATGTGTGCCACTTTCAGACGTCAACCGTAACGAGTACCTCCGAAGACTAAACTTAGATTGCATACAACCTCATGTTGCGTTGTGACTGCTGCATACCTAGAGGTCCTAGATGACAAGGACACATATCACGAGTTGGTTGGTTGGTTGGTCAGTCGGTCGGTGGGTCGGTCGGTTGCGCGTTCTTCAAGCAAAGTGCAGGTCTTCTGCAAACCAGGCCTTGCAAGGCTGCTCTGTCACCTGAGGCGCATTGAGCATGTGCCACCCGCAATAGATTTGGCCGTGCTACTGTGTCAGTAGACATCATCACACACAACAGTCCACGACAATGCAGAACATGGCACCACATTGCAGACTCGCTCGTGGTCCCTCTCTCGCTTTGTCACTTATGCCAGACGTCTGCAAGCAGCGGAGAGGTCTGGAGATAGATTCGCTACACCTCCTTTCTGCACGTGAGTAACTCCACTTCAGCCGCAACATTACTCTTAACTAAGCCCGAATCCCCCTAAACCCGATGACGCCACTCGTATTAGATCATTCATTTACATGGAACATACCATGCCTGTGCGGCGACTCGCGTTGCACCCAGGGCAGCCTGACAATTTGAAGCGTAACTGTCAGACATCGGCAGAAGACTGCTGGCAAAAGACTGCTTGCAGAAGAAGCAAACCCAGTTAGTGCCATCGGGCACAAAACACGTGCAGCGCTTTGCGTTTTGTCACTGCTGCATACCTAGAGGTCCTAGATGACAAAGACGGATATCATGAGTTGGTTGACCAGGCCTTGCAAGGCTGCTCTGTCTTCGGAGATGCGCTGAACATGTGCCACCGCCATGGTGTTTGGACATGCTACTGCGTCAGTAGGCAAAAAAACATCTCGCAACCATTGCCTAGCCAGTATCATTGCAGAACATTGTACAACATGGCACCGCATTGCAGAGTCGCTCTCTCGCTCGCTCTCTGTCACTTGCGTCGGGCATCTGCAAGCAATAGACACCTCACACACACACAAACACATTGTACTTGCGCTTCAGGAACAAGAGATCCTAGTTCGGCGTTGCGGTGATGCAACGTAAAGGCATCGTTTGATGTATGTGCAGCAGCCGTTTTTGAGGGCACGATTTTGCAGGCTCAATGTGAAGCCACCCGAGAGGAACGGGAACCAGCCAAAGGAGAATCCCCCAATTGGGAATCAAACCCACTGTCAAGTGGCCTGCGAAGCGCTGCGTCGGGCCTGTCGCAAACAAAATGCAGCCAACTGCGTGTCAGCCATTCGCCCTGCTTGGGCGAATGTGGTGATCGCCTTCCCAAAAGGAACGATGTCGCAGCATGTTTCACAATGGGTAACCACATCTTGCTGGCTCTTCAAAAAATATAAATAAAATCAGAAGGCGACTAGTTTGGAGGGCGTCATATGTTTGGTGAGCGAAGGCCGCTCCAAAGGATGCGAATTTGGTGGCCCCCGTCCATGTGATGGTCAGAGCGCCCAGGAGGCCCCAAAAAGCCGTGATGTTCATTGGTAAGTTCCATTAATAGGGTGTGATAATTGACCGTCCCACCTGCCACGCGGATTGCGCTTGCTAGTTCAACCCACGGTTTACCGAGAAGTGTCTGTTATTCACAGGTGACAAGCATCTTTTTTGGTCTGGCTGAAGTATGTGTAACCACCACCATCATCAATGCCAACAAGGAAAAACGTGAGGTGACCTTGGTTCTCCCCAGAGCCTCCACCAGACTGGCCCAGCGGAGAAAGACCAAGTGGGTCCAATGGCAAAGCCGCGCCTGGTTGCATGGCTGCGCCCAACGCCAAATGGGGCGGCGAGGCTGTTTGGGTCGCTGGTTTCAGTTCTTGCTGCCAAGAGGTTTGCCCATCGTTCTATTCATTCTGTCAGCTCCAGAACCCTGAGTGACTCCAAGACTCGCTCTCCACGGCTTGCTGCATCCAACCGATCTTCCCAAATGGTACATGCCATGGCCTGGCTGAGCAAAGCCACCAGGGAGTCTACGCTCTGCTTCCTCTGGACCTGCAAAGGAGCCCCAATGAGCGTCGTCGCAGCGTCTCCCAGTGTCGCATGGATTGACGCCAATGACAGCAGTTGAAATTGCGGGGCCCAAACAACCAAGAGAAGAACCGGCCGGCCTGATCCGTCTCTGTTCATAAGCTTTGACGAGCGACCCACTGGGACACTTAGACCTACTCAGCCCTACTATCTGCATTCTTACGACCTTCTGCGGAGTTGGAGGGTACCCAACCAGTCCAGCAGTGTGGCAAAACCCTGGCACAAATCGTGTCAACGCAGCCCACGTGTTGGGCACAGGCGCTGCCTTTTGCCGCGAAAGCTCTTGAAGCGTCGCGATACATTGCTGGTCCTGAATCTTGCCGCCATGCAACAAATGTGAGTTGGCTCCATAAAACTCCATCGGCTCAACAACCCAAAAATGCTGACCATGCTTGACCAGGTGGAGATTTTCAGGCGCTCTGGCGAACTTGATTCCACAACGTCTGTATATAGACCCGTGAGCGAAATTAGCAGCAGGGCTCAAACAATTGGCACATGCAAACATCTATTCTGAGTCGGCGCACCGGAGGTTGTAGAAAAAACCAAGCAAAACTGCCGTTAATATGGAGACACGCCCATGCAAACTGTGGCAAGCCCAAGTTCTCCCGAAAATCCCCCCGCTGGGTTTCTCCCGATTTAGAAAATGACCGCGCTTGTGGTCCACTGAAAAAAGAGGAGTGGAACTCTCCCAGCTGGCCGCCAGAATGGCACTCTCCCTTTCAGAGCCCTGTGTCACTACCTCCACCACCAGCACCACCACCAGCACCACCAGCACCACCACCAGACCCCAAACACCCAAACATCTTTTCTCAACTTGTCCGGCGCGTCGCGTGCGATCGGCTTCGCTGCGGAACCCTCCACACCTGGGGTTCACACCACAAGAAAGGCTAGGATGCCCGCAACACGCATAGCGCGTGCCACGCGGCGAAGGAAGCTTTTGTAGCGCCGTTGCGGCCTAGCGTTGCGCCGTAAACACACCAGATGCTAAGAACGCTAGCAACACACTGAGTCCTTAGCACCGCGCCAGCCTATTACCCACAGGGCGTGGCTCTTCGTTTCCCAGGACGGGCAACAACTTTGCTCAGCGGCTTCCGGTGTTGGGCCAACGGTACGCACACGCAATTGTCGAGACCTCGTGCTACAGGGTTGTATAGACTTATACGACTCTGTAGCACGAGGTCTCAGCAACGCGGTAACAATGTTAAGATGACCGACGGCACATCCAGCTCCATGCGTGCCATAGCAATCAAGTAGCCTCTGGTTTCAAGAGGACTTGCTGCTTGGTCCACCTACTGCTCAACCCCACACCAATCAGCACGGGTTTCCGTCAGACAGTTGTAAGCATCGTAGACACCTGCCGCACAAGAAAAACCAAAAGTCCGATTTCCACCCCCGCATGAGCAAAACTTCGTGTCCATGCCGCCCCTTTGCCAGCACCAACTCCTGGTAAGTCTTACAGTAGGAATATGGGGAATTCCCATAGTGAAATCTCTGGTTGAAACGATGTTCCCCCCTCCCACCAACCCCACCGGACCTCCCAACCCAGCCGTGGGAAACCTCCGGTCCTTCAGCTCCAAGACCTCCCGTGCCGCCCGCAGCTGGCGCTCCTGCTGCACTCCGCACGCCCGCAGCCTTCGACCAGAACGACGAGAACCATCGGGCTGGGGTCGAACATGGAGAACCAATGGCCCCATTCAAAACTGGCAAGCTGGCAAGCTGGCAAGCTGGTGTTCGTTTTTGCCCCGTTCAAACGAGTTGCAATTCACAGCGAAATTCTAGGTAAAGCTCATTGGGTTTTCCACCAGTGGACCACTGGCAAGAAGGGGCCAAGTGTTGGCAACTGAACAGAACAGTGCAATCTCAGACATGATGTGCTTCAGCACGCATTTGTTCGACCGAACCTAACGCTGTGGGTGAGACTGTGCATTTTGATCTGCAGGGCGCTCAGTTTCCTAAGAGCTCGAAGTCATCAGCCTCAGGGATGCACTGGCCGGCATGATGCGCCACGAGGTGCGCGGTTTGAGGCCCACAAACTCAGCCAAACCCAAATTAGTAAAATGTCGAAACCGCTTGGCCCCCTCCAAATGGTTGGGGGGGCCATCGAAGATGAGCCCACAAAGTGGTGTCCTACTTTATACGCACAAACACAGAGCCACCAACCCAGCCGAATGCGCAGCTCTGCGAGGCACGGCATTGGTTTGCTTTGCCCCTGCCTGATTGGAAAACTCCTTGATGTGCCGCCTCATCTTGGAGCCCTCGGCCCAAGTGATGTGGTCCTCACGAAATCTGTTCCCTGCATGAAGCAAGCTGGCCTATCATTCACCAAACACGGGATCCAGAGTGAACCAGCTAGTAACCCTTTACCTGATGGATGATGATGATGATGATGATGATGATGATGATGATGATGATGATGATGATGATGATGATGATGATTAAGATGATGATTAAGATGATGATTAAGATGATGAGGATGATGATGAGGATGATGATGATGATGATGATGAACATTGTGGCAGAATTCACAGTTTCCTAAAATCAGGGAGCCCCTAAATGTCCCAAGTCGTTTTGCATTATGCGGGCGTTGCATCTGTTTGCAGCATGTAAAGATCAATGGACGTGAGACCAATGCCTCCCTTGGTCCGAGAGCACGTTTGAACACTTCACACCATTGGCCGTCACCTGTGTGAACTGAATACACTGCCACGAAGTAAGCGTACAAAGGAAAAAGCTAAGATGAAGTGCAGAGCGATGCAGAATGATAATACGTTGTGGTGCAGCACAAACGAATGCAACACCAAGCCAATTTAAGGCAACGGAACCTCACAAGGACATTCAAATTTCAGTTCCCAGGGCTGATTCGGAGCAGCAGAACCTGTTGTGCACGGCATGAGTCCTCCATCTCTCGGGTGACGTGCAAAGCCGGATTGGTGACCAGGTCAGGCCCAATCCGAATCTCACCCTGGCAATCATGTTGGGGACGACAGCCACTTGCGGAATTTGTGAGAACCAGCAGGTGAAGGAAGCCAGCTCAAAGCACCAGGGGAAGAAGCATAAAACATCCTGCATGCAACAAAAGGAAGTCTAGGAGGAGTCGAACCCCGCCCGGGCCAATCATCCGAAGCAACCATGTTGGCTTGCCCCCACATTAACTTGCTATCGTGAGTAGCCGATTGAGCGTTCCTTGAGGAAGCCCTTGCCTGCTTGATGTAAGTGATGGCGTTATCCAGAGTTTCGCAAAACCTCAGCTTTGCCGCGTGGGCTCTTCCAAGCTGCGCTCTTGCCTCTAGAAGACTTGAAAGGTTTCATCAGGAGTACTTTCCCAATCTGAAGCCTAGGTCTCAAGAACGGGTTGCACAAATGGATGGCTTCCTTCATGGCCTAAGGGCCGAAAGTTCTCCGCGTTGCCTCCGAAAACCTGCAGCACACAAAGAACCATCGGATCATCCCTGGAAAATGGAGATCAAGCTGGTGCCGCCAAACTGACAGGGAAGTTGGCTGAGTATCCTGGCAGCCCTGAGCAGGTGGTTCAGATCGATCATATATACATATATGTGTATATATATATATATATGTGTACACACACGTGGATATACATACATGCGTATAGATGTATGTGCATATATATATATATATATATAATATATATATATATATGCTTATTGGTTTGCTTGTGTGTGTGTGTGTGTTTGTTTGTATAGCTATTTATGTCTTCATTAATTCATTCATTCATTCATTCATTCATTCATTCATTCGTTCATTCATTCATTCATTCGTTCATTCATTCATTCATTCATTCATTCAATCCATCCATTCCATTCCATTCCAGTCCAGTCCATTCCAGTCCAGTCCATTCCAGTCCATTCCAGTCCAGTCCATTCCAGTCCATTCCAGTCCAGTCCATTCCAGTCCATTCCAGTCCATTCCAGTCGATTCCGGTCCATTCCAGTCCATTCAATTTCCATTCATCTATTTCCCTTTGTGCTACATGCAAATCATTGCGTTCCCAAGCACCCACAGAGATTTGGTGGGATCCCTGGTTGTTGTGGGAATTTGAGAGGGTCCATGTCCTGCTCATTTGCATAAAACGAGATTATCCCCAAAATCGCGTGCTTCCTTTTGGTTTCCAAAAACCCCAAACAGTCATAAATTCGGGGGGGGCTCCCAAGGCCCCGGCTTCATCCGAACCAAAACCACCGGCAAGCGCCGCCGGCAGAACGAGGAGGTGGGGAGCTCCACGCAGGCCTCCCGCTACCGGCACGACCGGCACGATCGGCACGACCGACACGCATGGGTTACACCAAGGGGACTCAAACACGGTGAGCTCATGTGGCTTTTCCCATATGGCCTTGTGCCCGGCAATCCCACTTAACTTGAACACTAAGTGGAGGCACATGCGCTCCCTGAGGTTCTCAAAGTCTTGTTGGTAGTTAACAAGTGGACTTCCCGTAGAAATGTGTTTTAAGAACTCTCCAGTTGATGTCTTTCTTCCCTGTTTTTTTTGGGAAAAGTGAACATGCAGCGAGCAGCATTGTTCACTCTGGGTACTCCTGGGGAATCATGATCGCTTCTGGCGCCTGTCTTCCACTTTCACAAACTGACCCTCTTTGTGCTTGCCAACTTTTGCGGTCTTGCCTGAACCGTGCCCTTGAGAAGCTTGTACCCCTCCCCAAAAAAAAACAAAAGACAAGCCGTCCGGAAACGCTTTGGACATGCCCAATACCTTTGATCTGGGGGAATCTTGTTTTCTTGATTGTTTATCGTTTTCCTACAAGGTGCTTTGTTGTTTTCATCTTTGGCCATTCTCCTAGTAGATCTCTCCCACTCAGCCAGAGATCTCAGTGGAAGTGCCCTTTCAGTCAGATGAGCATTCCCCAGTGTAAAGCCTGTTGTGTCACCTTGGAGTTGAAACAATTGTACATCTGCCTAGCACAGATTTGATTTGCCTACTCCACTTGACTTTGACAGATCTATCGGCTCCTTGCGGAGTTGGAGTTGCGGCCGTCTTTTTGAGATCCGTCCCCCAGCCACCACCGCGTGGCCGCAATAGCGCAATGTCTCGCAGAGTGAACTAACCCACTAGCGCTTCAGATCACTCCCACGCAAAAGCTTCGCATGACATCGGAGGCTGCCAAGAATTGCCGCCACGTTCCCGACGCTTGCACTGCTTCACGTACGCTATATACTTTTCACTTTTTGCCGGTGGCTTGTACGCAAAACAGTGGACACAAATGCAAATTTTACGGTTAACGCCAGTGAAATAAACGGGCTAGATGTGTTTATTTTTGTGCGGGTGGTGTATCTTTGTGCGGATGTGGTGAGTAGCCCCCTAATTTCTAGAGAGTGCAGTATCCCCAGCTCGTGCTTGTCAATGTTGAAGTAGTGTTGCGCGATGTCTCGGATGCTTGGACTTTGACAAGCACATCATAAGCCAAATAAACATAAAACCAGGCTTGACATTCGCTATCCATGTAACATATGAGAACCGAGGTGGACATACATTCAAGCTAAGCTAAACGCGTGTTTGGTATTCGTTAGATATGCTAGAACCTATGATGGGATTATGGAAAGTCTATGTTGAATGCCTCCCGCAAACTAGAAGCCGTATGGGAAAGTCATACACCAAAGGACACATGCTAGATATATGAGGAGAATGCACAAAACACATGCTGAAAGTTATAGAAAGGAAAATCATATAGTAAATAGACAATAGATGCTAGACATATTCTGAAACAATCTGCGACAAGAGCAAATTCACTGCCACAACTCCGTTCAACAGCCCTCCAGAAATGTGTTTTTTGTCATCATTGAAAAACTGTGGTTTTTTTTTCGCACAAAACGCAGGGCCGGGGAAATTGTCTTTTGAAAAGCACACCGAAATGGCTTGCTGAGCCGTCCTCTAGGCTCTGCTTGTCCCGAATCAGCCCCAGCGAGTACAACTTATCGAGGAGGACCTCCGTCATCTTGATGCGGTCCTCGTCCGACGCCTGCGCTCTGACGAAACCGTCGAGAGCAAACTCTCGGCAGCCACCTTCGTGTATTATGAGCTTGCGCTTTGTGCGATGTTACCCTGTTTAGCTTTGTTTGA